ATAAAAATCTTAAAGCAATTATGGATGGAAAATATACATCCATAATACTCATTCATAAGAAAGGAAATAATAATTAGACAATTATAATAAATCTTCATTTACAGATAGAATATAAATCATTGAGGATTAAAGTTATTTTCTATAAATTTAGAGTTTAAACATGTTAATTTGAATATTATTGTACTTTATGTTTAATAATCATTTTCTTGCAGCTAATGCTACTTAAGTTGCAATTCTATTTAAGTCTTATTATCCTTCCTTAGTAACAATTCTTGATCCCTTCTTCAGGAGTGATTTATTGTCTTTCTTTAAGACCTTAATTGATTCTAATTATTAGAGCAAATATCTTATAACTTTTCCTGATCCTGATTCATGTTTTCCATTATCATTGACTGATCCAAACATGTGAGTTAAATTTCCAACACCCTAAAGTTACGTATTAATAAATAGAGTACCCAATGACCTCTCACATAAATCTTTCTAGCAAGTGCTGCAGCTCTAACATACATCCAATCTTGATCGATAGGTGAGATTTCTTATCCAAGACCTGTTTTTACAATTGATGCCCATTCAGGGATTTTTATTTTATTATTTTTCTTTAAGTACTCTGCATATGCACGAATGAAGTCTTAAGCAGGAACATCCTTTTATTATTTTAAGTGTAATACCTTCACTGTATAAAATGGTGCTGACATCCTATGATAAAAAATTAAATAAATATTTTTTTGAATATTTCTTAAGATTCTTTTTAATTATAAAAGACCTTAAACTCATCTCTAAAGATAAAAGGTTTATGTGAAAAATATTATAATATTTCTATATTATTTATTCTTTTAGAATAGAAATAATTTAGGCTATTAATGAAGGAAATTAATATGAAACAATATAAAATGTTGGAATTGATGAAATATTTTCAAAAGAATCAATAAAATTTATTTAATAAGAAAGTTGTTTAGGAGAATTTATAATAATTATAGATTTATATGATCTAACCTTGAAATCAGATTAAGAATATATTAACAAGATTAATAAATGAAAATGAATAAGTATTGAAAGTGGCTTAAAGATGAGATAAAATAAAGAATGAATTAAATGAAAATGATTTTGAATAATATACTATGGATAATTTTGCATTTGATATTTAATGAGGAAAAAGAGGAGAGAGATAATTAAGAAAGTTGAGAGATGGATATTTATATAATTAGATTGTAATTAATAATAATTATTTGTATATTATAAGCATTTGTTCGATCCGTTTTTAAAACATTAATAAAAATATATGCAAAAACTAGCCATCTTGACATTAGTTGTTGCCCTTGCAGCTTCCAAGTTTGTTGATATTCACACATCCTTGGCTCAGATTGATGCCAATCCATTTGGAAATGTTGTGTTGTCAGCAATTAAGGCTCACATTCAAGCACAAACACCAGCCAACGAAGTTAATATGTTATTGAACGGTGTCGCCGCTGGATTGTAATAAGATCAAAATGACCATGACCATGCTTTTGAACTTGACACAACTACCAACAACAGAGTAATAATATTTATTAAGAATATCTTAGATTGTCGAAGATTTAGAAAAGGAAATCTTATATCACTAAAATCAAATTTCATCTAACACTTAATTGAGAGATGACACAATTGAAGCTTTGGCTGTTTCTGAAGAAGACATCAGAGTCACAATTTAAGACATTGCAACAAACGAAGCAACATATGCTAGAGAAGAAGCTACAAGAAACTAATAACACGAAACCTTCGTTTCCAAGATTGCTGCCATTGATGATGTTATTGATGCCATTGATGATGCTGCCAAATTAATTCAACATTTGAGTTTAGGTGCTTCATTTGTCTAAGTCAAATCAAAATATGAAACCATTCACAAGAGACTTACAGATAACACATCCCACTCCCAACTCTTATAAGTATTTAGATTCTTATATATCTTTATTATAGCCAGTCGTTGCTGCTCTTACAGAATTAGCTACTCACGGAGTTAACTAAAAGGCTTTAACCAAGATTGCTTAACTCTTGAGCGAAATCAGATAATAATTAGTCTAAGAGAAGGCTGTTAAAACTGTAATCATTTAAATCCAATAATAAAGGATGTTGAAGACAGATAAGCTGCTCATTGGGCTGAATTCAGTGCTCACTTGAGTAACGAACACACCAGATTGGTTGAAAGAAAAGCTTAATTGGAAGTCTAAATCTAAGAATAAAAGGATACTATTGAAGATGCTTAATCATGGATCGAATTCCACACCTTAGAATTAGAAAATAGTGAAGAAAGACTTGCTGGATAATAAGCATGGTATGCAGTCTAATCAGAAATCTATGAAACCCAAACTGCTGAAAGGTATAATTATAATTTATTCAAATAGAGCTGCTTAAAACGAAATCGTTGACAGACTCTAAGAACACATCAGTGAGAAATTATCAACCACCGCTCAATTCATCAGTAAGAGAAATTGATTCATTAAAAAATACAATTATGGACAATTGTTCTATTATACATGTTATTTATACTCTTTCTTATGTTCTTTCTCACTTTTCTATTTTATTATTTAAATTAATTTATATAAAAATGATCATATGTAAAATGTAATGATGCTCTGCACTTTTTTAACTTAATAAATGTTATTAGCTGTTCTATAAACTTTACACTAATCTCAGATTTATATTAAATTGATAAAATCTTAGGTTCATATTCAAAAAAAAGATAATCTTATTTTCAATGTTAATTGATATATGAGAAAAGGATATGAATTAAATTTATTAATTGTTTTAATCAAATTAAATCTTTATCATTTTAATAGCTAATTATTTATCATAATTTTTGAATATAATAATTTATCAAATATCTTAAGTTTTATACAACCACTAAAAAAGGAGTAGGAATTAAATTTAATTTTAAATGGTTATTATTAAAAAAAGAGTATAGATTTACTTAGGATAATTATAATTTTCATAGAGTAAATAAGAAAATTATGTAATGTATTCAATTTTGTTTATTATAGTAGAGATATTAATTATATCTTAAAAGTTTCAATTGATTTTATTATTAATTATATTTATACTTTACAATATTTACAATAAGAGATTGAACATTTATTATATATTTGTATTTATTTATAAAGTATTATACATTAATTGAAAAGATTGAACATTTTAATATTTAATTTATGAAAATTATTCGAACATTTTGCTAAGCCAAATAATTGTTGCTAAATGATAAATTAAAACTCACAAAATACTTAAAATTAGTCTATTAGACTCCTGTTTCCTACGAAGGTGTAAGAAAAGCACTTGGATATGATGTTATTCTTAATAACATGAAATTTGAAGAGAATCAATCAGAAATCTTTCCATTAACATTAAAATTAATTAAAAGAGATATATCTTTATTTGACTTCAAGGAATTTACAACTTATTTATCAACTATTAATAATTACATTTGTTTTTCTAAATCACCTTATCCTTAAAATGAACAAGAATTTTAGGATGCTTTAAGAATTATACTTGATAATGGCACTTTTATTTAAAAGTTTTTGACTCTATAACATATAGTAATATATTTTGATTCAAGAATTACACTTTATTGTTAATTAGCCACTTAATTAAAAGATGCTGTTAGAGATCATCAACCTAAAAATACAGAAGAAAAAATATTAAAATTGTTTTGGGAATAAATTGATATATATGATTAAGAGAAAATAGAATCACTTATAGAAAAATAAACCGAACCATAAAATCCAACAATGAAAATAGAAGAAGGGATAAAAAAAGAATTTATTGATCTAATAGATGTCTTATAAGTTGAATGTGAATAATATCATTTAGCTACATAAATGGTTATATTTGAAATAATTTCCAGATTATATTTTGATTAAGTAATTTAAATTAATATTATATGATAGGATGTTGAAATTAATGAAAAGAAACTTTAATAAATCTATTATGTTGAAAAATAATGTTAATGTAAAATAGAGTAGAATCTATCTAATTTAAATAATTTTCATCTTGTACTTTATACACATATGTTGAATCTTAATTAACATGAAATCAATATTTTGAGTTGGGATAAAATTATTGTATAATTTAATAAATATTTTATAGAATGAATTAACTATTAGAGATTTTGCAACAATGACAATAGATGATGCATTTAAAATATGGTTATTACTATATGAGATTGGAAGATAAAATTCGACTGTCAATGATAAAATTATTGAGTAAAAAATATATATATATATTAGAAAATTAATGAATTAAATCTAATTAATTTCAAATAAATATTACGTATTATTATGTGAATTATTAATCGAAACAAAAAATAGCAAAACTGTGGAGTTTTTAAAAAAATGGTATAAATTTCTTCTGCAACTTGTTAGGTATCCAAAAATTGATTTGGAGAATGAGACACCTTAGAATTTATGCGTAATACTAGATGCATTTAATTCTGCCAAGCTTTTAAACAAGTTGGTTTTGGGAAAATTTTTGAATGCTTTGGAAGGTAAAATGGAATAATTGGAAGAGATATATGTTGAAAATATTTTAATTAGTTTAGTTGACCATTAATATTAACATGAGAAGACATTTGAAAGAGCTGTCAAATTTGAATTATTTGAGGTAATAAATATAAATTTACAAATATTAGAATACTTCAAAGCATTTCCTATTAGGGTTATTGCATTATTGTTAGTTGTATAATTAGAGTCATCCAAGAGTAAAAGAAATTCAAGAAGTTCTTGTTTAAGTCTTAACAAAAGAATATGATGAATCCATTTTGATTGAGATGTTAAGAATCTTAATTACTGCAATCAGAAAGAAGAGTTCTTAACATATAGAAATAATACCTGAATTAAAGCCATTCATTAAAAAATTTCTAGAATCAAAAGAAGGAAATTTAATGGGTTAAGAATCTTAATTCAGAAGTGTATTATAAAAGTTGTATAATATTAAGTGAATGTATCTAATATTAAAAATATCTTTTTTGATCATCAGTAATGTTACATCACTTGTGGAGATACACATATAATACTAGCAAAGCCCTTTCTTTGGAATAATTGACAAGATGGGGATTACATAATACTTCAGTTGTTAGAAATGCCAGTACTCCAGAATTGTATGAAATTGCTGCCATGGATCCACTCTCACCAGATCCTGAAACAAGACCAGGTTCAATTTCAAGTACTGGAGCAATGGTAGCCTATTCTGGAAGAAGAACAGGGTAAAAATATATATAATAATTGTTTAGTCGATCTCCAAAAGACAAGAGAGTTGTATTTGATGAATAAACTGAACACGATATATGGTGGGGAAATGTCAATATTCCAATCCCAAAGAAGTCTCATAATCTTTTGGAATAGGTTGCCCTTTAATTTTTAAATACAAGACCAAGAGTAAATTTATAAGACATAAATTTTATAGTTATTTGTTGTTGATGGATATGCAGGATGGGATCCTCATAGCAGACTTAGAATTAGAGTGTTTTGTACAAGAGCATATCATGCTTTATTTATGTAAAATATGCTTATCAAACCAACAAATGAGGAATTAAAGAAAGATTTCAGTGATGATGTTGACTTTCATATTTTTAATGCAGGACCTATGTCAGCTCCAAAATTAGTAGAAGGAGTTGGATCAGAAACATGTGTCTCAGTCAATCTTACAGATAAAAAGATGGTCATATTAGGAACATAATATGCAGGAGAAATGAAAAAGGGAGTATTTGGTGTTACACATTATATGTTCCCTAAATAAGGAATCCTTACACTTCATAGTTCAGCTAATGAAGGAGTTAATGGAGATGTTACATTACTCTTTGGTTTGAGTGGAACTGGTAAAACCACATTGAGTGCAGATCCTAAGAGAAAATTAATTGGAGATGATGAACATGCATGGTCTGATAATGGTATTTTTAATATTGAAGGTGGTTGCTATGCTAAATGTGTAGATCTTAGTCATGAAAAAGAACCAGAAATTTATGATGCTATTAAGTAATTATAATATTTATTGAAAGATTTGGAGCTGTCTTAGAAAATATTGAATTCATGTCTAAAGACTCAAGAGAAGTTGATTATCATAATATTTCTATCACAGAAAATACAAGAGTCAGTTATCCTTTAGATTTCATTCCAGGAGCTAAGAATCCAGCTGTAGGAAGTCATCCTAAAAATATCTTATTCCTTACATGTGATGCTTATGGTGTATTACCACCTGTTTCATTGTTAACACCAGAATAAGCAATGTATCACTTCATTTCAGGATACACAGCTAAAGTTGCTGGTACAGAAATGGGAGTCAAAGAACCAGTTGCTACTTTTTCAGCTTGTTTTGGTGAAGCATTCTTACCCTTACATCCAACTCTATATGCAACTATGTTAGCTGAAAAAATGAAATAACATGGAACCAAATGTTGGTTAGTTAATACTGGTTGGTCAGGTGGCAAATATGGTATTGGCAAAAGAATGTCCTTGAAATATACAAGATCTATTATTGATGCTATTCATACTGGTGAATTGGTTAATGGTGAATTTGAAAAATTCGAAGTTTTCAATTTATAAATCCCCAAGAGAGCTACTGGTGTTCCTGATAGCATTCTTCATCCTAAAAATACTTGGATGTAAGTTTATTTATTAATTTTATAGTAACAAGAGTGAATTTGAAAGAACTTTAAGAAATTTAGGTGATAAATTCTAAAAGAATTTCTAAAAATATGCTGATAAGGCTACATCAGAAGTTATTAATGCAGGACCATAATTATGATCATGTAAAAATTATAATATAATCGAAAATATAATAATCTAAGTTATTTTTATAGTATTTTATTTATATTTAATTTTAATTCTAAGACAATTTAATTTTATGAATTTATAAATATTATCATTTATTTCAGCTATCTATTTAATTTAATATACAATCCAATTCAATTGAATATTATTATTATTATTTATAGAATTTATGATTAAATTAAAATACTGGTTAAATGATGTTTTTAAATTTTATTCAAAATAATTTACTTTGTTTTAATTTAAGTATTCTCCTTGTTATATTATAATTAATTTTGGAAATCAATTTATTTAAGTTTAAAAATTTTATACAATTCCTTTATAATGCATACTAATTATTATCTGAAAAGATCTATATAATAAACTAAATAATTAAAATCTTGTTTAAGATGTTTAAACTTACAATTTTAAGACTCTTTTTTGAAATTTTAATTTAAAACAATATTATATTAATAAGTGAATTAAACTGATCAGATTAATTTTCTGATTGATGTCTTTCAGAAAAATGGATTGATATTCAATAAAATTATAAATTATTTAAAATAATGTAATTAGAATAATATTTATGAACTAATAACTATATTAATTTATATCATTATGATTACTCATATTTGACATAAGGATAAACTTAAGGAATTTAAAGCGATTGAGGATAACAATACGATTAGACAGTTTAGATTGGCCAGATATTGAAGTTTGGTTAGAAATAGAATGTTAAAACAGGTGTTGGAGTATAAATGGAAATCTAAAAATAATATAATTATTAATTACTAAATTAGATGGACTTGGTTAAAAGTTAGAATGAAGTTGATTTTTTTAATTTTGATATGGCTATTATTCTGAGGAGATTTAAGTTTAGTAGTTTTATTATTAATCATATTCTTCCTTATAATTGTATTATAGATTAGATGCTTAGATTTTGGATTATATTTTTGAATCAGATTAGGTATTTAAGTTAAGATCAGTTTATTTTTTAGTATCAAAAGGTGTTAAATCTTATTAATTTTTCTTGTTGAGTATTATACCACCTTTTTAAGAGATATAGTTATTGCTATCATAATGAAATTTTATGTACTTTAGAGTAAATAGTTTATTTAACATTTTTTTAATATGTTTTATATCTTCCTCAGGTAGCATTCTTAATTCAGATTTATCTATGTGTCTAAATCGTCTAATAATTTTTTTAAATTCATTTTTCATTTCATCATCAATATTAAAAGTTTTTAAAGAATCTTCATTACAATATATAACACCCAAAACACAAGGTTTTATTTATTTAAGTAAATCTGAAGCTAAGAAATAGTATAAACGTATTACATTAATCAAAACCCACTGCCTTACTGAGTCGACGTAAAACCTTCCTTAAAGTTGCATAAAAGTAGTTTTTACAAAGTAAATCAGAACGGCCAGTCATTTAAGAGGCAATTTTAGCCCAAGAATTTCCAAATGATTACTAAAGATTGAATAATTTTTATTCCTCTTCATCTGTCCAAATATTTCTATTCAAATTAGGGTTTAGAATGTTTTAGTATCGTTCTCTACAAGCAGCTGGAGAACGTTTTTTAATGGAATTCTTTATTTGATATTGAAGTTCATTTGCAATGCGATTCCATGATTAACAACCATTAAGTTTGATAAGTTCTAATAAAAGTTTGTCTTCCTATAAAAGATAATAGTAAGAATTACTTGATAGGTCCAATTTTATCTAATTTCTGAATGTTTAGAATACATGTTGCTAGGTAATGAGACGAGTTTAAATTAAAATAGAAGATATAATATATATAAATAAAAGTTTAGTAATCTAAATAATTTATTGAAAATAACATTAATTAATTATTATATTATAATTTCATGAATAAATAGTTTCTTGAATGATTTTCATTTTTATATTTCTTTAAAAATAATGAATTTTTACAATTATATATTAATTTTTATAAACTTTAATTTAAAGATCAAATCTAAATTTACAAACAAAAGATTTCTATTTTGCTTTAAAGATTGAGTAATATATTTTAAAGATAAGATATATTTATTTATAATTACCAATTGTTTTATAAATTAACTACACAAATATAAAATAGTTTAATTAATAATAAATATTATATACATAATCATACTAATTTTTATTTAGATATTTATTATTTTAATTTTTTTACAGAATTATGGAACCACAAAATTGTAATTAATCTAGTTTATAAATTAGCAATAAATAAATCAGCAATTGAAGGTTTTGAGAACTTATTATTAACATAAACTTAATTTACTACATAAAAGAAGAAAGTCTTTTTAGAAGATAACTTAAAATATGGAAAAGAAATTGAAAGAGATTACAATAAATTACAAGATATAATTGATGTATGATAAATATAGAAAATTGATTAGAATTTATAAGGCAAAGTTGATAAAATTATAAAGTCATAAGAAGATGATTTTATGATTGCATATAAGGAACAAATGACTGAAATATAAAAAGAATTAAAGGCTATGAAAAGAAAGATTGATGAAGAGGCATTACGATAGAAAGCTGATGAAAAAAAAAGAATCTTAGAGGAAGAAAGAGATTATTTTAGAGAAGAAGCATTAAGATTAGATAAATTATGTTAAGAACAATTAAGAACTATAGAAGAATTAAAATTTAAATTAAAAATAACTTTAGAGGAAAAATAATATTATGAAGGCTTTGTTATTGGTATAATAATAGAATAAAGAATATATAGATTCTAAAAAAGAAAATAAAGCTTTAAAATATGAACTTCTTTATTTATATAAATAGAAGAGTGAAGAATAAAAAAGTGGTTAAAGAGTAGGTTCAGTTGGAAATATAAATCAAAGAACAGTTATCAAAAAAAATATTGATTATAGACCATTTACTTAAGAAGGAACTCAAATTTCTGCCACTAAAGATGAATTAGGTGAAGGATCAAAGAGAGATTTCTCATCTGTTAAATAAGGATACAAAACACAATTATCAAGCAAAGTATAAGATTAAGCATCAACTTAACATGAATTTTTTAGAAGAGAATTATCTTCCCATTAATAAAGTAGATATAATTAAGATATTCAATAAGTATTAATTTATATATATTAGATCGAAGAAACTACAAAAAAAGAACAAATTTAAGAACTTAAATCATAATTATAAAAAGAAAAATAAATTACTTAATAATTAAAAGTTGAGCTCTCGAAACAAAATTGCTAAAAAGGAGAATTAGAATAGATATTATTAGAGTGTGTAAATGAAATGAAAAAAGAAGTTCATTATCGTTAAAATTAATAAAGATAATTGTTAAATCATAGATTTTCTGATTCATAAATTAATTTTGATGGTGAAATGAATTTCTCTTAATTTACTCATACTGATAAAATGTATAATGATTAATTAATTATAGATAATTATTAAAACGATATATTGGGAGTGAGGAATTCTTAGATCAATTATATCAAATTACATTCAACAATTAAATGTAATTATCTACTTCTTTAAAATTGAATGAGAAATGGAAAATGGATGCGGATGAAGCTACAAAAAAATTTAATAATTTTAAATCATTTAAATTTAAAAATATAACAAGCCAACGTAAGATATTATTATTATAACTTTTATAGCAATTTTAAAAACATCTCTTATAAAAAGGCAGGACAAAGAAATTGTTCAAATTTCTAATAATTTCACTGAAAAAACCAAAGGACTTATTGATAAAATCATTAAAAGTTGATCAATCTTTATTGCCATTTATTTTTTTTAACATTAAAATCATTATGCAACTAAATTAAAATTAATTGTTTCATTATGAATTACTTCCCATTTACCTAATTTTAGTTTACTTGAATTCTAAAGACATTTTTCTATTGGTTTATTCTTTTCATCATTTAAATAAATGACAAGATCTAAAGTTTACTAAACTACTGGAGGTATTACTTGTGCTTAGGTAGTAGTATCTTATTATTGATATACATAATGTACTTACCTAAAAATAAGGCAGGATTAGTGTTCATTTCAATGAGATAGACCTTTAAATTTGTATCTATCATAATATCACATCCCATCAATTCAAATGTTCCTAATCTCTTTTCAAATTTATCAGCTGCACATCGGATGATATGAGCAAATATTTTTTTCATTTACAAATAAATTGTATCAATTTACTCTTATGAAACATTGATCTTCTCTTTTAAATATTACTTTTTAGTTGAAAATAGATAGTTACTTCGAATTATTGCATTGACCATATAGTTGATTCTTTAGATGCATTAAATGAAGGATGCTTTTTTTAGATTGCTGCATTAGTTAAATGTTTATATCTATTTTTCTCATCATCCATATCTTCAACGTTATATTTATCTACAGATAAACGTAAATATCCATGTTAAAAGAGAACAAATAATGGTCTTGAAGTAGCAATCAATACATAACATCTAATATCAAATTTACGTCCATCCAATAAAAGTGGATTTTGAATATATTTTTAAACTATACATTTTCTAAGATTTTGTGTAAATATACCATTTGGTAAAAATCCTTTTGATGCTTTTATTGAATTAGAGATTGATTTTAATCTAATTTTATAGAAATCTTACTTCTAAAATTCTTATTTTAGTTTTTTAGCATTTGAACACAATTTAATACCTCTTCCACAATTAAAATAAGTTGGTTTAATAATCCAAATTGCAGAATTATCAGTTTTTAGAAATTGATCTTCTTCATTACTCAAAAATTCTTAAGTCAAATCAATTCTGTATGTTTCAGGAAAGAAGTATGATGAATTGAATAATAATTCTAAATCACAAAAAAAAAGAAATTACATTTGTTTTATCTCTCATATTCTTTCATGGTTTAAATAATAAGTTATTTTGATGTAAGAATCATATGATTAGGTAAATGATTAATTATTTACTATCCCTCTTTAAAATATTAAAATTGAATTTCAGAATTAGTTTGAACCCATTTCAAATAAAAATCATTAGATGATTTTCCACTTTCTGCATCTAAAAGCTTCCATCCTCTATAAATCAAATAATTATTCTCATTACGATTATTGAGATAAATAATTTGAGATCAATTTTCCATTATTGCCTGGGCCAATAAAATAATATTTCAAACACAATGCTTTCTTATTCAAAGATTTCTTTTTTGGATCTTCTGTCTATGACCTAATCTTCTTTGAGCTTTAACTCTTTTTAATCTTTCTTCCTCTTTATGTTTGTTGCATTTTAATTAATAGTTTAAAAAATAAACTTATAACCCTAAAACAATTAAAGTGTGCCTAAAATTGAAAAAAAAATTATATTAGCTTGGCTTATTGACATTTTAATTATTTATTGAGCAAATACTATTGAAATATAATTAGTTGTTATTTTTAATGATGATGATATCATAAGTAATATTAGAAAACAATAATGTTTAAGAGATTATGACTTTGTTAAATTAACTAATATTACTAATCTTCTTTTTTTATTTTTAATATCAACTGAGACTATAAATAAATATAATAAATTAAAAGCAATTTATTATCGAAGATATATTTAATCTTTAACGAAGGATGTAAATCAGCAAGAGCTAAAACCCTTTATTTATACAGAGTCAAATAAATAATTATCTTATTTAAACAAACAATCCTTATATCATATCAATTGAAATAATTGGATATATTAAAAGAATCAACAATATAAATATTACATTTAAAAATAAAGAAATTTTTGAATAAAATTATAATAGAAAGTTTGAAAATTGTATTTAAAATGATTCCCCTCCCCCTCTTTTTAATTTATTAATCTTAAAAGATATTAATAAAGAAATATAATTATACAATTAAATATTATATCTAATAGTATCAAATCTCAAAAAATAAAAAATCAAATAGTATCTTTTAACATACTTTCCATCAATTATTTCAAATGATCTATAGTCATATCATTATCACAATTATAAGAGTGTATAACATTATGTGCATGTTCTTAATTTAATAATTAATTCTTTTTAGATTAACTTAGAACTCTTTTTTAATTTGATTTTGATTGTCTGGCCTTAGAATTTTTGATTCTAGGATTTTATTTAATCACCTTCTTATAATCTTCATTATCACTATTTTCCAAATACTGTTTATTTTATTCAATATTAGATTATTATTCTTGTAATTTTTATGATTAAACTTAACTTTCAACCTCTTAAAATTTAATAGATTAAATATAACTATTATTGTTGTTTAATTCCTCATTAATGTTATTATTTGATTAAGTTAATTATGGATTAAATTCTTAACAATTTTCCTAATATAATAAATTTTATATTATTTAAACTTACTAGTAACCATTTTACAAAGAATTTAAATTAGAAAAATCAATTTCTTAAGTTCTTTCTTTTTCTTATAATATTCTTTTAAGTAAGTTTTGTTCTTTTTATTTTGTATTATCTATTTTTTGTTATTATTAATCTTATTCTTCTTTTTTCATTTAATTCCATTTATGAAGTGATTTTTAATATACTTCTTTTTAATCTAAATCTTCGGTTTTCTACAACTTATCATTTACATAAAATAGAAACTTTAGCGCCTTTTAAATTGTAATCAATTTTATAATACTTCTTTGCAAGTAGTTATTCTTTATTTTTAATTTTAATCTTGCTCTTCATTTTTCAATTAATCTTACATAATATAATATAAGTAATTATATATATTTATAGAACAATTAATTATTCAATTAAATCCTTTATATTCTGAATTTTTTGTTGTATGAATGATCCCTTTAACAATACTATTAATAGATGAATAATTCTTTGGTTTTTCAGCACCTTTAAATCTTGAATATGATTTGATTTCTGGTTTTAATTTGAGAGCAACAACTCTTTTCATAGTTCTTTCTAAAGCAAGTAATTAATAATATGAATTGAATTGTGATTTCTTTGATACCAAATCATGCTTTAATTTTTCTTACTATTATTTTTGATCTTTATCATATTATTATAGATATACATCCTTCTTTAACTTTATTAAGTTATTATGGAACATAAACTTCTTTAATTTCTTTTATTCTCTTGAATTTCTCTTCTGTATCTGTTGAAACTAATTCATTAAAATATTTTTTCCTTAGATCTGAAATCATATTTAAAGTCAATTATCCAACATCTACTTCTCTAGCTTATTTCTAATTTCTAACAATATTGTACTTCCAATAATCGTAATCTTTCTTCTTCTTCTTTTTTCTTTCTCATTATTTCATCTTAATTGATTCTCTATTGAATTTACATAATAATCTTTCTCTTTTTTGTTAGATCATCTGATTTGATAGCTTTTCTTTACTATTTTTAAATAGCCTTATTAGATAAAGCCATTTACATAATCTCTAATTTAGTTTAAGGTATATGTTCATCCTAATTTCTAATTGGTATTTGTAACTATATACATGTACAAATTATCAACATGAAGATAACTGGTTTTTAATTTAGTTTTCTCTGATAATAATGACTAAATTGATTCAGTAGGTGTAAATGCAGTATTTTATTATAGAATATCTAAAATCTATTATTTACTAGGAGGTATCATAGTATTTTCATTTTAATATTTTTTTAATCCTTCTTCTAAATTATCAATTTAATTTGATAACTCTTATAACACTTCTTTTGCATTTTATTTATAAGGATTAAGAATCTTTCTTATTTATTGACTTGTTAATTTACGAAACAAACTTGAATTATAAACATGCTAATAATCAACATCATTATCTATTTCCTATTGTTCTTCAACTAGTTACATATTAAATATAAAATTATTAATAATAAACTTTTATTCAATAATCTCTTTCCCTTTATTTAATAATTTCTTAAATTTCTGTCACCTTCTTTGTTTTTTTATGATTTTCACCATATTACATAAGAAATTCTTGATAAGCCAATCCCATATAATGTCTATATTATTCTTCATTATTTAATTTTTTATAAACAAAAGCTTATGCCTATAAATTTTAAGTGATTGGTATTATATATAATTTGATATTACTTTCATCTATATGTTTTCTGAAATATTCTTAATATTATTAAAAAATAAATACCTTCAATTGATTTCAGAACTTGCAAAGATTCTTTAAAAATTACTTCTTCTGGTAGATTTTCACTTGATGGAGTGCCATATTGATAATATCTCTTTAAATATTTATACCAACATTAAGAAGTCTAGAATTATATAAATATATTACTTTTGCATAAAATTATTCAGCTTCTGAGGTTTATTTCTTTTATTAGAAAATTTATCCCATATAATAATAATTCAAACTTGTCTATGGATGTTCTGGATCAGAACTGCAAGAATCTGTATAAATCTAATCAAAATATTCAAAAAACAAACTTACTCCAATTGTTAATTCTGCTAATGCTTTTTTGTAATCCTTTTAAGCAAAATAGAGTTTTGAAAATATTTTATGCAACTGACCATTATACTCAGCATTCTCTTTTTCTGATATATCTTAACCCATTTTATTGCCATCTTCACTTCCTTTTTCTTTTGGTTTATTATATTGATACAGATTCCAATAAGCAGCTTAAAGAAATTCTTCAGCTTTTTTTAATTTGCCTTCTGCTATATATGCTTCTGCCTATATAAATAAACCAGGAAGTAATAAAACACTATTTTCACCTCCCAAAATCTCTTTGTATTCAATCATGGCTTTATGAACTTCTTCTGTGGCCTTTATTATTGCATTAAAGTTACATTAAGCTTATTCTCTAATATTGCTTAACGAGCTTATTCAACAATTTTTTTGAGAGCCTCTTTAGCATCCTCTTTACTTTTTTGTGTCTTATTTTTATCTTTCTCCTTTTCTGGAATTTGAGATTCCTTTAATTTTTAGGAGGAATTCATATTAATTAATTATTTCTAATTTTTATAAAAGTTAAGAGTATGGAAATAATAACTTTATTAAAAATCTAAAGTCAAATTTATAACATCATTTTGAGAAATTCTTCTTATGTTATTGCTCCATCACCATCTTAATCTAATTATTTAACTAATTATTCATATTTATTAATTGGTATTTATATGTCTCTTAATAACTTTTTGATTTCCTATCTACTCAATTCTCCACTATGATCTCTATCAATTTGTGTGAATAACATTAAAAGTTTTTCTCTATTAAAATATTTCTTTTAGTCAATAGTTGCAATAATAAATTCTAATTTAATCAATATCTTTTTTTACCTTAATAATCAATTTTTCCACTGCCGTTTACATCTATTCTTTTAAAAATTGTATTCACTTCTTTTAAAGCCCTATCTGGAGGTAAAGTTTCTGAATAAACTTTAAGAAGCTCATCTTTTGTTAATTATCCATCTTTATTGAGATCAAATTTTTAGAATTCATCCATTAACTTTTTTTTATCTTAATCTGACATCATATTTTCTGCTATATACATTAACATTGCAGCTTATAATTAAGAAGATATCTAATAAATATTTAATATTACTTTGAATTCTTTCATATGTTTTTATAATTATTTATTAGGTTTGTACATAACTCTAATTTTATTCATAAAAATTGGATTATTAAGTACTTCTTGTGCTGTTGGTCTACGTTATGGATTGGCATTTAACATTTTGATTAATAACTATTTCATTTAAGGATTTAAATTAGCACATTCATTACTATCAAAATTTGGTACACCCCGTAGAATACAATTTTTCAATGATTGATAATTAGTGGCATAAAATGGCATATGAGAAGTTATTATGAAATATAAGAGACAACCACAAGAATAAATATCAGATTTAAATGTTGATTATCCTTTAATTGCTTCTGGTGATTTCAAAGATAATTCCTACATAGTATTGTTAGGTTTCCATGAAGAAAATTCTTATTTTAATGAATTTGATATTCCAAAATCAATTAATTTTATACTTTCTAAATTTTTATTCGTAAAAACAATATGTTCTAAGCGAATATCACTAATTTCATATTTAACTATACCCATGCATCACCCCATTATCATGTAAGTATTATACTCCAGCCATAATCTAACAAAATATATCAATCTATTAGTATTATTGCAATTAACTAAATTTATCCAGTTATGTTAAAAGATTTCCTCCATCAATGTATTCTCCTATTATACTTAACCTACCATCATAATAATAATAGGCTAAAGTATTTTAAACATATAAATGTTTCTAATTTATAAGTAATTCTATACTAAAGATATCAACAGATTGATAGTCTCTTGCAATTGTTATTTTTTTTCTAGACTTGCATTTGTACAATTATATGTCCTTATTATTCTTGATTAACTATTACTTTTCGAGATTCCTTTTCTAATATAACTTCGAAGTGCTAATTGTGATATAATATAATATTATTTACTTGCAAGTGGATCTAACTTATGTAGAATATAGTCAGCATCTACTGACTCAGTTTTCTAAATTATTGTCAATCCCATAGAAACCTAAGTTGAAATAGGACCGTTTTATTTTGAATTATTATCTTTCAATTATTTATTGTCTGACTTTAATTAACTGCATCCCATCTTTTAATTTTAGATTAGTAAATAAACAATGAAATTTAATAAAATTATGGATTGTCTTAATGATGAATAAGAAAAATAATAATATTAAAATATTATAATGTTAACAATGAATTCAGATGATAAGGGAACATATTATATAAAAACTTAATAAGAGATTGAACTTGTGAAAAAACAACTATAAAAGTTAAAACCCAACTGTATTTCTAATTAACATAATGAATAGCTTAAACATCATCATTTCTATAAAATTAATATAACTAATTAAGTGATTAGTTAAAAACTCTTGAAGACAAATTGTCAAATGTTAATTAAGCATTTTATGATCAATTAATCAGTAATTTTGATAACACTGTCCAAAAATTACCTAATGTTAATGATAGTATGCAATGAATAAATTAGGAAATCTCTAACCATAATTTTATACTCACACTCAAAATAATATGTACCAGCAATCAGTTTAATTGCCATTCATTGATCAATTTCTAAATGTACGCACACTTCCTTAAGTGAGGTATAAAAATAATATAATTTTAATTAAGTGTAGAACCACTAGGTAAATCAACATTAAAACCAAAAGGTTTACATAGTGTAAAAAGTTCTATTCAATGTAAGTAAATATTTAAAGATGATTTAATTTAGTTAGTAGAAAGTTTTAATCAAAAAAATAGTCTTAACAATAATTACCTAAAGTAGATGATCTAACTCTGTATAAAAAAGGAATTACTGAACTTATCAATCAAGGAACTATCAAAAAGTAAGATATCAATTCTTTATTAAATCCAAACAATATTGCTTTTAGAAATTAATAAGCAAAGTAAATCACATAAGATATTTTATAGCTTTTTTGAATACTCTGATCAATTCGGAAGTAAAATAGTATAAATTGAAAGTTAATCCTTTTAGAATATATATAAAACAGATTTAAAAAAGGATTCTGTATAAAAAAATACATAAAGTTAAGGAAACATATAAGTTAAAGATAATAAAGTGAATTTCAATGAAAAAAAAATGAGTATTTAAAATAAATCAAAACAAAAATATGTGGATGCAAAAGAAGCAACTTCTTTATCAAAAGAACATGAGAGACCTATTACAGAATAATTATAAAATTTAAGTACTTAACAAGAATATATGATTTATGTGAAAAATGGATTATTACAAACAGATCAATTATAATATATTTAATTTTAAAATAGATATTATGAAAATTGGAGCAAGATTGAGCCAATTTTAATAAGTTTATAAAAAATAGCATAATCAACTTCAGTTAAGGAGTGTAGAATACTTGGTTCAAAAGTATAGAAATTATCTTAAGAATTTGACAGAAGTTAAGTATTTACAATGTCAGAGTTAATATAATGTTTTGAGAATTGGGAAGAGTTATAAAAAATATTGAAGGTTCCAACATTATTATATAAATCAAAAGATGGGAAAATTATGGCAGCAACAAAAATATCTGCTTTGTTTAGAGGATTTAAAGCAAGAAAAAATTATTAAAGATTAAAAGTTATGGTAGAAAAAGTAATTATTATTCAAAGATCTATCAGAGTTTCATTATTCAGAAAAAAAGTTTAGAAATAGATTATAAAAAATAATAATTTAATGTTGGAGAGATTTAAAAATAGATAGAATGTATTTAAAGAGGAATGGCCATATCTTAAATTATAATAAAGATTTGAAATTCATTTGAATTCATTTTCCTTTGAAGAAATCAAAAGATTATCTATGGATAAATTTTCTTAGAGATAGAATACTTAAATTACAAGAATATTTAATTTATAAGATCCTCTTGTGCATATAATATATATAGCCCCATATGATCTACCTAGTGAACTGATTGATTACTTTTATAAGATTCTAAATCTTGGAGATATTTCAGATTGTAAAAATCGATTATATTTTGTTTGGCCAGTATTAAAATAAATTATCTTAGGAAAATCACAATATTTTCAATAATCATATTGGATTGTCTCAATTACTTTATTATTCACCTAGAGCATTAAAGAGAATCAAATCATTAATAAGAGGATAATCAGCATATATTGTACCTGGTGTTTGTTCTAATGATGATATTAAGATATCAGATATATTAAACATTCCAATATTCTCTGGGATTCCATAATTGCATCAATACTATTCAACAAAATCAGGTTGTAAAGTGTTATTTGATGAATTATAATTGCCTTAACCTCCAACTATACGTAATATTTACGATGAAAAAGAATTAATAAATTCCTTATCAGTTTTAATAATAAAAAATCCAAATATAAATACATGGATAATTAAGGTAGATGATGAATAATAAGGAAGAGGCATAGCATGGTTAGAAGTATAGAAAATGATTAAAAATTTATAACCATTAGAAATCAATTAGTTAGCATAATTACTTACAAAAAAAATTAAGAAGAAACTTCATTATGCATTTCCTCACTTATATGGTGGATATCATGAATTTATAATGTGTATAGTTAATCGAGGAGGAATCATTGAAGGATCTCCTTTAAGTAGATTATCTTAAATACATTCAATTTCATATAACTTTAAAGTGGAACCTGATGGAGATGTCTCAATTTTAGGATCATATGAAAAGATTAAAACAAATGATATTTAAACTATTGCATCTTTTAGTCCTTAAAGTTTTTTAAAGATTAATCAAGAAATAGTATGTAATCAGATTGCTTAAAAATTATATAGTAAAGGTTTAATTGGATATTTTACAATAGACACAATAGGATATCAATTAGATAATAATAAGTAGGGATTTCAAGTAATTGGATTAGATTGTTTTTTGAATTAATATAGTAGTGCCTCTATATATTTTGATTTTTTAATGAGAGGCAAATTAAATATATCTACTGGTAATTATTATGTGGAAGATACTAACAGATAAAGTAATGTTAGATATTCGGTTTATTGTCCAACAATAATGAATGAAGGTTTGGATGTATTATAATATAAGACATTCTTTTAATTATGTAGATTGGAATCAATCTCATTTAATTTAGAAAAAAAGATTGGATCCACTTTCATTCTTGTGGACTCATTATAAAGTGGTGTAATAAGTTTAATGACTGTTGGCATTAACTCTCCTTAAGTTATTAAATATATGATAGATGCTATTGGATTTATACAGAAGAATGTTGGAAGAGGCACTGAATCTATTTAGATCAATACTAGGTAATGATTAATAATAGTTTAATTTAGAAGTGATAAAATCAATATGATGTCTATACATTAGAAGTTGAAGACTATGTTAAAGAAATTGGAAGGAAGTGAGTATTAAATTCAAAATAGCTAATATTTATGATTATTATTACATTAATATGAGTTCCGTTTAAAAAGAATTACAGATTTCAAATTGCAGTGATCGTGGACTCTATTACGATGGGTCATGCTAATGTGATTTAGGCTACTTTGGAGTAGAATGCGAATGGAAACTGGAAGAACTTCATATAGTTACATATTACACCTTTATAGGATTCTTTTTAATACTCTTTACAATCCTCCTTCTTTTTACTTTAAAATAGTTTTAATTATCTTTGAAAATGAATAAGATACCTTCCTATTAGAAGTATGTAAATAGATTCTAATATTAATAGAGGATGCAATTACATTAAGAATGTCCTTGGATCTCCTTTGAATTGCATTTTATGTTTAACTATTTTATTTAGTGTACTTAAGATTTTATGGTTATCTTTGGACCCCTTTTAATTATATGTATTTATCATTAAAATTTTTCATTTTATAGGATTACAAAGAGAGAGTTTGTGAAAGAATTCTTGCAGAAGTAGTTTACACAATTTTATTTTACATATATGGAATTTTATTAATGGTTTGGTATACTATGTATGATGAAATTTCATTTAATATTTCTGAAAAGAAAAAAAATACTTTAGATTAATAGTCAGCTCCAAAATCAGAAAATAGAAAATTCATTCTTGCATATTATAAGGACATCATGAAAATAAGACTGTTTCTAGTCTTAATTATTTAAGTGACTGTTAGTACAATAAATGGTAATTATTTAACCTTTAAATAGGATTAAGATTAGGACAATAATATAAAACAATCTTATATATTGCATATGTTATATTGTTACTTAATTTTATGTAAGTTAGGATGATTCATAATAGTTCCTTTATTTTTGAATTCCTTTTATATGGTAGATCCCTAAATCAATGTATAGAATAATAACTTAAAAGACTGGATTAAGATAATAGAGAATAAGAAAGAGAGGAGAAACTTAAAATAGCATAAAATAATTAGCAAGTAATCCAAATAATTTATATAAAAGACAATTCTATCAAAAACTTAATTAATGATATGTTAAGAAGATTAATTATAATCACCAGCTACACCTGATTAATAAATTTTAAGATTGAGTTCTTTAAGTGCAAGTGATGAAAGTCATGAATATAAAGAAACATCAAGAGCTATCATTTAAATTGATAAACATTAACTTCCAATTTAAAAAAAAAAATAAGTAACTTTCAAATCACCTTAAAATATACCTTTAGAACAAAATACTGAAATTAAATGGGAAGTTCAAAAAAATTAATTTAATAATTTTATAAATGAAGAAGCTTAAAATTTTAAACATGTAGATGGCGTTTCTAATCATTAAAAAGTCAATTCTTGTTTACTAAATGAGGAGGATTTTGATTAAATCGATTTAAAATGGATTATAAAGAAAGAAAGAGCTAACGTTAAGAAAATAAAAAAATAATAGATTAAAATTGTGGAAAAAACAAAATAATAAGTTAAAGAAATTAAAAGATAAAGGAGAGCTACAATAAAAAATAATAATAATAATAATAATAAAGAAGGTATTAATTTAGATTCCTTTTAAATTGATGATGATAAAAAAATAAATAGTTAATTGACATAAGCTTATTAAGCTGAGATGCTTGCTTAATAAAAATAAATTAGAACTGCAAATCTAAATGCTGATAAAAAAGTACTTTCTAAAATATAAATGCTTATTTATGTTGGGGTTTTTTTAGAAATCTGTTTTGGAGCTTTATCTATTGTTATTTTATTAACTGATTTATTAAAAAAACCTGTAGGTTTAATTTAATAATTATTATTTTAGGTACTATTTGCTATTTGTATATTTCAGGAATGCTTCAATTCTTATCTTTGATTACTGTATTGAAATTATTTCGAGATGTTAAAAGCCAAGAAGTATTGAATCTAATTTGGATTTAAAAAGTGGGAAATAGAAAAAATAAAATTAATTAATAGTATTATTTTACAATTCCATTTGATTAAAAGATATAGGATGAATCTAAAAGAAAATTTGAGCAAAGAATCAATATGCATATAAGATGATGATGATTCTATTGTATTATTCTGTATTTGTTTATACTTATAAAAAAAATAAAGATTAATTAATACTCATTAAATTTCTTTATCACTGAATTTAATTAAATTATTTGATTAAAATTAACTTAATTGTTCAGGCATTTTAATTAATCCCATAGATTACTTGACAATTCGAGTTAATTTTTTACCACTAGGTCTATCCTATTATAACATTGATTTGAATTGCTTATGTATAAGAGCTTCACTTCCATTATCAAATATATATGTTATTCCTAATTCATGATAAAAATCATTTCTAATAAAAAATTATAAATTACTCATAAAATTATACTAAATTTGGTCTAAATCTTTGATTATCCCTTATTTTATTATATTCATAAATCATTTATTCTTTATTATATTTAGGATAATAACTATGAAAATCAGCTCCAACTTCAAAATTATTTATTAATATAAATTAAGATTCTAACTAAAATAAAATTAAATAGAATAAACCTTATTTTATTGTTCTCTTTATTCTCTTTCTTTCTATTATTAATTATAAGTCTCTAAAAGTTCTAATATTTAATTTTAAGTCTTAATTTCTTTCTACGTTAATTTGTCTGCCTATTCTTCACTTCCTTCATCATCAAAATCTGATGAAGAAACAGTTTAATATTCAGAAGATTATTATTTATCGTTACTATCATCTTCATCTTCTTCTTTAAATTTTGAAATTACTTTCATAGATGTAGCCATTGATTTAGTTTAAGGAAATTCCGTTTTAATTATCTATTCCTCTTAATTAACAGTCTTTTATTGCATAATAATACTAAGTTCTTAAAAATGAATAAGAAAAAATACATTTCAAAAGTAATTGACTAATATTTTATTAAGCTTTTAATGATTTGATCTTTATTTCTTAATCTTAAATATAAGATTTCATCTTTCTATATTTAGCCTTATCCTCTCTAAATCTAGACCTAAAAGGTCCAAATCTTGGTGGTTTAGCTAATTTCTATTAGATTTCAAATTTCTCTTCTACTATTTATCCATTGTCCATTTCATCTATTAAATTACACTCATCATACTAAGCCATAAGCTTTTAAGCAAGGGTAGAAATCTGATTGACAGTCTTGTATATTGAAAATATAGATGATTACAAATTTAACAATATTTTTATGTCTAAGTGCATGAATGTGAACTCTATCATTTCTTTCATAAAGACTTTACATTTTCTTTTAAAAATTAGATTTAAATTAACAATATTATTGTTATTCCACTACAAAATGCATATCTGGACAATCAATTACTGTATGATCATCTCTAAGACAACCATAACAAAAGACATTTATATGATGATAACCTTTATTAAATATAATTTCATCTTTAATGTAATTGAATCTTTCCTATAATATTAAATATAATATTTATACTAAATCAACTTGATTTGATTTCAATAATTATGTAAACAATGATTTATCAATATATACTAAAGATGAATAATTAACACTTCTTGCAGATGCAGTTCTAGATAATCCAGTAAAAAATCCAATCTCACCAAAATAATCTTTTTATTCTAGTTTATTGAGTTTCTAATTATTTCTTTATAAAATTATTTCAATATTTCCACTTTAAATGAAATATAGATGTTTTTCTGTAGCTATAGATTCATTCTCAAAGAAAATAAATTCTTCAGGTAAAGCAGTATATTATTTGAAAGTCTTTGTAACTTATTTTAAGAATGTCTTTTAAAAGTTACGTCTTAATGGAGGACAATATCCTAAAATTGTACCATTAACTTGTATTTCAAATTCAAATTTGAGAGCATAAGATAGATTATCAGTTATATGTTCAAGATTAAAAATTGCTTCTTATTCCCATATATAAGTTAGATATTTCTTCACTTTATTTTATAATGCAACTGGTATTTATAGTTTTTTCATATATTTTAATATTTGATTTGATTTTTTACGAATCTCAGCTTTTTTATCTTCCATTCCTTATAATGATGATCCTATACTATTTAAAGTAACAGAAAAGACAACAGTAGCAATCATTAAAAAGAATATTCCAAATAGTCTTTCTAAAGGAGTTCTTGGAGATATATCTCCATATCCAACTGTATTCATAGTTGTAACTGCCCAATAGAGAGAGTTTATATATTTAACTGACCAATCTTCATCATAAATTCCATAATAATGAAGCCAATTATCTTAAGAGTCTTCATTAACTGCAATATAATGGAAGATGCATCCTAACCAATGAGACCAAAATAATACAAATCCACTCAATTTAATAAAGCTAACAATAGTAGACAACATTATGTTTAATTATATAGCATCCTCTATTTTATCAAAGAAAACCTTTAATTTTGCCAATCTCAACAAACGTATAATTTTGATAAATCTCATAAATCTAACAAGTCTAAGTAAGGACAATGTTTAAGTATATTTTGTAGCATCTTGAGAAGAAGTAGTTGTAGTTTATGAACTCTCTTATTCACTGACTCCAGTAGAAGCAGTGATTATGGCATCATAAGGAAATGAGGCTGCTAAATCAATCCAAAACCATAGTTTTATGTAATTAAGTACTATTTATTTTCTACCATAGATAGGTATTCCTTTTCTATATATGCTAGTATTGAAAGTAATAACTATATCAGACATGAACATGATATCAATTATTTAATCTAATGTAGCATTAATTTCAACATCGAAACTTAATTTAAAGGGAATGCTTAAGATTTCATAAAATATTAATAACATACAGAAGGCATCCCACATTAATTTACCATAGCCATCTGCATGAAATACCCAATTATCATTTTGATTTTGAATTGCACTTTTATTATTATCTTTAGTTTTTAGAAAACTTTGTATTTTCGATTTCACTTTTTAAACAATCGCCTACCTTATATTAAATTACTGAATTACTTATAGTTCTTTTTTTCAATAAACACTGGTTTTGTAGTTCTGAGAGTACTGGATAAGGATTCGAAAGGCAGTTCTAATTATTCAATTTATTTCTTTTATTTTTAAAATTCATCTTCATCAGACGAGTTCTCCAATTTGTCATTAAGTGTATACAATTCAAATTAACCTAAAGGTCTCTTTCTAAAATCATTAGTTCTAGTTTCTTTGATTTTCTTTCTAAACTCTGTTTATCTTTACTTAATAATACTTATGATATATATACTCTCCTTATTTCTGACATAGAAGCTGAAGTAACAGTTTGCATACCTCCTCTTCTCAGTCCCAACTTTGAGTTGATGACAGTAAACATAAATTATTTATATAATATGATAATTAATAATAATTCATAAATTTGGTTTTTTTAATTCCATTCTATTATCATTGAAATTAGCTTTATTCTAATTCTCCTTTGCTTATTATGCCTGTTCTTATTATTCCAAAGCTAATTAATATTTTTCTAAAGATTCTTAAACAATTTTAGTAGCTTTATTGAAACAAAAATGGAAAGTTTCAATGAATGTGTCCATATGTCTAAAATTAATATTAAAATTGATACTCTTTAGTATGTTATGGTTATAAATTGACTCTTAATCTGGCCTATCCCATTCTTACAATAGGATATTCTATACCATTACAATGAATTCCTTCATCAATCATTAATCTTGTTACTACTCTACACACTAATTCATTGCCAATCAATAAAGGTAATATTGGAGATGGATAACCAATTATTTAATAACCTCTGGCATTAAGTTCTTTTTTCATATAATGATAATTCTCCAAAACTTTAATTCTTAATCTACTACCCACTTCACTATTGAGTATTCTTAATTAAGCTAGAGCAGTAGCACATTAAACTGGATTCACTGAATTAGTGAACATATAGGCTGATGAGAAGAATTTAAGATAATCTATAACTTCAAATGAATTGCAAGCAACCCATCCAACATTTGTGGATAAACATTTTGATCCTCCAGACATTAATAATACATTAGAGAAATCTTATAGACCTTACAATTCAAATACTCCCTTGCCTATATATATATATATTAAATTTAATACCAGTCTTTCCCATACATCCAAAATCATGAGCACAATCTATCAATAAAAATGCCTCATATTTCAAGGTCAATTTTTATAAAGCCACCAAATCAGTATAATCACTATCCATACTAAACAAACCCTCAGTAACTACTAGAATACAAGCATCAGGATTTGCAGTTCTAATTTCTGATACTTTTTTCTCCATTGCTTCTAAACTCAAATGTGGAACTCTTGAAACATTTTTTGTAGCTGCAAATGCTCCTTCAGTGAGACAATTATGACATAATTCATCCATTACCACAAAATCATAAGGTCTATTTATAATTCAATTGAAATACCTTATTAAACCTTTGATTATTCCAAATCCAGCTAACCATCCTGCACTATAAAGAAGAACTTCTTTCATTCCCCAATAATCCTTTAACTCTTCTTTTAATTACATATAATATTTTGATGCACCAAATGCTAAAGGTGCTCCACAAGAATTTACTGAATACTCTTAAGCAGCAGTTGCAGCTGCTTCCTAAAATAAATTTTAAAATGAATTACTTTAGCTTATTCATTAGTACATAATCCCAAATAATCAGCAGATGCAAAGTTGATTCCATAAAATATATCTCCATAATCGTCCATTCCTATTATTAAACTTATTTTGTACCATAACATTCTTGAGCAGGTGGAGACATATTTCTTCTCTCATAAAGAATTATTTTCTATTTTCTTAAAGATCCAACTAAATTCTAAAATCCCTTCACTCTCTCAAACAAATTCTATATATTAACTTATATAAACTACCTTTCCCTCAACATTTTTATATTCTAAATGACTTAATTTCAAATTTGAAATTGTTATACTTCTATCAAATTCTTAATTTGGATTCAAACTTGGGTATTTTTGCATCTCTTCTCTTCTCTATTTAATTCAAATAATAATATTCCCTCAGAAATTCGTGATTTGAATCACTCAATAGTATAATATAAACTTTTCTGGATTAATTAAATGCGTATTATTTTATTACATAATATTATTAAAATATGTATCTAATTTCAAATTTAAATCATTCATCTCTTTTTATAAACACATGGTTATAATATTTACTACCCTAATGATTACCAATCTTTCAAATTTGGGTCTTTTTATCCTAATATTTAATATACTCGTTTCTAATTTAAGGGACCATTGAATTGACAAATGTCCATTATCTTTTAAAATACAAATAATACAAAATGACTATTATGTTCATCCTACTCATTTAATTTAATTATATTACTCTTTTTAATATTTTCATTCCCATCCCTGTAATTAAATTTACAAAATTATCTATATTATTCATTCTACTTTTCACTTCAGCTATTATTAAATGTCCATTCTTTTTTAAAACTCTAAATGCTTCCCCCAAATAATCCAAATAATTTACTCCCATCAAAGATAATGAAAAAATGGCCACATCACAACTACAATCATCCATTGGTAAATTAGAAATATCAGTCTCTATTATATATGGTTTTATTGCAACTAAATCAAAACTTTTCACAGTTATCAATTTACACAATCTTTTATCTTTATCAAAATGCTCCTAAATCTCACCTTAACCACAACCTAAATCAGCTACTACTCTATTTCAAATTAAATTATATTCTTACAATTTTTTATTCTAAAATTATTCACTCTCTTTTAATAATTTAATAATATTCCCAACAGGACTCTCTGGCCATTTCTCTATTTATTAAGCATATCCAGTATGATAAATCTTGAATTCCTCAGGATGTTACTTGAAATGTTTCAATGCATCCACACTATTCACAGTATACATATATTCATTTAATAATCTAAATTTTGATCCTTAATTCTTAAATTATCAAACCTTTTATGCGTTCTTCATCTTATTCCCATTTCTTTTATGCTTTCAATTCTTTCTTATTCTTTTTACTAATATTTTATTAAATCACATCTTTATTCCTTTTCACTTTACCAAACATTAAAATATAATTCTTATTAATACAACATTTTTATCAAAATACCTACTATAATATATATATATATATATATATATAAATTTCAAAAATTGGTTTCATTTTTAAAATACATAAAGTATTCAAGTAATTAAGTTTATGTGTAATTTTGTTTTCTTGGAATCTCATCTGAATAAATATAACATTTCAATTTCCTATATTTTTATGGAAATTCAATTGATTATATTTTAGAACATAATTCATTCTTCCTTATATTTCCTTATGAATCAAAATTGTTTACTAAATTCATATATGCATTATATAATCGAGATATAGAAGAAGTAAATCTTTATTCAGGAAATTAAGCTATGCTCTTATAAAAATAGACTACTTTCTTAGTAGCCATCTTTTCCAACCGTTTTAAATCTTTCATTAAATAATTAACAATCAATATCTAAACTAATAAAGAGAATATAAAAAAAGTTCCTAGTAATTTTAAACAAAAATCAATTGATTAATTTTGAAACTCCATCTATTTATTATAAATTTCTTGCTATTATCTCAAATATTAACTTTAATCATATATTACAAATAAGAAATAATTTAATTCACTTAGTTTTGTTCTTAAGACTATGATATTTTTCTCATAAACACTATTGTATAAATAAAAAATATTTTCATCCTTTTTTATTAAATTATTCCAATCAGTTTCATTAAATCCTGTTACACTTTAATTGTACATTTTTATTAAAACCTTAACACCATTTGCATAAAGATCACTAATGACAATGTTCCCATTCTTATCCACTAAATAATATTATGATGTATTGCTTTTAATCTTAGGCATTCTTGTAAAATCTATGTCTTGTCCTATCAATCCTTCGAATTAAGTATCAGATAAATTAGTTGTTTATGAAATGAAAACTACATCTATCCATGAAACATAAGGATCACTAACTATAATCTATTTACCTGTTCCCATTTGAGCTATATGATCTCGATACCATTATCTAGTATGAGGATAATAATTTGAAAGTGCATATCCTCTATTTTATGTAAAAAACTATTCTTCTCCAACATGAGCCATCAGAGTTAATAATTAAAGATCATAAATTCTTAAGGTTTCAGTTAATAAGGATGTTAATTTTAATATATTCTCATATTTACTAATATTTAATCCATTTGTCAAATTACAAAAAGCATAGCAAAAAGAAAAAAAATATGCATATGAATCATTGTATTACTTATTATTTAAGCAATCATAAGGCATCTCAATGTGGAAATCCTTATCTATCATCTTATATAACTAATTAATAGATAAAAGCTATCTTGTACTATCATCAAATATGTCTAAAGTTGAAGATTTTTCTAAGTAACTCAACATATTCAAATGATTTTAAGTTTCTTTATGAAATATTTCTGATGTAATGTCCATTAATTCTTCTGTAACAATGTACATATATATATAATTGCTAGCTACGAATATAATCACACTCAAAAGAGTAAAAATTAGATGCAAACAACAAATCTAATTGCTAATCCTCCAATCTCTACATAAAAAGTTTCTATAAATCTATTTTTTTTAAATCATAATTTTTCCCTTATAAACAAGTAATTTATTTTTTTAAAAAACATAAGGTTTTTAATGGCCGAATAAATACTAAAGATATTAATAATTTAATTATTTTTTTTTATCTCAATCCATCTATTGAAATATATCTGTTTTTTAAGATTAAATTAGAAGTGAACTATTTAATTATAATATTTGTTTATAAAGAGTTTTAGAGTTATTTTGAATTTCTAAGTATAAATATAAGTATCTAAAAACACTTAAATTAACATTTGATTACAAAACATATATACTATGTATCATATATATTAGAATAGCATCTCTTTTAAGATGATTTTATTTTATAATAATTATTTATAAATAACTTTCATTAAAAAAAAATCAAAAAATAATATTTATTTTCATTTAAATTTATTCTTTAGAGCTATTAATAATTACTTAAAAATTGCTTTAATTCAATATAAGAATTGCTATGAAAAAACTATTTGTGTTAAATATCAATTTCGATGTTGCAAATTTCAGTAAAATTTTGAATATATATATTTATAAATTAAAAATTTTGAATTATATACACAATTAAAAATGGTATATAGTTATTTAAGAAATTCCATCACTTATTAATTATTATTCATAGAGATTAGATGAAACAATAATATTAAATTTTACGATGGTGTTATATACTTCTTACAGTTTTTCTTAGTAAAATTTTAAATAGAGTTATTTGTATTTTTGTTTTGATTTAAGAATTTCTATTTAATATAAAAAATCAGATTATTTGATATATTTAGAGACAAAATCAATTTAATTTATATAAAGTTGATTTAATCTAAAAATGCATGATGGCATCACTGTTTTTGTGGTTAATATTAAATTGAATAGGGTTTTTATTATATATTATTAATTCACATAAATGGGGAATAGTTGTTGTAATCATCGTGAAATGAATCAATCATAGTTATAAAAACATACTCAGATATTAACTCCAGTGATGAAATCTATTGATAATTGGGATTCCTTTTAGGATGATGATGACATTATCTTACCAATGCAAAAATATACAACTTTAAGTGCAGTTTCAAAAACAGAACTTGATTTCACATAAGTTACACATCAAACAAAGATGAAGAAGACTATCCAATTACCAACAGCTAGGAAATCAGTAAAAATAAGTTATGATAATTTTATTACAATGAAACAAGGAGAATGGAATGAATAATATAGCATATTGAAAAAATTAGGTTAGGGAAGTTATGGATGTGTATGGTTGGGTAAACATAATAAAACTGGAATATTGAGAGCACTTAAATAAATAAAAAAAGATTCCTTATTATTTGAAGATTAACAAAGAATGTTATCAGAGTTGAATATCCTTAAATCTTTAGATCATCCGAATATTGTACGTGTATTTGAATGTTTTTAAGAAGATGAACAATATATAGTTGTAACAGAGTATATTTATAAAATATTTAAGATATCTTCCAGGAGGGGAATTATTCGAAAGAATAAAGAAACTCTAAATTTTTAGTGAACGAATGGCAGCAGATTATATAAAATAAATTTTATAAGCAGTTAGTTATTGTCATGAAAAATAGATAGTTCATAGGTATTGATATCAATTGAAATTTAATTAGAGATTTGAAACCAGAAAACATTTTATTAAGTGGATAAGGTGAAGAAATTAAAGTAATTGATTTTGGAACTTCTCGTTATTTTACTTAAAACTTTGATATGAAAAAAAGATTAGGAACTCCTTATTATATAGCTCCTGAAGTTTTAAATTAAAAATATAATGAAAAAGTAGATATTTGGTCATGTGGAGTGATTCTGTATATATTTTTATGTGGGTATCCTCCATTTGCTGGAAGAACAGATAAAGAAACTTTAGCTAAAGTTTAGGCAGGAAAGTTGATATTTGATAGAAATGATTGGTCAACTGTATCAAGTGATGCTATGGATTTAATTAGCAAAATGTTAAATTTAGATGTTTCTAAAAGATATTCAGCTTAATAAGCATTAAATCATTGTTGGATATTAAAAAATGCCAAATAAGAAATAATTTCTTTATAATTACTTAGCAATATAGAAAAATTTTAGGTTTAAAGCGATTTTTATATTAGGTTTAAAGTAACTTTAAGAAAGCAGTAATGACTTATATGGTGAGTTAAACTTTACAAAGTCAAGAGATTAGTGAACTTAAAGCTACTTTTAATGCATTGGATAAAAATCATGATGGGAACTTAAGTAAATAAGAATTAGTAGCTGGATACAGAGTATTATTAAGGAGTAAAGAATAAGCTGAAGAAAAAGTGAATTAAATTTTAGATACTTTAGATCTAAACCATTCGAATCTAATTGATTATTCAGAGTTTATCATGGGAGCAATGAGAGTTGAAAAATTAGTTTCAATAGAAAGAATTAGATAAGCATTTCGAATGCTTGATATTGTAATATTTATATATTTATATATATTGTAGAATGGAGATGGTTTTATATCAAAGGAAGAATTAGAAGAAGCTATGGGATTTTTAGAACCTGAAATATGGGAATAATTTTTAAATGATTGTGATTTAAATAAAGATGGAAAAATATCAGAAGATGAATTTAGTAAAATTCTAACTACTATATGATAATTATTTCTAAGTATTTAACTTTTTATATACTTATATCTAAAGTAATTCAATTAATTCATGTTATTATAAATTAATAATATTTAATACTCAATTTTAGAATTCATATAACTCAATAAATTGATTTTTGTCACATTTACAAATGTATTTAGTATTTGCTTCTTGTAATGCTATATAAATAGGATTAACTAATTAAAAATAAAACTATTACATAAATGTTCAATATCTTTATTAGTAAATAAACAAATCCATAATTTATTTGTCATTTTAAAATTGAATAATTGTTATAATATTTTTTATAAATTTTATCTTGATAAATCTACAATATGTATTAATGTATTTAATGCAATTTTATCTTTTAATTCATCAGTTAAATAATCAAATATCAAAACTGGTTATTAAGGATTATAATTTTATTTACTGAATATTTATTTAATTTTTTATACTTGAGGATGATTTAGATCTTAAATTTCCCATTTCTCTGTTATTAATATATGTTAATTAATCATATCCTAAACTTCATAAGGTGATATTTAAATCATATCTAATAATGGTTATTTTTCCTATTCCAAAAATATTGGTTTGGCATGATGATTAAATAGATTTAAAGAGTCCAAATAAATCCAAAATTGCTTTGGTGTATATGTATGAATTTTTATAGCTATTTTAATAATTTCATAATAAGTTTTTTCATCATCTAAAAATATCTTAGACATAAAATATGGTAAATTGTCAGCTCTATTATTTAAGATTTCTTTTTTTTTATAGATTACTATTGCAATGTTAAAACTAAAAATGAAATATCTATCATTTATCAGAATAGTGTTCTCTATTATCATTTATGCTATTGGAAAAGAAGCCTTATTAATACCTAAAGTAATGAACCATGGAATGGCATACAATTAAGGTGATATTTCATGTAAAGTTAATCTATTGTATAATTCCATATCATGATATTTCAATAATAAATTATAAACAGATAATATTGATTGAATTCCTGAATAATCATCATCAAAAAAATTAGTCATATATCTTCTAATAAATTCATTAAACATAGAATAAACTACTGATATATTTAAGCCTGCATTAATAAATATTATAAATGGAGCTGCGATTTCATGTAATCCTTATTTATAAGTTATATGATTTGATATCACATAATATGTTAGTAATTATTCAAGTTAAGTTTTTAAATTTGAATCAAGCAAATTTCCTCTAGTCCTTATAACATCAAATCTTATAATATTTTATTATACTTTATTACTCTTTAATTTTATTAATTCAATTTAACACTTTAGATAGGATGACTAATCTTTAAATCAATGTCCATCAATTAAGGCCACATTAAAGCTCTGGTATATAGATAATTAGCCTTTGATATTAATTCAGAATTAGACTTTTTAGAATTATCACTTTGAGATCTCATTAATAATTTAATGTTTTAATATATTACAAATAATAAATGACTATGAAATCAATTAAAAATATTTTAATCATATTCTGCTTTATCTTTTTCTAATAAAATTTCTTCTAATTTCGTTATCAACAAACATATAATGATTTCTAGCAGATATTTAATGAGAATAAACGAAACTCCTTTCATCTTTAATATCTTTAGTTGCAAAATCAATATATTCATTAAGGTTCTTAAAGTGATGTTTGATTAAAGTTTTCCAATTTGTATTTGTTATATGATTTTTTTATTCTAAATTATCTAGTAACAAAGCAAACTTTGACTCTTATTCTTATAACCTATTTTTTTCTTTAGAAAATGAATCTTGAATTTGTTAAAATGTTTTTAGAACTCCTTCTTCAAGTGTACTAATATCAGATATTAGACTATTTAATCTACTGTTTTTGGTTTATTTTTTTACCAAAACACTTTTAGAGCATTAATATTGATGTTACTTTGAAAGACTTGGAGAGCGAAATTAATTTAAATAGAATTCATGCTCCAATGGTGGTAATTTTACTTAGGCTTGGATTTGATCTACAAACAATTAAACATCCTATTTTGATTTAAATGTCATTGCTTATTTAGGCGTTGTGCTTTTTTTTTATCTTTTGTGATTAAAGCAAATTTCAGCATATGTGTCATCAAGCATTTTTAGTAATTAACAATATTTTTTATAACTTATTCATTTTATCTAATTATTTAGAAATACACTTATTAAACAAAAATATAAGATAATAACAAGATTGATAATTAATCTTCTTATTAAATTCTTCATTAACATATTATCAAAATCAATAATTAATGTTTTTTAATTTTAGAAGTTATAGTTATATCATCAAATAAGATGTAATTTATAAATATATATAATACAATAATCTTTAAGATTATCTTCACAAGTTTATAATTAAAATAAATTAATTGTTAATAAATCATCTGTTCATCATAAACAAAGAGAATAATACGAATTATAAAAAAAAGGTTATAAAAAAAATTATCTATTTTTATAATCATTTTCTAATTTAAAATATTTTTATCTACTTTTCTTTATTTACTTTTTGTGTATTATATATTGATATTTTGTTATATAATAAAGAATTTAATTAATTTTATTTTAAAATATGTAATTGTTCAAATTTTGAAATAAATCTTTAATTATTTATATTGAATATGAATACTTATGAAATAAAATCAATTTTTTATTAATCAAAATATAAACAAAATTAAAATTTCATTTTAATTATTAAAAATAAGGCCACAATTTTTATTATAAATTTATTTTATTTCTAGAGACTGTTGTGTCACTAGGTAAGGTTTTAATTCTAGTTGAACTACATATTTATGAATCTTAATTTATAATTTTTAGTTATTTATTGATAAATTAAGTTTATTTATTATTTAATTGAATTTATTTTGGTAAATAATCTGAAGATTTAGATTAAATTAACTATTATGTAGTTTTAATAATATCAAGACTTCTTTTTTAAGCAAGAAAATATTAATTAAGTTCATTTAAACTAGGTTGAATTATATTTGGTAATTTTGATTGAAATATATTTTTTATCTTTTTATTTTTTTCATTGACATATTATGCAATTACAGAATGTGATGCTTTTCTTGTAAATATATTATGATTTTATTCATAATGTAATCTAGGAGTTAAGTATTAGTGATTTCCACAATTAGTTTATTGTAATTTAATAAATTATGTCTTTTTAAATTAAACTTTTAATATGGCAGCAGGAGAAGATTCACAAGAAGAATCAAATTAATCCTAATTTAATTAGATTATAATTTATTACAAATTTCTTGTCCATAATCTCATGATATTTCAATAATTTGTCCCTTGATACAAAAACACTATTTTTAGGTTCTTATATACAAGTTTTACGTCTTAAAATTAAATGAGAATTTCTCTTTCTTTAAAGTAACAAATTGATTTTTCTTTCTAGATCTGGTTCTAATTTGTTTATTGGACCTTCATATTGTTAATCAGAATTAGTTTTGGATCTTTTATGAGTAATTTTTAGAATAGTTGGTAATCGTTAACTTCTACTTTTATGATGGCGATAGTATTTTTTATGATTAGATCTTTGTGTAAATTCTAATTATATATTTAATATACTATACTGCATTTTTAATCTATTCATTTTCTTTTTCTTTAAGATTGCTGCATCTTTTGAATGTTGAAAGACTTAAATTGAAGTAGTCAGATTGTTAAGTCTTTTTTATTTTGAACCAATAAATTCAAATTGACTGACTCTTCTAATTACACAATTTTTGACTGGTGTTTCAATAATAATATGACTTGTTGTTGAAATTGCATCAGTAATATCAAACTTCTCAGATCTAGATGATTTTCTTGCAGATTATTAAATGTATGATGTGTTTGGTAAATTTAAATTAGTTTTAAGTTTAGGTAATTATCTACGTTATTGATTAGATTAGATTAAGGAATTTGATGGTAATTCAAATGATTTAGAATGCCAAGTATGACATTATCTGAACTCTGAAAATTTTGATTTCTATAGTATTTGATTCAAATTGCTTGTTTGTTATCTAGTCTCCTTAAAATTGATTTTTAACATTAAATTTATATACATAAAAATAGCTTTAATTTTAGACATCTATTATATTATATCTATATTGTTCTTGTGATTTACATATTAAATAAATTATTGTAATATGATAATCAATAACATATTATAAAGAGTATTATTTATAATTAATTATGAGTGTAATTAAAGGAATTGCAAGAGCAAATTTGAAATTAGTGGAGCTAGTTTAAAAAGGTTATATCATTCATGGAAATACTTTAGAAGAATAGATGATGAATTTTGAAAGAATCATTTCAGATCACAGTAATATTGAGATATATTGGATTAGATAGAAAACATGATAAATAATGGTTATTTTAGGATACAAGATTATATGAAATTCCTAGACCATCTAGATATAAAGATTTGTATGAAAGAGAATTGAAAAGAAAGAAGGATAGAAGAACAATTGCATTTTTATGTAAACATGTTATGGCTGAAAAGAATGTTAAAATACCTATGAAATGAATCAATATATTAATATAATAAATATATAATGTAAAATTACGACAGTTTATTCTTTTAGATTCAACTCTATGTAGCAGAATTGTGTGAACCTATAAGTTTAATAGAATTTGTAGTGGATGATGTAAAACCAAAATAGGAAATAGAGTAAAAAATATCAACAGACATTTAAGTTTCAGATCGAAAATAAAAAATGAAAACTTAAAATGAAAAGAGTATAGACTTGTTGAAATAATATAGATAGTCAATCCATCCAAATCTAATGTGACTCATACTTAATAAAGTAAAAAGAATAAATAAGATACTATTTGTAAAGGGAAAAATTGGATTATCAAAAAATTAAATGAAGAAAACTAATCTAAGTAGATAGTTACTTGTTTACCAAATTTGCCTAAATCAATCTAAAATTAAGGAAAATTATTCTCCAATACAGCTTCAAGATAGATGAAATAGAGATTCAATAAATTTATAGGTGATTAGAATAAGAATTAATTTATTATTCAAAATGACATTTTATAAGGATAATAAAATTCATCATTACTTCAATTAAGTAATTTTTTTTAATAAATTATATTAGTTAGATTAAAATCAGACTCTCCAAAATAATTACCGATTTATGATGTTAATTTTGTTTAGAACTTTTAATAATATTTTTCTTGATACTGAGTAAATATAAACATGTTTATATATGTTATGTATTTTATATTAGTAAATTAATTATCAAAACAATCGCAATTATAAATATTATCAAAACAATTCTTTTATCATAATAATAATGTAATTAAGAATATATATATATATATTATTTTTAATATTCTTTAATTACAATTATTAATTAATTTGATTATAAATGAAATTAATAATGAATATTAAAATATTACTTATAAGTTTAAATATTATTTTCAAATCATTGATGATTAGGAAATTTAAACTTAGGATAATATTAAGATAATACCAGTAATCATTTAATAAAGTAATTGACTTCGAGATTTTTTAAATCTAAATTAGGTCCATCATCATTAGCCATATCTAAATCGAAATCATCATTAGATTATCGAAATTTTCTATTTTCTTTATGTTCTTAACTTTATTTAAAGGAAGTATAAGATTTCGAATCTTTTCTTTTATTGAATTAATTAGAATTATTATGTATTTATGGTTATGATTCAACTTAAATTAAAGTATGATTGCTAATTTAATAATTATTTTATTTGCTTGTAGCTTAACTTTTAGGTTCAATAGATGTTTTTTTTTATAATTAGATTTCATCCTATTATTTATATGTATTATGATCAAAGTATTTTTCATGTAATTATTTCATGAATTTAACATTATGTTAATTCTCTTATTTTAAATGAAAAACTTCTCCTTCTTCATCAACAGGAGGAACTAAATCAATTTCAGTTTATAATCTAATATTTGGAATAGAATCAGGATCAATAAGAATATCTTATGTTTGCAATTCCATCTATTTTAATTCCCAATCATAAAGTTAATGTTCATAATCTTAGAGTTGTTTTTCAAATAGATTTCTCAAATGAGAATAGTTTGGCTATTATTAAAACAATAATGATTTCACATGCTAAAAGTATTGTATAAAACACTGGAAATTATAAATGAATTAATACTTTTGGTAAATTGTGACAAAGTGAAATAAGTGGAATTCCCATTTTTACTTATAATATTTAATCATACTTATCTTCTTTATCAATAGCTTTAACATTAGACCATGGTAATTCTCCTTTAACGAAATAAATTAACATATAACCTAAACTTTCTAAATCATCTCTTCTTGATTATTCCATCCCTAAATAATACAATTATATATACATTATAATGTATTAATACTTGCATAACGAGCAGTTCCTATAACTCCTGTTTTTTAAGAAAATTCGATGTGTCTTCCATCAGCCACTCTATAATATTTTGATAATCCAAAGTCAATCAAATAAACTAAAGAAGTATCTTCTCTAGATATTAGAAAATTTTCAGGCTTTATGTCACGATGTATAAAATTCATACTATGAAATACTTAATGTATTTATATTATACACAACCTTCCAAACGATCAATCAGTTGGATTGCCAATTATAATGTAGTTTAGAGGGAAAACTTACCTCCACATTTCTTTAATAAAACTTCAAGATTCTCTCCTAATAATGTACTCATATAATATGAGTATTATCGATCTTTTCCATTGTGTAATAATTCTGGAAAACCTAAAATTATTATAATAGAAGTAAAATTAATATACCATTAATTCCTTTCAATTGTTTCAATATCAATATTTCTCTATTCATCATTCTCATATGTAAATTACGATTTTCAAATTTAGTTGCACAATATTCTTATTCATCCATATCAAATGTTAAATAAACTATTCCAAAACTTCCACTACCAATTTTCTTTAGCAATTTGAATCTTTGATCTATAATCAAACCACATTATAAACTATTATTCTAATCCATTTTAATAATAAATTTAATATGTTAAACCATTTAATAACTATAATAGCAGAATGCCAAATTAATTCAGAATAGATTAAGTAATTGTTTGTTGATCCTCATATGGCATTTCAAATGTTATCCTCTAATGGACATGATATTGATTAATCAGATATCAAAAGGTTCATCTCTCTTAATGATGAAGAAATCAAACATCTCATTAGCTAATTCAATTCCAACTCAGAAGCAAGATTTACATATGCAGAGTAATCCTTCATATTATTATATAGTTTTATTAATTCCTTAAAGCTTAATAACAACAACAATATAAGAGAAGCACTTATTAAACTGTTATAATAGGAGGCAATCAATTTTAAGTAAATTCTTTGTGTTTTCCATAGATTTTAGTAAAGTTTAAATACTCAAAGAAGATAGTAATTTCAATCCTACTGAAATATTTAATTAGATTGATTAATTTGGCAAAGGTTACATTACACACAGAACTTTAAAAAAATGTACAAATTTATCTAACGACTACATCTCGGCTTTCTTTAGATTTCTCGACAAAGATAATGATGGCAGAATTTTTGAAAGTGAATTTTTATCAGCCTTCAAATCCTCACAAAAACAATAATAATTAGCTGTTTAATACAAAGATTTGAGATAAAGTTAAGAAAAAGAAAAATAAATAATTTAATAATGTTAATAGATCTAATAAAATCTATAAATGAATGAAGAAAAAAATAGCTAATAAAGAATTAAATAAGTCTAACAATTATTATAGAGTAGATAAAACCTAGATCGCTCTAAAGGATAAAATTCTTATTCCTCCTTACTTAAAGTAAGATAATAATTACTTTAAATTGACTATATCAGAAGAAATTCTCAACGTGAAACCTTTGAAAGACTTCTCAAATATTAACATCAATTAATTAAAAATATCAAAGAGAAGAATGAAGAAACTACATAAAAATAGAAGAATCTTAGTAGTCTCCATGATCAATTATATACTATGAGAACACAATAAGATTTAAGTCTTAAGAGAAAACGAGAGTATAGTATTCATAGTTAATCTTAATTATGATTATTTTTTTATAGACTATTAACATATATCAAACATAATACTAATTAAAGATCTATTCTGTATTATATATATTTTGGATAAGTAACATTAAAATAAAATAAGAGATAGAACAAAATAAAAACATCTTAAACAAAATTCTTACTTTTTGTATTTTAAATATTTTTTCCATTATTTTTTAATTTATTATAATATTTAAATTAAGATTAATACTCTATGCTATTTCACATGATCTAATTCCAAAAGTAATCACAGTACTTTTATTAATAAGCCCATTTCATAAATAAAATACATATAGTATTACATTTATAGATAATCTTAGCTTATAATAAATATAATTCTTCAATAAAAAAATGAGATTGAGATGATCAACTAAAATAACGATTCCAAATATATATATTAATATATATTTTATTTGAAATTAAATAAAGATTGTATTGAATCCAAAGAATAAATGTTTTTAAAAATGTATTTTAATAAAGTTTAGAAAAAATTAGATTTGAATTGAAAAATGATGGATAACAAAATGAAATATTATAATAAATTAGATGATGTACTTTTAAATGAAATGTTTGAGAGTAAAATTAAAAAGGAAATTAAGATAGTAAAGATCAGTGCTATACTGATATTCAATAATTGAAAGTTAATTTTAAATATGATCAAGAATATTGGATTAATTGATTATAAATCAAAATGTAGAATAATAATAATATATTACTTCCATATAAATACAATATCATAATTATAAGAAATAGAGTAATTAATTAAAAAATAATAATAATTAATAATCAATACAAATCATTACAAAGCGATTATATAATTAGAAGCAACTAAGTTTGAAAATGATGATTTAAAATTTGAAACCAAAAAAAATAAAACAGAAATTAAATTGTGGAGTAAAACTGTTCATTAATTTATAAATACCATAAAAGATTAGAATTCTCATAATATTGATCTAACATCAACTGTAATATAAGAAATAATTAATAAATTCATTTAGTAAGTAAAACATTATATATATTTGTTGATAATAAATTAAAATATATCAATAATGTTAATTATAAATTTCAATTATAAAAAAGAATGATTGATAAATTCAGAAATATTTTTAAACATTTATGTATACAAAATGAGTTAGATTTAAAAAATACAATATAATTAGAATTCAAAAGGATCTGATAATTGCTTATAACTTCTTGATTAATTATAAAATAAATCATAATTTTACATCGTTTTATTTTTATTAATTTAATCAAATAAATGGATCNAATAAAATAAGAGATAGAACAAAATAAAAACATCTTAAACAAAATTCTTACTTTTTGTATTTTAAATATTTTTTCCATTATTTTTTAATTTATTATAATATTTAAATTAAGATTAATACTCTATGCTATTTCACATGATCTAATTCCAAAAGTAATCACAGTACTTTTATTAATAAGCCCATTTCATAAATAAAATACATATAGTATTACATTTATAGATAATCTTAGCTTATAATAAATATAATTCTTCAATAAAAAAATGAGATTGAGATGATCAACTAAAATAACGATTCCAAATATATATATTAATATATATTTTATTTGAAATTAAATAAAGATTGTATTGAATCCAAAGAATAAATGTTTTTAAAAATGTATTTTAATAAAGTTTAGAAAAAATTAGATTTGAATTGAAAAATGATGGATAACAAAATGAAATATTATAATAAATTAGATGATGTACTTTTAAATGAAATGTTTGAGAGTAAAATTAAAAAGGAAATTAAGATAGTAAAGATCAGTGCTATACTGATATTCAATAATTGAAAGTTAATTTTAAATATGATCAAGAATATTGGATTAATTGATTATAAATCAAAATGTAGAATAATAATAATATATTACTTCCATATAAATACAATATCATAATTATAAGAAATAGAGTAATTAATTAAAAAATAATAATAATTAATAATCAATACAAATCATTACAAAGCGATTATATAATTAGAAGCAACTAAGTTTGAAAATGATGATTTAAAATTTGAAACCAAAAAAAATAAAACAGAAATTAAATTGTGGAGTAAAACTGTTCATTAATTTATAAATACCATAAAAGATTAGAATTCTCATAATATTGATCTAACATCAACTGTAATATAAGAAATAATTAATAAATTCATTTAGTAAGTAAAACATTATATATATTTGTTGATAATAAATTAAAATATATCAATAATGTTAATTATAAATTTCAATTATAAAAAAGAATGATTGATAAATTCAGAAATATTTTTAAACATTTATGTATACAAAATGAGTTAGATTTAAAAAATACAATATAATTAGAATTCAAAAGGATCTGATAATTGCTTATAACTTCTTGATTAATTATAAAATAAATCATAATTTTACATCGTTTTATTTTTATTAATTTAATCAAATAAATGGATCAATAGTCCATTTTTGAATATCTCGATAAATTATAATTACAAATAACAGATCCAATTTAAAAGCAACTTGAATATTATCACAATAAAAAAAATATGATTGCCTCTCATAAAAAGTTAACCAGTCCTAAATTTTAGTCCCCTTAAGCGATCCCATTATTAAGTGAATAGTTACCTATAAGAAAAACTTTATCCCAATAAACAATAGAATTACCATAACTTGATTAAGGATGGAATATAAATTATCATAAAAAAAGCCATTTTGAGAAGAGAATTACTTTTTAATGATATATAAATTAGTATTATAAATTTATTATAAATGAAATAAGCTTATGCTATTGTTTAGGATGATTTTGAGTAAATTAAATCAATTTAATCAAAATGGAAGAATTAAAATATCAAGAAAGAAAAAATAGATGATACTAAAAGATTAAAATTAAATTTTATAGAAGAATAAAATTATGATTTCCAACTTCCTGATGTTTTTATAACTACAAAACAATATTATTCTAAACCTACAAGTATTTGATAACTTATAATGAGAGAGTCCAAGAATGAAATAGAAAAAATCCTTCAGTTTTGATTTAGGACCTCAATCCCCAAATTTATCAAAAAATTAAAGAAACTTTGAACTATCAACATTGGAGTCTAATTATAAAAAGTTTAAGTAATATATATAAATTATTCTAGGTAATGTTGTTGTTCCATAAAATAATCTCCTAGAGAAGAGAATTTAAGTCAATGTATATCAATTACTAGAAATTATAATTTTTAAAAAATCGATGGTATTAAATTTCCTGAAAGTCTATATATTATCCATAAAAAGAGAAGAGATAAATTAGATGATATATTCAGAAATTAAACTTGTGAGAATTCTATTTCAAAAATGAAATAATATGAAGATGAAAATAAACTATAATGTATGATTAGAGTTTGATTTTTAGAATTATTAAAATAGAAAGAGAATAAATAAAAGGAATATGTAAGTAGATCATTTTTAGACAATGCTTATTTTTCAATTTTATCAATAAATAAAGAAAGTAGATAAAGAGTAAAAAAAGTAATTTAGTATTCATTGCCAAAACAATCTAGATTTTAATTGTTCTGATACATGTATTTGTGTATAAATTACTTTTAATTATTAATAATATAATAAATGCAAGTATATTAATCATGTCAAAATGACTATAATGAAGAAAACAAATAAATTAAATAAAAACTGTTAGAATATTGGGTGAAACTATAAAAATCTTTGGATGAAGAATATGAAGAGATTTTAAAATTAAGTTAAGAATCTGATCCTAATGATATTATTAATGCATTATTTATAATTGAAGATGCTCGTTAGGAATAATAGAAGGTGTATATATATGTTTGATAAACTTAGTTAGATAAGTAATAATTAGAGGTTTTGACTAAGGAATTGCAATAAGAAAAAAAGAAAATAATTGAATTGTAATAATAAAATCAACACTTAACATAAATCAATTAAAAAACAGATATTCAATTAGAAAAAAGACAAATGGAAATAAAAATAAATGAACTATCCCTTGCATTAGTTTAATGTAAGGAGGATAAAATACTATATATGTAGTAAGCTTAACAAGAAATTTAACATTTAAAAGAATAAGAATTAGAATTAAAGAATAAAATTTAAATGCTTGAATATGGACAATAAAAAAAATTATATTTTTAAAAAAATGAAGATGATTTAAAAAGATAATCAAAAGATTTTATAGATGATGATATTCCTAAAATAAATACTTATCCTAAAGTAAAGTTTGATTAATCTAAATTAAGTTAAGTGTAAAATTAAAAAAAGATAATAAAAATAGATTAAGTTTAAGGAGTTTCTCAAGCATTATTTAAATTTGGAAGTAAATGAGTTAAATTGTATTTTATATTATTAATAATATTTATTTAATTTTAGTTATAATTCTTAAACTAATAAAATAATAACAAGGATATTTTTTAAATATGTTAAAATTAATTACAAAAATAATACTTGATTCAAATATATCTGTTTAAACTCTTCAAATCAGTAAATCTTCTATGTTAATCACTTAATTCAGTGGAATCACTTAATAATTATAAAATATTATACGTTTAATGTGTTGTTGAATCTATTCTCTTATGACCACCTAAAGTTTACCTTAAGTACATAATGGATTCTTCATTTCTCCTAGTAATCATTTCTAGCTACTCCAACTTTTTTAAGGACAAATGACCTTACTTTGATATATTTAAATTGATACTTCTCTTTATTTTCTACTATCATGAATAACTTATTATAGTTATTATTGTATAGTTTTATTTATTTCATCCTGTTAATCTTATCTCTATTTTAATGACATTAATTCTCTTTCAATTTTTTTCATTTATGTTTCTAATTTTCTAAAAGAATCATTTTATTAATCTGGTTTATTTGCAATATGACTAATAGAAATTTTTTTATTTTATTGAAAGAGATTATTAAAAATCGAGACTGAAAGATTATTTTTTAATTTTTCACTTTCATTAATTGATTTATCAGATTTTTAGAATGGTGCTTCTATTCCTGATGGTTTATTAATTGCCATTGAAGGAGTTCTTTTTCTATCAGGAGTTATAGTATGTTTAGTAACATTTTTTTAAGAATTTTGATGAATTAATTATTAGGATTATATATTAAGATTTTATTATTAGAGTATATTATTTTAGATTTGATTTGATGCCTATTAATGTTAAGATTAAGATTATTATTATTGAGAATAATTATGATTTAAGGATGGTTATAATGTTGTTTAATGACTAAATGGAACTTGAACAGGTAAAACTGTAGTTTTCTTTTGTAGTTCTTTAGTAAAACTCATTTTATTGAATAAATCTAATTTATCACTATTCATCAAATGAGTAACATCTCTTAATTAAGCTTACTATATTTTAAATGTATATTTATACTATTTAACTTATTAATGTTGAATTTTATCTATTGTGTTCATTTTTTAAATTCTCTTTTTGATCATTATTATTTTTTTATTCAACACTATATGTTTATCTTTTTTAAGTATTCACATTCAATTTAATTCCTGAAGTCAACTTTTTACCTGATTCTTAGGTTTATTCAACACTTGATAACAAATCATTCTATTCAGGTATCAAAAATAGATTGTTTGGTTAATATGATCCAAAATTTGATTTTTTTTTGGAATTACCAAATGTTAAACCGCAATTCTCTTTGAGATGTTGCATTGCATAATCATCTTCTAATTTTTCAATTATAACTTCTTTTTCTGGAATTTAAGGTTAAATGTGTGATGCCTATTAATAAAAATGAAATTATTGAATACATGATTAAATATCTCAATGAAGTGTTTCTTATCATCTTATTGACATAAAGCATTTCTTAAATCAACTTCTGAATTTGATTAGGTTCTTCTATGCTTGTGTTTACTCATTCAAATTTGAATATTTCTGTTTATTTTATATATTTTATTATAGTTAAACAGAATATATTTTACTTATTTTATACAGACATCAATCTCTTAGTTAAAGAAGATAATTGTAATCATTTAAGTTCCAAATTCATATTATCAATTATCTTAATGTTAGATATGATACAACATAGATTGAATTATAATATTGAATTATCACAAAAGAGAATATCAAATTAATTTAACTGAATGTTTTATTCAAATTGAAACATAATTATACCAATGTCTTTTTCTTTTTTAATGAAGTTTCAAATATTCAAATGGATAAAAAACTTATAAATCTTCTTCCTAAAAGTTGTAATTCTAAAATTAACTTTGTAAACATTACCTTAATATTAGAAGGCTCAAATGACAAAGATTCTAAAGGTTTCAAAGGAAATTAAATTTATTCAAGTTCTGTACATGTGATATTTTTTCTGCCTTCCTTATGGTTCAATAATTTTATATTCATTTTCCTAAAAGCCTAATGCAATTCTTATATAGTCTTTAAGGAATATTTAGTTTATTTGAGATGAATCTTTTAATTTATTTATTGTCTCATAAGATCAAATTCTTTAGTAATCTATTAACTAGTGTACAATATTAGATTTGTGATTGGACTCAATGTTACATATATAATTAATGAACTCAAAATTATTGAAAACACTGCTGTTGATGTTCCAATTAGTATATAATTTTTAAAGAAATCTTCAAAATTATTTTTAATCTGAGTAAGCTAATTCAATAGTTCCTTCTCCTTTTCAAGAAGATCCACTTAACTAAAACCATAAGATTTAAAATCTATTACATTAACAAAATCAAATCAGTTGGATCTAAAATTTTTGCTACTATTAATTCTTCAGTTTTAGTTACTGAATTGTATCTACAAAGTTTTTCATTATTCAATAATTGATCTATCTTTGAACAATTATTAATAAATGCTTTTTAATACAAGGAATTATTTATTTATTCAAAATCCTCCATTGTATATCCTGATATATCAGTATCATAAATGTATTTATCCTCACTTATATTAAATTAACTCAAAAGAAATTGTCCTTTTGAATCAATTATTGAAAAAGTTACATTTTCTTACTTCAATTATAAAGTATGAAATAGACTAAAATTTAAATCACTTCCCAAAACACCATTCAATCCTCCATTTAAATTTGTCATATTTCTAGTTTGAGTTACCATAAACAAAAACCAAGTCCATAATATATAAGGATCACTAAAATAAGTCAAATTGTAATTTTATTATTCTATCTACTTCAAATGGTTTGTATACCATATTCTTCTATGAGGTTTATAATTTGGAAAAGGATCACCTGGCCAAATAGAAAAGTACATTTGATCACCAATTGTAGAAAATAACAAATCTAATTCCATATCCATTATTGGTAAAACTTAAGTTAAAAAGGAAGAATAATTCATTGCCAAAAAGTCTTTATTTGTAAGAGGATATGCTTAATCTCCAAAAAAGCCATAACAAAATGTTTATTCATATTAATATTTGTCTAATTTATCATCATAGTTTAGACAATTCAATGGCTGCTGTACATATTACAACTCTACTGATTAGATGAATTGATATAAAAAATCAGACTTTAATAGATGAGTTTAACTTCTAAGTAATACTTCCTAAGAACTTCTTACTTATAAATTAGTAATCATATCTGTTTTTTTGTAATATTATAGAACATAGAATTCTAGTGAGATATTTGAGTACATATCAATAATGTATTAATATGCTAAATAACTTATTAATGTTAATAAAGTTCCTATTAAAAATTGAATTATCACTTGAATTATTAAAACTTGTGTTCTTACTTTTAATTTATTAAGACAAAATAAAGAACTAAAGCTTGTTTAATTTTTATGATTTTCTAATTTTTCCATTTTTTAGTAATTTTATTATGAATATAAAACAAAATAATAATATTAACTTTGATTCATATTTATAATTTATTTCACAATCTGATTAATTGATTAAACATTATAATTGATTCTATAAATAAAAAAATCATAAGTAAATGAGATAAATATCATTTAATAATATAATTTAATTATTATTGATGAATTCCATTTTAATAAATTGATTAAATTATATGTATTACTTAGAAACTGGTTTTATCAATTGATTATTATAAAATGCATGATTAAATAAATATATTTATATCATAATAATATGTCAACCAGAATATTGAAATAATCAATACGTATCAAACAAAATCCAAAGAAAATTATCACTTAAAATCCAATAGGAATTAATAAATATTCAGGCTATTTCATTTTATTGATACCTAATATATATTTAATAATTCTTACTTGAAATTTACTTAAAAATAGTATAATAAAATTAGTAGTTGGCAAATAAGTTCAGCATATTATTTATTTCTAATGGACTGATGATTAATAAGTTGACTATAAACTATATATTAAATATATTTATTACTAAACATAAATAATTGTAAATGGTGAATAAAAATAATGAATAAAGAAATGCTTCAATAACAAATATTAAATGAAATTATTGGTCAGGTACAAATTTCTTTAACAAAATAACTATTGAATATCCATAAAAAGTATTAATTATTAGATGTTTTAATATTGCAATAATAAAAGCATGTTTTAAGTATAATATAGAATATATAAATACGACTAACAACTAAAGAATCGATATTAGTAATAGAAATGAAATATTATTGGGCTATTTCAGTTATATTTCTAATGTATGTATTATTACATATTACCATAATTCCATTATAGGGCCTAGAATCTGTGAATATTTTAAATCAAATTACGCTTATCTTTGATTAATCAATAGTAATTTCATTTGATAAAGTGATTCTTTGAAATCATTTAAATTTATGTGGTAAATGGTCTGTAGATACATTGATAAATCATCATTTGCTCGAATGACTGGTGATTCAGTCTTGAGATCCATTTGAGCTTCTGGGTCCATATAAAATTATGTATAATTAAAATAATTAAATTATGATTATTTTAAATTTAGTTGTGACGGTATACATTAGAATATAAATGTAATATTATTTATCATCAACCCAATTTATTTGTAGTCTATCTAATAAAAATTTAATGAATTTCTTTGCTCATTGATAATGAATTCTTCAGATAATAATCTCTTAATTCATCATAAATAGAAATTTAATATGTTTATTATTGATCCTATATATTAATTTCTTAAAATTGATTGATTAATAATACAATTACAGAAAATTCTTGAGGATCAAAGAGTATATGTTTATCTGCAAATATTCTAAATAACTATACTAAAATCATTTCAGGATAATCTTTTACAATTAATAAAAAGTGAAATATTTACTAAAGTTCATGATAGAATACTTCTTCAGGTTCAAAAGCATCCATAATCTAATCAAATAATTATTAATAATATGATTCACATGAATTTATTTTGATGATATGATTGATAAGTTATAAAACTTCTGTTTTATGATTATGGTTAATAACCTTTTATTATATAATTTATTATAATAACCATTCTAAATTCCCTTAATATTTAAGATAAAATTTAATATGATCTAATTTATTCAAATTCTTATATTATTAACAATCCTATTCAATTTAATTTAATGGATAATTCAATTCTAATTGTTTTTTAAGTTTTAATTTCAGCAATATTCTATTCCTTGAATTTTTAGTCATCATAAATTATAAAGCAAGATCTTAATAGATTTTCAAAAACAATTTAACATTTTCAAATTAAGATTATGATAGTTTTCTATATAATAAACTGATGTATTTATGAGATTCATAATTTAATTCTCCATTCTGTTAATTCAATATTATATTAATTATAAGAGGATGATATTATTAATATGTATTATCATCTTATAAATAAAGCCATTTTAATAAATATTTAGATTTTATATTGATTGGTATTTGATTTTCAATATCTTCAAGTATTTGATCTTTAATATTCTCATTAAAATATTTATGGTGATTTTTACAAAATAATTTAATTTTTTATTTTAAACTTAAATGATCTAATAGATTAGCTTTGTATTGTGGTTATTCAGGTTTTATTCCAAAACTTAAAATATTTTTAAATAATTAAGTGAATAATTATCCAATTGTATAATTTTATGGAAGTGATGTATTTGAAATATCCATTAATATTAATTATTACAATTCTACAGAACCCTTTTTGAGAAGAGTATATTTAGTTGCTAAACTTAAATTTGATAAATGTTTGATTGCTATTTATTCATTAATATTCAATCTCAATAGTCTATCAATAGTTTAAATATTATTAGTGTATAAAAGTTATTTTTTTATTTTATTCATTAAAATGAATTCTATGAAATTCTTAAGTTAAACAAAGTTATGAATTATTCTAAATTCTTTTTATATAATAAATATTTATCTATATGTATTTATATATAGATAAAATTCCATATATAATTTGGATGATATGTAAAATATATTGAAATTAAAGTAATACAGATATATTATTATTAATAGTAAATAAATGATTTTAAAGAAAGATTATTTATGTTTGGATTTATATAGATATATCAATAATATCAATAATTTTATCTTCTTGGTCCAGCTTTGCTATAACCAGTTGTTGGTCTAATGCGTTCTCTTTCTACATTCTCTACATATTTATATGGATGTAAGTGTAATTTTTCAAATTTTGATTTTGTATGCTTTGAATGATTTTCTGAAATATATTTATTTTAAACAAAACTTAATTAATCAATTGAACCATAGAGACTAATTAAGTAGCATATTGTATCATAAATTAAGAGGGTCTTAAATTGAAATTCTTAATTAAATTAATTCCTGAAATAATATTGATATATTACCAATCTTCTGTGTCTTTTCTAAAAAGTAATGTTCTTCCATTTGCATCTCTAAAATCTTTAGGACCTACTCCATATATATAGGCTTCAAAAGATTCACTATATTCTTCAACAATAATAATTTAAGGAAAATAAGTAGTTAGAACTCTTTTGAGCCATTCAACATTTTAATTCATGTCTTCTCTTTGTAAGTAATATAAATTGATAACAAATTAACCTTGATTCCATTATTCAGGTAATGATATTGGTTCATATATATTTATTTATTTATCCTCTTCTTCATAATTTAATTTTTTATCTATATTGCTTTCTAATCTCTAATCACACAAAGCTTTAATTGCAAATAATTTCATATAAATTTTAGATCCTTTTTATTCACAACATATTTAAATTGATTAAATTTCTTTACCTTCCATAGTAACCTTATGTATGGTTGGTTCTGTTTTTCTTAAATGTTCATCTAAATAAAAATAGATAGGATATCCATCAATAACAAGTTTACTTACATATTCATTTTTAACTTCAATAATCAAATTCTCTTTAATTTCCAAATCTACATATTCAGTAACTTTGTCAATTGTAATTTCTTCATCATCTTCATTCTTTTATTCAATTGTCTATTATTCTACTTATTCTGGTAAATCAATTTCAAGTGGCATTTCATCAAAACTTGGTTCCTCTTCAGAATCTATATCAATTATAGGATATGATTCCAAATCTTTAATACCTTAATCAATAGTTAGAGTATTATCTATAATGATAGTACTGGCTTCAATATTCACTTCTTTCAATGGTAATTATCTTTCAACTATAGATGGAATTATCTACATATGAATTTATAATGGAAATCTTAACTACAATAATAGTGCATAAGAATCTGATATCTAATTTAAGAAGTAAAATACATTATAAACAAATGAATGGACTAGCAATATTATGAGCAAATTAAATTTTATCATTGACTTTTTATTCATCCTAAATTATTATTGATGATTGACTCTTTAAATATTGAGTATGTTCTCTATAATCTTCTTCTTTTATTAAAGGTTAAACTTTGAAACTAAGTGAAAGATCTTATTTATCTAATGCTTCAAGTGGTTATTCATAAATTTCATTATCACTTTCATCAGTTAAATCTACAGTATCTGGTTATTTATATTTATGTCTTTGATAATTACAATTATCTGGACTAGGAACATTAACAAATTTCTCTTTGAATTATTATTCAGGTTTAATCTTACATTAATCAACTAATCTAAAATAATTATTATAATTCTATATTACTATATATAATCATCTCTAGTAATCTTAGCATTTGTAGACATTTTGAAATAATAATATCTATAAAGCAATGGAAATGTTAATTAAATCTGTAATTCAATTAAATATTATGGATATGATTATATGCTTTTTACATAAAGTGGATCATAAACATCCAAATCAGGTTCTGAACCTGATGAATCTGCTTATTCTAAATCTAAAGGACGATATTCTCTCTTTTTAATATGGAAACCATCTTAATAATCATCAAAAGCACAATCTTTGGAAATGTATTCTGTCTATTCTGTGAATTAACTTTTGATACAAATACTATCCAAATGCATTATATTGTAATCAGTTATTTAATCATTATTATAAGTGTATATTGAATTAAACTTATTAGATAAACTAAATACCTAATCAATAATTTGATGTAATTACATTTAAATAATAAACTCTAGAAATGAAATCAGGATCTTTAGTATAAGATTCATAATATATATTCTTAGGTTGATACAGATTCAATTTATTCAATGGTTTCTCTTGATTCATTACTTAAGATTTATGTTTATATACAACTTGCATTGATATAGGTAATTTTGATCTCTATTTTCCAAATATTTTGAGTTCCTTCTTTGTTTAATGATCAACATATTGTGGATATTTAATAAGATCAATATAACCAAATCTAATACATCCAAAAATATAGTTCTTTGCATTCCAATCTCTTTCTAATTTCTTTTTTAAATCAGTAAATGAATCATAATAAGCAACCATATTCTAATCATTAATATAACCTAATCTTTTCTATTTGAATTGAACCTTTCTTGCTGTATTACGAGATAATAATCTCTAAACAACTAATATACTATTTATATACTCATACTTCTAGCAGATGGTGACAATCTTTCTTCATCATCACTTGCTGTAGTTGTACTTAATTCTTATTAAGACAACATATTTTTATGTACTTGATATGCTTATTTTAAAATTGATAGCATTTATTAATAATTAACAATCATTCCAAAAGAATTATCTTAATAAAGACAATCACTATATTAAGATAATTACATTAAATGTTATAATGGTACAGGAATATTTAATTTAGAAACTGCAAAAAACATTCTATCTATTTCAATAAAATAAGAGTGTTCATTTAATTATTATTATTATTTCAATTTACGATGAATTGTAAAGAATCCTTCAGTCTCAAAATTAATTGGTGTAAGCATAAGTAATAATTATGATAATTTTTATGAATTCATATGTAAATGTTTACATGAATTCATAAATTCAGCATCATTTTACATTATTCTGATTAATGAATTTATTATCCTATTTAACTGTTATTTAGTCTAAATTCTATTATTAATAGTATTAGATAATGGTTAGAGGATTGTCCTTTATTTTTGTCTACTTTTTGAATAGCTGGTCTAAATTGTTCTCTATAGATTAGAAAAATCAAAATTTCTAGTTTTCTTTTACAACTTCTCTGTATCTACACTTTAGTAAATACTTTGTTATTATTCTAATTTAGATTGTTTATTGACAATCTTTGGTAAAATAGTACTTCTCATTGTTGATTTTGTACCATCTGGTGTAAGTTACCTATTCATATTTTATAAGTATAATATTTATATAATTATTAACTTAAACATAGCCAAAAAAACAATAAGAAAACATATCTCAATTAATAAATGTTAAATTGATTTTAAGTAATAGAAGCAATATCAATAATCTTCTTTTCTGTTAAATAATGAGATTCTTTGCATTTAATCAATATCGAATTGATTAACCTTTATTTCTTTTGTCTCATTTAATTATTTTTGAGATGCTTATAATAAACATAAACAATATACTTCCTTTGAGTTTCTTAAAACTACTTAACGGATCTTTAGCATAAAAACTACCAATAGTTGAATCCTCCAATCTAACACAAGTAGGTTTTTTAACAGATGGTAATTATCTAATTTAAATAGAAGAACATTTATTTTCTTAAATGTCAACATCAAAATCGAATTAATTTTTACATTTCTAACTTATTCTCTAAAATGGAGATTCAGCTTCTGATAATAATCCCTCTATTGTAGGTTGGAATATATTCCTACTACTAATATTGGATACATTAAATGTTTTGAGCTCTAATTAAATACATAAATATACTCTTTGATTATAAGGGAGATGAAGGTTTGTTAAAGAAATCGGATTCTAAAGCTTATTAAGCTGTGATTCTTTCAGAAGGATTCTTTGCAAGCATCCGTTTGAGTAATTCTTAGGCCTCATAAGGAATTGAATTCATTTCAGATCCATCAAGTGTATAATTACACTTTTTATTTTGTCCCAATACTTCATTGAAAGTATTACCCATAAACAAACTATGGCCAAAGAGTAACTTATAAAATATACAACCACAACTAAAGATATCACACACTTTATCATATTTTTATTGTCTATCAACTAAATTCAAAATTTCAGGTGCGACATATCCAGGAGTACCACATTTTGGAAATTAATACTTAGGAACATCAATAAAGGTTGATAATCCAAAATCCACAATGGTTAGAGTTTCATATGAATCTAATTCTCGAAACATAATATTATCTGGCTTCAAATCTCTATGAATGATATTATTATCATGAAGTATCTTAACGCCTTATAGCAATTGTTTCATAATAACTTTAACCAATTTCATTGGAAACATCTCCTTTCTTTGCTAATAGTTTATAATTTCTTTTACTTTTAAGATATCCAATTCATCTGCTAAGGTTCGTCCCTACATTAAATCTAAAATGAGATAAAATGTATGATCCCCTTCATATGTCTCATATAATTTGATGAAGGAAGTGCAATCATTTTATTTACTTAAGTGACTTAGGATGTTGACCTCATTTAAAAATGCCTGCATCCCTGATTCACTTTTCTATAGATAACTTTTATCTATCGCTTTTGCTGCCAATTTTGATTATTCATTTCCTAACTCTTTTATTTAGATAACCTTTGCTGAACTCCCCTTTCCTAAATTGTACTGTGCTTCATAGAAATCAGCAATCTTGTAGAATGTCACTTTATTTCTAAGATGTTCCTTCAGTCTACTTAATTTTATTTCCATTACTTCTACAAGTCATTGCTACTTCCCACAAAGTCTTTATATTTCTCCATGTACTTGATCGTGAAAGCCTTAAATTGAATTTTCTTATCTTTCCTTTCCACAATCCATCCTACTTGATTTGTCAACTATAATGGTAAAACATATTTTGGAGCGAGATCCTTTGTTTTCTTACATAATCAACATAACTTACTCTACTCATTAACATGTAGTCATTTAGAACATAGCAATAATACTTCACATCACAAATGAAATGTTTGCGAACCAATATGCATTCGAATAAAACATTAGAGTAATCATATTATGATTTCATAAAAATTAAATTAATTAATCATATATCATAATGTCCTGAGTTTTATTAATAATAACATTATCAATTTTCGCATAAATAGTAGCTTCTCTATTTTTCATCAATTTATTTTTATGAGTAAAATATAAAATATCGTCATTCAATGTTAATCATTTTATATATTTATATTGATGCATATTTTTATTCATTTTACATCCTAATGACATACCATCAGAAACATTCAGTATATATTAATTATGTCTTTTAAGATAATAATTTAATATAAAAACTCACGAATGTAAATTAACAATCAATATTCTGAATATAAATATATATTGAGTGAATCCAAGATAAGACATATAATAATTATTTAAAAATAAAATTATTAAGCACAAATAAAAATCATAAATCATAATATAGAATTGCTTAAACAGAATTTAATTACATTTATTATTATAACAAACAAAAACCTGATTATTGATTTATTTTAATAATCAAAGTAAATACTGAAATCACTATATAAATTACTAGAATTTTATAATAAAGATTTTAAAATAAAAAAAAACAATATATATTGTAAAGATAAGCAATTAATTTATTTATTAAAACTTGTGATATTTTCAATATTGGTGGTTGATCAAAAATTCTATATAGAATTTTATTAATTTCAATGCATCCTTTTCTAAGTTTATTAATTTATCATTCTTAACTATTTTCTATCTATTTGCAAAAAAGTTAAATATTATAAAAATAAACCCCTTACTTTTATTTTCAATATGAAATTAACAATGCCTTCTCTTCTTTCAATTCTAAATCTTAATGAACACTGGATTAAAATATTCAAATTAGTTTTAAAATATTACAATATTATTCTTATTCGAGATATATTATATAAAAATGATCCTGGTGTTCTATCATTGATTTAAATATTGTTTAAGTGCTTCTTATTAGTATTCATTATACCGTAATACAGAATTAATTACAAAATCACGATTACATATTTTATAAATTTTGATGACTTCATGTACAGTTCTATATAAATGAAAAGAAATAAAAGATATTATCAATTAATTTAATGAATAAAGCATTGATTGCACTCCTCACAACTGTTCTCCTTGCAACAACAAACTACCTCAGCTAGGAAGATCCCTTAAGAACTTTGTATTCAGAATGGAAATAACAATACTAAACTAGATTTGCCAGCTAATTTGAAGATGAATACAGATTTGAAATCTTCAAATAGAATTACAACTACTATCAATAAGTCAATAGCAAATAATCAAGCTATACACTTGGATTAAATCAATTTGCAACTCTAACAGACGAAGAATTCGAATCAATATATCTTGGTGGTCTTGATGACACTCATGTTATAGTTGATGAATCTATTACATCATATAACTATCCTGAAACTGCAGATTGGTCAGCAAAGATGAATCCAATCAAAAATCAAGGAGCATGTGGATCATGTTGGTCATTCTCTGCTGTTGGTGCTTTTGAAGCCTATTTCATTGTTAATAAAGGATCATACAACGTATATGCTGAGTAACAATTAGTTGATTGTGACACTTATTCATACGGATGTGATGGTGGTTTTGCAGGAAATGCTATTGATTATTTAAATAAAAATGGTGCTCTTTTAGAATCCTAATACCCATACACTGCAACAACTAACAAATGCTAAAAGGCAACAGGAACATAAAAAGCAAATGGAAGAAAAACATGGAGTACAGCCACATAAGCTTATGAGGCAATTGCTAAATATCCCATTTCTGTCAGTGTCCATGCCTCAAATTGGAAAGGATATACTGGTGGTATCTTCAATGACTGTATTAACACATCAACTAATCATGCTGTCGTTGCAGTTGGATATGATGCCAATGGAAATTGGTTAATCAGAAACTCTTGGGGAACTGGTTGGGGACTCAAAGGACACATTTGGCTCTAAAGCGGAAACACTTGTGGTGTTCTCAGAAGATTAGACTAAGTTATTTGAAAGAAATATATTTAAACAAATATAAAATAATAAACTAGAATTCTAAAGTTCTATTCATAAACTCAAATATATTTTTATAGAGAATTCAATTGCTTCATTATCTTCATATCCCACTATCTTTGTTTTTCAGTATTTAACATATTCAAAGTCTCAATATTATATTTATTCTCCATATCTAAGTATTCTTAAAAAGTTGAATGAAAAACCTCTGAGATTTCTTGTTTGTAATCTTTACTAAAAGAGAATTCTTGCACTCTCTTCTTGAACTCCAAAGCACAGATCATCCCTATATAAAAATGGCCTATTAGTATTAATAAAAATGATAAACCTTATTAATGATGCAATAATTCATCTGTTTCATTTTTTTTCCAAGAAGAGGGATCAATCTTACACCAAGCATCTACCACCACTTAAATCTTATCTGCTTCATGATGCACTTAATAATTATATCCAATTTTCCATCTTGTAAGAGCATTGGCTGGATCATTTTCAGGTGGTACTCCTTAAAAATCATCCCATGTTAATTTTCGTATTTCGAAATTATTCTCGCTTTTCGAAATGTTTGGTAAACTTTAATTGATTGAGGCAGAAATGTCACTTTAAGAATTTATTGATCGGTTCAATCGATTAGAGTCTTCGCTTGAATTTATTGATTGCATATTTATTAAAGTTATTATTATTAATGCCTCGAATCTTATACTTTATATAAAACATGATATTTGTTACTAATTTATTTAATAGACTTAATCTAAATCAGAAATTCAAATTTACAACCTTATTAAAGATTAAGTTTAGTTTTTATTTGAATTTCTTTATCCAAAAATTGTATTTAAACATGAACACTCTCCTTGCACTTATTCATCTCTGACAATACTTGTAAAATTGAAATTTTTTTAATGTTATGATTATATCTTCATGGTTGCTAATCAATTCACAATATTTTATAATAATAATAAAAGTTAATGGAAGGAAATATAATTTAATTAAAATAGGATAATTTGGAAGTTTGACATATATATTTAAGAAAAGGTTTCATACATAAGTAAGTTTTCCAGAAAGCAGACTTTATTAAATGGACAAATTAATTTTCAATTATTGCCCTTTAGAAAATCTTGGATTCACAAATTAATGAGAAAAAGAAAAACTTGAAGAAAAATATTTATAATATACTGTTTATTTAAAAATGCAAGATATTTCTCACGGTAACTTTTATTCATAAGTCAATGCAATCTATCTTAATTACTCAAATGCATTATTTAAGTTTTACTAATTTATTTGATATATTTCATACCATTGTTAGAGGGAATAGGTTTGTTGATGAAGTACAATTATTTGGATAGATCAAAAATTATGCCAATAAAGGAACTTAACTCATAGGCTTTTATTATTTTTGCTATTATTGAACTGTTTGATTGCCCTACTGTTAAGGTGCTTGTCCACTATTCCCACTAAATTTCATTTAATCTTATTGTTAATTGTACTCCTATAAAGGTAAAGCATTATTTTGAGTTAAAGTTTATCCATTTTATGATTGTTGAATTTATTATTATTACAAATGAGGTTGGTTTATTTGAGATTGTGGTGTTGGTACATTTTAAACTACTGGTTATTATTAAACTTATTGATTAACTTAAGTATGAACTTGTTGTTATTATTAAGGAGTTTCTTATTATTTCTGAGATACTATTGGTTATTATTAGATCTTTTAATTTTGATCAGCCTAATGTTAAGTTTATTATTTATGAGTTTAATTTGTTGTTGTCTATTGATTGTGCTATTAAACTTTTTATTATTAAGGTTATTAAGTTTAATGCTATGGATTTTATTTTGATTATTGTTATTATTATTGTTATTATTATTATTGTTATTATTATTATTATTATTATTATTATTATTGCTATTATTATTATTATTATTATTATTATTATTGTTATTATTATTGTTATTATTATTGCTATTATTATTGCTATTGTTATTATTAGTGTTATTATTATTATTATTATTTTTATTATTAGGTATTCTAACTTTATTGTTAAATTTCCTTTTTACTTTAAGAATCTTAATTTTACTAAGTTGTATATTCATTTTATTATTGATTTGTTGACTAAACTTAGCTTTATTATTGTTATTTTGGATGTTATTACTCTGATTATGATTCTTTTAAAACATATATTGGCTATTACACAAATTCATCATTTCTATTTCTATACTACTTTCTTTAATTATAGTTCTTATTATTGTTATTATTATTATTATTATTATAATATTGATACTAATTTGTTCTTCTTTAATCCCATGGATCATTATAGGTATTTTTTTAATACCTTTGTTAGCCTCTATCATTTCTATAATTTTAGAAACGTTCTTATTAATTATCATGTTCATCTCTATCTCTCACATCTTCTCTATTGTTTCTGTAATTATAATCCTATTAAGAACTTAAAAATAATGAGATTATATACTTGTAGTATTTTTGATTATATCCATGTCTTTCATTATTTCTTGTGTTTCTTTATTCTTGCTATTTCTAGTATTAATCACTTTATTTTCTAATGTTTTTCTAACCCTCCTCTTTATTAGAGTTTTTTCTATGCTTATTTTGAGATCTTGATTTTTCATTATCATTTGTAATCCAATCAGCATCAGCATCATCATTATCATCCTATTTTAATAGAGATTTGATATCTCTTTCAACTAATTCAAATTTATTATAATGTCTTCTTGCTATATTATAAACTTCACTTTCCTAAAATTTCAATAACACTTCATTACTTTAAAACCATACTAGTTAGAAAGTCTAGAAATTTGATCTCTACTTTACTAATCTAAAGTGCCTTTTTTCTATCTCCACTCAACTTCAGCAGGTCTTTAATCTTTTGTATCACTTTCGTTGTCACTCATTAAAAATATTTATAAAAATTAGTATCAAGAATTCGATTCTTGGGAATTTAAATACCATATTCCTCTTTATAATCAAAGATATATATAACTTAGAAAATCGATTAATGCAAAGATGTTATTACTTAATTAACATATATGAAGAAAAATTAATATAGCCATTTAATTTTACAAAAACAATTTTCTAGCGGTAAAAACATAAACAAAATAATAATTTACTTACTGATTATAAATATAAGTAATGATTATGGAATAAGAGTAATACCTTATTTAAGATCATTATAAAGAAGAATAGTGGACTTTTATTCAGGAAGAAGAAATGATTTTGTAATTAGTTTCATTTTCAATTTTATCATATTATTATTATTAATTTAATTTATATGAGGAATTGTATTATTTAATTATTTATTAAATCTTAATTAAACTCAATATTATATAATTTTTATATTATTTTCTTTTTAAATTAAATCCTTAGATATTAATTGAATATTTCTCATGAACACTACATCAATAAAATATAAAAAATTTCATTGTAAATTTCTAAGTCAACCATCTTATGAATTTAAATCATATTTGCCTTACTCTTTCAATGTTTTATTATAATTAAATGGAATCATGAAGTTTGTTAGAATGTAATAGGAAGTGAATATGAGATAAGAAATACTTAATTTATTCATTATTAGACAGTAGATAAAGAAGTCCATACTTGTAACATTTAATCAAACAATTATATAGACACTCTGTTAAAACTTTGATTTATAATTTTCTTTTTTAACATAGAAGACTCTTCTATGGATGATTAAGGGTCTTATTGTTTTATATATTATAAAAGCAATAATTTACTACACTTTCATCATATATATCAATTTTACAAATAAGGAAAAAAAATAAAAATATAGAAGTTGAGTAATTTTCAGGGGAATAAAACGCCCAAATTTAATGATGAACAAAATATGAAGTAAACATTAGAACAGTCTTAGTTCTTTATGAACCAGCTATATAAATAGTAGCGTAATGATTACAATAATAAATAATTGTAATATGATAAGAATTTGATAAAATCTCTAAGTTGATATTTAGTGAAATGAAGAAATATTTCCATTAATATTAATTTTAAAATAATTTTTTAAACTTATTGACATACCACGTTGATGTAAAACCCTTGGAACTTCACTTAAACCTTACAAAGCCAATTAAATAGTAATTAAATTTTTAATGGTTAGGTTTTATGAATATGCAAGAATTCGTGATGCCTTTAGTTCCTCATGAACTAGAAATCAATAACCTTCATCAGATGGCCAGATCAATTACTTTATAAGAGAATTCAGCCATGATAGAAGAAAAAGAAGTACAAATTTTTATATACTAGTAACAAAACCACCCTACAGAAAAAAAGTGCCTCTACAATTCAGAAAACGCTTAGTAAATTGAAACTCCAAAAAGGAGTTGTCATGATTTCAATAGAGAATCTCCTTTTGTAAAGATCAGTGTGTACAAGCAGCACCAAATGGCTAATTAAAAAATATACATCCTTTAAGATGACAAGTAATAATTTCTTAATTAGTTTAGGATTATTGGTAGCAATCAAATATAAAAAAATGAAATATCAATTATACGTCGTAAGAAGCAATAACATTTAGGAGATAATAATATTGATTTGGGTATTTATTTTAAATGATCAAATTTTTAGGTCTTTCTTCATAAGAATCTAATATTGAATAAGTCCCTTGCAAAATATCAACAGAATTTGGTTTCCGTCATTCAAGTAGGGTCACTCCAACTATTTTATGTTTCTTATCATTAAAGTATTTCCACACCAGATTTTCAGAATTACCTTCAAATATCTTCAAACTTATTCACTCATTTATAAAGTAAATATTCTTTACATATTTTAGAGAAAAACCAAAATTCTATGTATAGGATTGTGGTACTGCTTTGAAAACTTTAGTTAGAATTTAAAAAGAGAGTCCAAGAATAATGAATGAAAACAATAATTATTTAATTGGAGCTGATTTCTATTTTCACGTAGTTCAATTAAATTCAATACCAAAGTTAATTGAAAGTAAGAAGAAGGATTAAGAAACTCCAATAGAATATTTCTTTTAGACCCTTGTAAGAGAAAATGAAAAATATAGAGCTAGAATCCATGGTTTGTCTAAAGAAGAATAAGAATAATTCTAAGGTATTTAATTTATTAATTGTAGTATATTTGGAAGAATATAGATAATTAAAGAAGAAAGGAAGGAAATAATATCATCTCTAAAATTGTAATAGACCATTCCTTAAAATTTAATTTGATACACCAATATCTAAACAAATTGCTGTCTTCATTGGTAAAGCTGGATACGAACAAACTTTTAAGATTGGAAGATCTTAAGATTGTGACATTATAGTCAATATGAATACTGTGTCTAGAAAACAAACTTAAATCAAATTTAACAAAACATAATGGGAAATATGTGATGGTGAGGGAATAAGATAATCTGCTAATGGAACTTGGTAATCCTTATAACCATATGAACTACCCTTATTGGCTACTAAACCAAAATAAAGTGATCCATATTTGATTGAGGATAAGATGGAAATTAAAATATGTGAAAACATATTTAAATTTGAAATGGTGGGATTTGGAGTTTCTAAAAAGTAATATTATATAAATATTATTAGACGAAAATTGACTAATACATTATACTAGGAATTAACTTAATACGATTGAATTTCATTTTTTACATGATTTCGAAAGTTTTATATATATATATATTAATAATAATAAATGTTGTTTTTTATATTTTTAATAATTCAATCATCTTGTATATAAAATATATTTATAATTTCTTAATAGAATTATTAATATGAAGATTAAAAAGGAAAACAAAAAGAAGTCTTCTACTTATTCAGAAAGAACCCATTAAAATATGAAAAATAAGAAATAATAAGCCAAAGAAAAGCTAAAAAATACAGATTTGGGAAAGCCTCGAAATTTAAAAAATATTTCCTTTGAAAAACCTAATATTTGGGCAACAAAAGAAGGAGCAATTAGAATATTAACCTTTCTTATGAATTAAGGTAGACATTTTCTACTCCATCCTGCAGGAGCAAAGAAATCCATAATTAATGAAGAAAATGAATAAAATATAAAAGAAAAATAGGACTTATTAAACTAAATTAACAAATTGAAACCATTATATGATTTATTGGAAAATATACATCAAACTTTTCTTGGATTTCCATAGAAGTAAAAAAAGAAGGAAAGATTAATAGTATTTTTTTTTAGAAATAATTGTGATATCGAACCTCATTATGATAAAGTAAGTCCTTTAGAAAATTTACATTTTTAACAGAATTTAGAAGAAATTAAATTTTAACTTGATAATGTCTTTTATAGAGAACTTTCTGATATTTTAAAATAATTGGAGGGAAATGAACTTAACATATAAGATTAAATTAAATTAATTACTTAAGACTTAGTTAATTAAACCAATAATTTAGATGAAATCTCATTAGCTAATACAATAGTTAAGAATTTATTTATTTAGTTATTAATAGAGTAAGGAAATCATAATTTATAATTATTGGAAATGATTGTTGAAAAATAAAATAAGACATTATTATTATAAATCTTTAAAGAATTTATAAATTAGAATTCATTCAGAATTACAAAGTTTATAACAGAATTAGTACAATTAATTCAAGGAGATGATCTAAACAATTCGATTGAATGTACTTTTTAATAAACTAATTATGATGAAAATTGTATTATATAATAAAATTGGTAATATTTAGAAAATGAAAACTCCGTATACTTAAGTGATTGATTATGAATATGATGATTTAGATATAATTTCTATTTTTTGATTATATGTTTTATTAAATCATTTTTAGGAGAAGAAACTGAAATTCATAAGTTAAACTAGTCATTTCTCATTTAAATTTTTATTTATAAAAATATTTTACTAATCTTAGACATTATTGATTAATGAAGAAATAATGAAAAAAATAATAAATTATTGAAATAAAAGTGTAGTATATAAATCTCAATAATATGTATATATTTAGTTTCATCTTCTTTTGTTGATAACAACAGCTTATTTAGGAAGTTTAGTTTCTATTGATTCATGTTTTGGTCTTTTGATAGAGATCAGTTTTTTATTAGATGGAGGATTGTTATTGACTTTAACACTCTTTTTTATAATTGTAGATTCTTAACTCTTAGTTGAATTTGGTTATCTATTTTAAGGTTTCTCTTTTAATACATCTTGATCAATATCATGATGATTTTCGAATTGAGCAGTGCCAATAGATTAATATTCAATATTATTTTCAAGTAAAGCTAATTAACCAAATTAAGCAGCAATTGATCCAGTAACATAATATTCTTTAATGGATTAAGAAATAGAAGATTTAACAGATTAAGGTTGAATATCTACATTCTATTTTTCAAATTTTTTTGGAGATTCTTCAAATTATTATTTACATGTTTCATTTTAATTACTATCTTCTTGATATTGAAAAGATTCTTTATAAATCTAAACATTATCTTATTCTACCTCTTCATTATTTAATTCACATAAAGTAACAACTTACTATTAAGTAATTGGTTATGTATTTTAAGGTATTTAAGGTAATTAAGATTCTTATTCTGTTATTTATAATTAAATTTCATATAATTATGTAAAAGAGGTGCTTAATTCTTTCATAGTTGGTCTGACATTAGGATCCTATTAAAGCATTTATTTGATAACATTTTTCAAAACATAACCATTTCTTACACCAAATTCATCGATAGCTTCATTTATAACATCTAATATATAATACTAATATTTACTTTGATTTAAAGTGAAAGTTTATTTATCATAAAATAATTGTACATTTCCATTTCCCCATAGTTCTAATGCAATTAATCCTAATTAATATACTTCACTCTTTTCATGATTGTATTGAGGTCTTAAATCCTTTCTTGCCAATGCTGTTACTAATTCTGGAGATAAATACCATAATCCATCACTGGTGAGAATGCGTTTATAATGATCATATCCAGTCAATTAAGTACAATTATTTAATTTGACTTCTCCCTTTGATTTATCAACAAGTACAAAATCAGGTATAAGATTTCCATGAACTTAATTATGTGTATATAATTCACTCAATCCTTCAGATAATGATTTTAAAACAAATAAACAATTTATTGATGCTTGGTTACTTATTTCCCTAAGTGTGATATCATAATATTCATATAAGGCAGAAACCTTATAAAATGTACTACATAGATTAGATTCTTCTTAAGTATCCACTTCAACCAATTTAACAAGCTACTTTATTCCATTTTATTATTAAGTCTCTTTTAATATCTTACATAAATTAATATAGTCTTCTTGATTTTAACAAGTCTTTGAAACCATTGCAAATTAACTTCCTTAAGATTCAACTATTTTGAATGATCCATATAAATCATTCTCCTTATACCCTAAAATTTTGAAGTTCTTTGATTTAATAATTCCCTCTTGTACAGATTGTTGTGCTCCCATATAAGCTAAAAAAATAAAATATAATAATAATTTATCAGTTAAATAAAGTATCAGTTAAAAAATAATCAAAATTAATATCCAATTTTTATTATCATTTAATCTAATTTTACTCACATACTACATTTACAATTAATCTCATTTGTAATTATTTTATCAAATATGAATTATTTAATATTTTAGTAAATAGAATTAAAATTTTAATTATTATTATTGATAGATGATTGATTGTTTATTTAATATCCTTTGCAATAAATTATTTATGTTTTGTTTGTTTTATAACAGAAAATAATGCTTTATGAATTTGCATTAACATATTTTACTAAAACATAGAATAATATACTAATTCATATTCAATTTTCAATTAATTGTTTTGAAATCATCTAAATGTTGAAAAAATCGACAATTATAATAGAATCTCTTCATATTCAAGCTAAACATTTTATCTTATTAAAAAGGTAGTTTCATCATTTAAATAATTGAAACCAACAAATAATTAATCGCTCAATTACTCAAACTACCTAATATTAATTATCCACTTTATAAATATCCAACTAATCATAAGGGAAAATAAATATACAGACTTGTTAAGTTGTTGTTCATTATTTATCAATTTTCTAAATTATCTAATATTATTTAAGACAAATATTAATAATGAGCCATAAATAATAGCATAAGTTCATACAAATAATTAGTCGTGATAATATGCCCTTAAAAAAATCTGAGTAGCTTTAGTGATTCTTAGTATTTTTATACCTTAAATTAGGAGAGAAAAAGCACTATAATTTTTCAATTAGTCATGTTATCAAAATATATTTTACTCCAATAAACTAATATATATTAGAATAAAGGAAGTATCTAATAATATTTATTGATTAAAAATGTTATATATCATACATTATTAAAATACATATTTGATTTCCTAATATAAATCTATAAGGAAAGAAGATAAGTATGTTGATATATGTTAAATATTTATATACCATTCAATTTCAATGATCATACCAAACTTTTTCAGCTAAAATCTATAGTTATTCAGACCAATATTATTAAATTGCTCCTGGTGGATTCTAAGATAATATTCTTTCAAAATCTATAATTTTTTCTTTTCCTTTATCTAATTAAGAAAATAGATTTTTGTATTTTGAATGTATTACAATACTTTATATTACAACTTCGTTGAGTCTTCTTTGAATGTTATTCTCTAATACTAATAATTAACATTCTGTTATTGCAAAATTTTTATTAGTTGCAAGATAGAAATATTTAAAAAAAGAGGAAATATATTGATCTTCTATTTATGTACTTTGAAAAGGTTTAAAATCTTTACTATCATTTTCAAAGCATTCTTAAAAAATACTATATTATCCTGAATTATCCTTGGCAAGGAATAATCTAGGGATTTTAAAATTCCATAATTAAGATAATTAGTTTTAACTATTAGTTTTATTAGCTTCTTAAAGATCACGTACAAATAATTATGCATAAATTTCTGCTATTAACATATTCAAAATTATGTCTAATGCTTGATATTTTTTTTAACAAATATGATATACATTTTTGATTTTTAAACACTAATCATCTATATTTATCTTAATTTCTGTGTCTAATTTATTTTGCATTAGTTCGATTAGATATTCATTATCTTTAAAGAGGCAATTTTTCCTAAAATAAAATTTCTTTTCCTTAATAGATTGACTGAATTACTGTACATCTAATTTTATTTAATAAATCTTAGACTATCTTTAAAACAAGATAGTTTTATTTGGATCAAAAATTTTTCTCAACTCTCTATTTTCATCACAAACTTTTTCTAATAAACTTTCTAGGAATTTATTTTGATTATAAAGATATATATAACTCTCACTCTATTTTCGTTCATCTGAGTAAATATTATTAAGATGCTAAACTGTTTATGGGTTTATAGAAGTAGGTGATTATTTTGATCCCTAATTTTATATTCTTATTGATGAACATTAAATTTCTAGTGATTATTCTGTTCCAATTTAATATTCTTTTTAAAAAGGTTATGATTAAGATTTTAATTAAGCTATTTAAACTGTTTATTATTCTTTTTCTTATTCTAATTAATCTATTTTTTACGAGAATTATTTCTTTTCTTATAATAATTAATCTATTTTTTCTGAAAATTAAAATTTTTCTTACTCTAATGATGAAATTTATTATGTATAGGTAGATTCTTAATTAGTTAGCTATTGATATTTATTTTTGAAATCTGATATTCTTTTTTATTCAGCTTCTTCCTAACTTTTCAATTAATTTTCTAATTCTTATACACATTTATTAAGTTTAGCAATTTCTTTTCTTTGTTTTTCCAATTCTTAATCTAATAAACCTTCTTTAATGTATTTTTAAGGAATAACTTTTCCATAGTGAAGCAGTTCTGATTTCGCATCTTATAAATTGATTATCTCATCCTCGAGTTAGGAATTTTTAGTTTCTAATTCTTTGACTTTTAAGTGGCTTCTGTACATACTTATAATGTCTGAAGGTCCAACAGATATCAATTAAGAAGAGTATTTCAAAGTAGTATCATCTTTAATTAATACTTTTAATTATTCCTCAATTAAAAACCATGTTTAATCTTCTTTTTTTTTCAGCTCCTCCATTATGTCATCATATTTTTTACTACATTATCTCTTCTCTCCATCCATAAAGCAAATTGTAATTTCATCTTAAATCATTAAATAAAAATTATTTATTATTAATAATAAAATCAACAACAAAAGTTAATGTATAAATAGAATGTTTTTCTTATGATTTTAAACTTCAATTAGATAAAGATCTTTAAATAATTAAATAAGTTATAATAATGAAAATAAATTAGTCATTTTTTAATTAATGTTTAATATTGTATAATCACATGACTTTCCAAGATTTTAAGTCAAAACTAGTATTGAATATAAATAAAATGTTTACAATTACAACTTTATTAATTTATCTTTGATAACTGTAAAGTAAATCAATCCATATAACCATCCTAAAAGTACAACAGTTTTATAGGGAAGTAGATGCAATAAAAACAAGGATACACTTGCTGAAAATTATGTTCCAAATAAATAACAGCTAAATAATAAAGTAGCATATGTTCCTCCAATAGTAGGATCAGCAATCCTCAAAAAAAATCCAGATAATGTACATGATATAAATGAATTATTGAATTCATATAAATATTATAATATAAACTAAGTTTATTATTGTATAATTTACATAAATAGTTTAAGTAAACTTATTGTATCCTCCCATCTTTAGAAAACTAATTACATATACAAAATGAGTTCCCATTACCAAAAACATAAGATAATAAGCATTTAAGACCCAAGACATTTCTTTCCCTCTTTAAAGGTATTTACCAACCAATAATGAACTCAATATCCAAGAAGTAGTACATATAGCTTCAATGGATGCATATTCAGATTAAGGAAACCCCATTTGAATTAAATTCAATGAAGTTGATGCTATCACAGGAGCAAATGCAAATCTCCTTGTTAATAGAAAGAGTAATAAAAATCTTAAATTTGAATTACTTAACAATGAAAATGATGATTTTAACACTTATATAAAATTAGGTTTTTCTTCTTCTACAAAATCTTCAGTAGCTAAACATTAGGTTATAATTGCAATAAATAAAATTAAAGACCCTAGAATATATGTGTATGAGTTTAGTGATATGATTGGTTAATCTAAACCCAAATATTATAGACAAAAGTATGGGGATGTGATATTCATCAAAATAGCATAACTAAATACATAACCTAATGATAATCCAACCATTTGACAAGTTGCCCCCAAATGAACATAATGTTTTGAAAAGGATGTTAGAACCCATCCGTTAGTTGCTATTGTTGCACATGCTTACAAAACTGTGAGTAAAATAGTTAATCCAAACAAAGGATACAAATTAAGTTCCTCTATCCATTAGGAATATCCATTATATGCCAAAGTTATAAATGTTAAACCAAGCATATACAAGGAAGGTATCACATATGTCTTCCTCTTTCCAAAATAACTAATATAGAAACTATCTACAAAGGGAGCCAAGATTAATTTGAAAGATAATGGATAAAGACAAGTAACCCAAAATGCTATTATCTAATTAATTTACTTTACCCATTTAACCTGATGAAATACCACTTCCTTAAAGTAGAAGAGTCAATGATGCATAAAATCCAGCTGGTATTCCAATCACAAAATATAATACAGTAAATCTTATGATTGCTTTTCGTTCTGAGTTCGATATTTAAGGTTTCATTTTCTCAGAGATTTGTTCTTCTATTGATAGTTCTTATGGATCTTCAATTTAGAATTCATTCATTTCTATTTCTTCTTTCGCATGCATTTTTTTAAATTAATATAATAATATTTCATATATATGTTAGAATATTATTTCATGTTAGCTAATAAAAATAGTCAATCAAATGATGAATTTAAAAATGAAATCATATTAAAATACCATAACTTAATTTGTTAAATAATGAATAATAGTTATATAAATTCAATTTTTCATCATTTAATTTTAGATCTTCCTTAAAAATACTCTATTAAACAATTACAATTGTTTAGGACTGTTAAACATACAATTAAGTTAAATTTATCTTACATCTAAAACAAACATAAAAATAAATATTTATGTTAATTTCATAAACTATTTTTATCATTTATATAATTTTAACAATTTCCTATATAAAAATATTACCTTTATTTGGAAAAACAAAAATATAATAATATTTTTCTACATGAAAACTCATATCCAAAGAAGAACTCTACTAGCATGATTTTATTTCATCTTAGGAAGATAAATTTGAGTATATATTTAATTCTCTGATACCAAATACAATATAAAATAATTGAAATACTAATATATGAATGATCTTCATTTTTTAAGTATTATTATATATAATATTATTTGTTTATTTAAGATTTTTATTAAATTGATTAATATTAAAAATAATGTGAGTAATCTGAATATTTTTATAATAATATTTCTCAATAACATTCTTTATCAATTTTTATTTAAACGAAAAAATGAAGATGTAAAAACACACTATCTATAATATAATTCCTTTTTTTTATTTCAATTTATCTAATAATCATTCTACTTATTTATTAAATAAAATTATTATTATTTGCAGCCATTTATTTATAACAATTTCTAAGAGTTTATAATAATTTTATAGTTGCAAAGTTAATATTATTAAATATTACTAAAAAGAAAACAAATCTTTATTTCTAGCGTATAATATTCCTAATATTCATATATACTAAACTATGAATGATAATTCTTAAATTATAATACTTAAAAATTAAGAATTTAATAATGAAAAATAATTTGAAATACATTTGTAATCTTTTAATCAAGTTATTATGAATTATAATTATATATTATTGATCAAACTTTTAATGTATCTCTATTCTATTAAGCTTCCAAATTTAGAGGTGTTTTCATCATTGAATTTTAATCCAAAGTATGGAACCTTTGCCCATTATTTTATTATTTTTTGCCTAATATTTAAGATTCATTCTGAAAATCAGCATAGAATTCACCAACATTCATTAATTATACTTTTGGTTTTTTTCTATCGGAATATCTGCAAACTCGACTAACTTTGTTTGGTGAAAATGCTTATTATTGTCTTGCTTGTACTATTTATGATTTTGCCCTTGTGGAGATAGTTTAAGTTTTTGTATATTAGGTAGAAAATGCAGCATCTTATTCTAAAATTGGAGGAACATATGGCTTTTAACAATGTTAATTTTAATAGTTAGTTGTAATCTGTTGGTTTCCATTATTTTGAATAACAAATTGTAAAGGTTATAGTAAATTACTAAATTTAGGTGGCTATGCTTTCTAACCTTCAAGTTCTTTAATTTAATTGTAAAGCTTATAAAATTGTTTGTCAAAGAAAGTTTTATTTGCAATCTAATCTATGAAATAAAATTATGCTTACTCAATTATAGTTATAAAGATAACTAATCAATCAATAATATCATCATTCTATTAACAACTGAATTGTACTCGTATTCAAGTTTTTTACTTAGAAAACCACTATACATATTGAACCAATTAAAATTAATTTATTTTTTTAGAATAATACATTACATTTTATGAATTCCATTTAATACTAATAATTATTCCATATATAATCTAATTTTCTTGAAGCTAAATCATTATATTTTATTAAGTATTCAAAATCTAGATTATATAATTAATCAAGTTCTACTACTAAAATTTTTATATATATATATATAAACAATAGTTTAGTATTAGAGTCGCTAACTACTTTATTACAAAATTTAGCAAATTAAAATTGATTTTCAATTTAAATAGATTTATTACATTTAAATTTGATAAAAATCAAATAAGTTAATATCATACATTCTTACAAAAAAAAAATACATATAAATATTATCATGAAAATACTTGTAAAAACGTTTTAATATGATTACTATGAATTATTTAATGAAATAACTTAACTAAAAAGAATTCATCATTTAATTTAAATTTGTTTAAGGATATAAAATCATACATTAAAATTAACGATTTTACTTTTTCATTTTATTTCAATAGCAAAAGAAAAATTAATAACAAATAGTAATTCGAAAAAATTGTAATCTGTTTTTTTGATTATTAACAATATTAATTTTTATATTGAATGGGAAATGTTTGCTGTTTAAATTAAGATGTTAGGAGATTGAATATTCAACCAATGATTCCATTGATCCCAACTGATGAAGCCTCTTTAGATGAAACTAAAATTGTTAAATTACAATCAAGTATTAGACGTAATAAATGATTTCATTACAAGGTTACCTTGCCAAAACAAAATAAAAATAATAATCAGAGGCTTCAGCAACTACAGCAGTTTAAGTTTAATCTAAAGTGACTGAATAAATAGTTTCGATAATTGAAATGATTCCAATAGATGCATAAAAAGTAGAGTGGCCTTAAAATTTGCTTTAAGCTGTCCAAAACAAATTAAAGGAATTGCCACCTTTAGTGTAATTGACACATTAATGTTATCTATTGAATGATGGTTGCTACTATTAAGGACCTTTTGTCGATTATAAAAAAGAAGGATTTGGATAATAAATCGATTAAGATGGTTCTTTATATGAAGGAACATTCAAATAGAACGTAAAAAAAGGAAAAGGAAGACAAATAAGTTGTGATGGAAGTGTGTAATTCATATAATATTATCTAGATATGAAGGAAATTTTGATGATAATGAATATGATGGTTATGGTGAATTTTAAGATTCTTATGGGTTTGTATATAAGGGAGAATGGAAGTAATCGTTATTCCATGGAGAAGGTCATGAGATAAATGATTAATTCTAATACAAAGGAGCATATAAATAGGGATACAGGACTGGATACGGAGAAATTATATATGTAGATGGAAATAAGTATATGGGAGAATTCCAGAAAAACAGGTTTGAAGGTCTTGGTATTTTCATCTATGCAGATGGAAGGAAAGTAATGAATATTGAGCTAATTTTTTAGTATGAAGGCAGTTGGATGAATAACCAGATGCATGGCAAAGGCACTTTTACTTGGCCTAATGGACGTAAATACACTGGAAATGTATTTTAATCTATTTAATAGTTTAGTATCATTTAGATTTGAAGGAAGGATTTGGTGAATTCTTATTTGAAAATGGAAGTAGTTATAGGGGAATGTGGAAACAAGGAAAATAGCATGGACATGGAGTGATGATTTCAGAATTAGGAGATTAAAGAGAAGGAGAATGGGTTGAAGGAAGAAGAATAAAATGGAGATGACTATTACTTTGATTGATTTTAATTAGACTCTTTTTGGTAATATTTATTATTACAAACTCACTTACATATTTGATAGAATAAATAAATAAATGAATAAGAAATATCAGATCATTAGTCTATCTTATTCAGTATTTTTTATATTAGACATAATTGCCTATGATTTTTATAACTTCCTAGCGTTGTCTTAGATGAATACCTTAAGATGATATATTTTTGTTGTTGTTCCATTAGTTACTTACTAATTTCATAAATTTTTAAATAGTTATAAAAAATTATATTAATATATTCCAAAATTAATTTTGATCATACTATTTTTAAAATGATAAGGAAATTAATGATGTACACAGAAAGGATAAAATTATGAAATAATCATTCTGCTTTCAATAGATATAATTATTAGTAGTATGATATAATGTTAAATTGCAATTGAGTGAGCAATAGAGTATTATCTATTTAATTACACTGAAATTAAGAAAATTTCATTCTTAGCCTTAATGCAAGTACAATAGATCTATTTTCTAAGTATCCTAAGTTTAGGTTAAGAAACAAAAGGTGTGGACAACTTTTTTTTAATTTTATCTATTCTATTAGTTTTTTCCTACTTTATAAAATCTTTAGTTGCTTGTCTCTTAATACAAAATTTAAGAAGCACTTGTGAACTATCAGCTTTATTTTTTTATTGATTAATTTAAAAACAATGATTATTTTGAATAATTACTGAACATGTATTCCAATAATAAAATTATTTTATTTAAATTATAATAGTAAGATTATAATATCAGAGAAGTTAAAATATAATTGTTTACTATTTGAGGTTTCTCTTCATGTATAATTGAATATATTTATTTTTTAAATAGATGAAATTTATTAATAATATTGTTTGAGATTAAGTTATTTTTGTTAAAATATCTAATTTTTTATTTTATTTATAATCCCTTTAATGCAAATAACTAGAGTTTAAAAAATAAGGGAATTTATTTTATAAATATATATAAAATGCTTAATTTATATAATACCTTAAATCTTTCATATTATATTTAAAATGGATATTATTAATATGTTCTAATATCTTATATACATGTGGTTATTAATCTTATTTAAAAAGTGATCAAATTATTGACATAGAAATCTTTATCTGTAAACAAAATTTAGATAAATATGTGGTATAAATATTTATTATAGTGAGACAATTAATCCAAAAAGAGATAAGATTGTTTAATGAATTAATTTATTTTGAGTATCAGTAATTTATCTATATACCTCATAAATTTAATTATATAAGTTTATATAGTATAGTAAAATAAATATTAGAACTCATAATAGAGAGTCAGGATTATAATGAATGAGAATATAGATAATTATAAAAATATTTAGATCACAAAAAGATAAATTTCTAAACTGTGTTAGATCATATTTTTTAGATATAAAATAATAATTATTTAATCTAATAAAATGGATGTAAGACTTCTTAAATATGATATTTTTGCATCTCCTGTAGCAAATAAACCTTCAAAGGGATATCTTCCAAAATTTGGTGATAGAAGCTTGACTTCATTATTGAAGTATAAAAATGAAACAATAAAATAACCAATCCATTCTAAGATATTCAAACCATATGGAGAGGAATCAGAAACAAAAACATAATAAATCATGTATACAACTGCAAAGTTGTCTTATTCAAGTTCTGTGAAAAATATAAATAAATTTCCAGAAGTTCAATTAGATCCAAAGGCTGTTAAATTATTAGGATAAGGAAGACATTATTTAAGAAGTGATTATTAAACAAAAAGAAAATAATAAGAAGAGAAATAAAATAAAATTAGAAAGAATCATTCATCTGATTATTTGATGTAAAATATACAACTGAAGTTTTGTGAGAAATCTGTAAAATCATAATTTAAAGCTAATCTTATTTTCTTTAAGAAAACAAAAAATATTGCAGCCTAGATTTAATTATTGAAAAAAGAAGAAGAAAGAAAATCAATGCCTGATCTAAAAAATGAGAATTATGATTCAAGATAAAGAAAAATAAAAATACCTGTTTAGAAATAATAACATACTGATCATTCTATGTTTTCAAGCACTTTTAGAGATAACTTTTTGAAAAGCCAAAGGAGTAATATGCATCCAAAACCAGTTAGTTAAGAGAAATCTACAAGACAGGGACATAAAAAGACTCAATCTGTCTAGTAAAGCTTATTTAATAATAGTTAGAACTTAGAGTCAACTGGAAGAAGGAAATAAAGAAGTGCCACTTTTCAGCAATAATTATCAACCTAATAATTGATATTCTTTCAAAATTTATATTTCTAATTTAACTATTATATAATTCAAAATTATGTTTTAGATCATTAAAGTGGATTAAGGTATAGATGCTAAATTAGAATTTGAAATATCTAACATAGTAAAGGCTGCTTATGAGAGATTCAATAACTAGTATGATCGATCGAAATATATCTCTGATTATTTGGATGAAAGGTATGGAGGGTGTTGGAGAGTAACAATAGGAAAATCATTTACTAGTTGTGGAACCTATTATTTGTCATAATTGTTAAGATTTAGTTATTAAAATGATTAAATAGAAATTGTTAGAACATAGGGAGATTCAGAATTTGAAATAATATAAAGAGATCAAGGAATGAATTAGGCTGTATTTGATTCAATATTAGGAATGTAATTATATATTTTAAATAGAGAATTTAAAATGCTTAATAAACATAGAAAAACCTATCTAGTCAGGTTGAATATATTTCAGAATGTGTGGAATCTAAACATACTGGCAAATGGGCTGTGATTTGTGGGTAATTGTTTATACATAATTTAAAGGTATGACTTTAATAGTCGAATACCTTATGTTAATAATAATCTGGTTTGTGTAGCCAGAAAGGGTATTAGATATACAGTATTAATGATAAGTAAATGAATATAGTCATTGCTATAATTTCAATAATCTTTACAAAGAAAACTTGACACTAGTATTTACAGTTTCAACTTTTTCTAGTTTTATCTTTTTATTTGACACTGAAAATAAATGTTTAGGATCACTCAAAATTCCCTAAGAAATCCTCATTTACATTTAATTTTAATTGGATCCAATTGGTCCTTTGATTGAGACTCTTGAGTTAGTTACTTCTTGTATGGTTTGTTCTTTAATACCTTAATCTTAAGTTTATGTTCGTATTTCATTTTGTTGAGTGAATTTGTTGACTTCTTTAACAAAATATACATTGATTTTATCATCTTTAAATATAACTTTTGGTGATATCATCTTATATGTATCTCCATCTTTAATTTGGTTACTTTCTTGAAAATCTTTCTATGTAGTTTTTAACAATTTTTGAGATGTAGATTTCAACAAAGTTTAACTCAAGCCTTTCATTTAAATTTTTTGATACTTTTCTATTGTGCATGTTTTTTAGGAGATCCTATTCGAGTAGAAAAATATATTTTATCCTAATGTTAATTAATTTCTTGTTTTTTGAGTTCTAAAACTTTAATTGACGATTTTCTAGCATGATTGGCAGAAGAAGTCATATCTTAATTAATCGTTAAAGATGTTCGAGTTCTTTTACTGTTTATTAGTCTATTTGATCCTGATGAATTTTTCATTTGATTATTAATTAATCAATTATAAAAGCTGAAAATAATAAAATATTATAAATTTATATAAACTAGCAGTAATATTATTTCTTAAGAAGGATTATATAATATATTAATTTAGAGACTATAAGAATAAGAAATATATATTTATTAAATTATAATTATTTAAAGTTATGAAAATTCAATATATGATTATATAATAGAAGAGAGAATAAGAGAATTTATAATTTTAAAATACTGTTATTTATTATTTCAAAATAATACTTTTGATAAATATAAATTAGAATATTTTAGTAGGTAATTCTCAAATAGATAAATAGATAATTTTTAGATATTTGATTAAAATACAAATCTTTATTAATCTATATAAAATATAACTTAGAAATATTTTTTTAATGTATATTATTAATATATTAGTATAATGTTATTATACAATCAGATTTATATATAATTTATTTAAGATAATTTTTAATTCATATTAATTAATAATTTTATATTGTTTATGGAAAATTTGTATTCTTTATTATCATAGATTCTATTGATTACTACATCTGTTATTTTATTGATTTCTATGACAATTGCTTTTAGAAAAATCATGAAAGATGTTAATGATATTTTAGATTCAACTGATAAACTTGTATTTTTTATTGCAGCAATTCAATGTACTAAATTTTGAAATTTAGAGTTATTGTTATTCGCATTCATAATTAAATAATATACAATTTTCCTAAGTGGATTGCGCATACTCAGAATGCTCTAAGACATTATGCTATTAAATTGTTTAATCAAATTAGATAGTGATAATGAATAATGTTTAGTAATTATCAATAATATATAGCTTATCAGAAAATCGTAGATAAAATCTCCAAGACACTTTCATTTATTCTACTATCTGTCTGGTGTGTCATCATTTTTTTAGAAGGTTTTAAATCACATTTTTAATGTGATCAATAAATTTGGATGCTACTTTCTGGATTACTATTACTTACTAATATCATTTAATTATATTTTGGACTCAATATATTAATATAGATATACAAATATTGTCAAGATTCAAGTAATTAACATATGTTTGATGGTTTACATAAAATTATGATGGATGAATTATAAAATAGGAAGGTATAAGTTATAGTCTTTGTCCTTTGTAGTATTAATTCATCTGTTATAATGTTATTATATGATTACACTATTTTTGATCAACTTAATCCTACATTCTGTCTTCAAAAGAGTACAATTACTGAAATTCTTATTTATATTGCTGTCATTATAGTCTCATATTAATTACCTTGTCTAGGAATATACTATGTGTTTTATCATAAAAATAAAAAGTATTTGAATAATCACAATTGGGAAATACAAAGAAATATAGTCAATTTCTATGATGAAAGAAGTGAAATAGAATTGGGAGATTATTAAAACCCATAATGAGTCCATTTAATTCATTCTGATTTTTATTCACAACTAATATAAATTTATCACTGTTTTTTTTCATTGGCTATTAATCAATTTCCTGTAATCTCTGTAACAAATATATTCCTTTTAGCATCTCTGATAAACTCTTGCATTATAAAACAATCCATTGTTGAATTTATCACACACAATTACTCAAAATATTTATTCAATTTTATTTATCGATCTTAAACTCTAGATAAATTCTAATTTGTTTTTCCAAATAAAGATCGTTTTGGAAATTTTGGTTTTTCTACTTTAGTTTTACCTAATTAATCATCTAGAGTTTTTAATTGAGAATAACGATATTTTGATAAAAATGTTTCAACTTATCCTTCAAATCTAATTAATATTAAAATGTCTTACTTTACAATGTATTCCACTTTTGAATTATTAAAATAGAAGTTTGAGATTGATATTGAGTACATATTTGTCAATAAATGATTATTTATTTATTAACTTTAGAAAATTTCTTTTTATCCAAAACAACAATTTATAATATAATTTTATAACTGAATTCAAAAACTAAAACAAATCAAGTATTATTATTATAATTATTCATATTTAATAATTCATAATAGAAGATTCATCAATTATACTTATCTTATTATTATAAAATACAATTCTCACTAGCATTATTTTTAATATAATCTTTCTTTATAAACACTATATTATCTTTTATTTTTTAATTATAAATAAATTAATTAATTAACTCTATTATTTTTGATGGATTTAACAGAAAACACAGAAAAATTATTTATATTTTAACATAAAATTTGTTTATTAAGTAAATATAATGTTTGTTTATTTATGTGTATGTATTATTAATATACTATTGTTTCATGATCAATCGAATAAACCTCCCATATCAACATCTTCTTCAGGTTCTTCAACTTTGGCTGGGGCTTATTAAGCAACTGGTTTTGCTTCAACTTTAGCTGCAACTGGTGCAGATGTTGTTGGAGCACTTGATTATTTAATTTAATCAAAAATAAATCCTGATTATAAACCAATAGCAGCCAAATCCTTGAAAGCATTAGCCAATAAATATGGAGCTGAAGATTCATTAACCCAACCTAATTTATTATAGATTATAATAAATTACCATTAGCCAAAGATATGGCTGATACATTTCTAACATTTTATTAGAATTTAGCAACAATGTCATTCAAGTTAACTGAAACTTATTGTTTGTTCAAAATAGATCCATTGTCATAGCATGCAAGAACTTCCATTCTATAAAAATGATTAGAATATAATATTACCCATATAAGAATGGCTTTTTACCTAATTTTTACAATAAGACAGCTTAAGATTATCCAACTTTTTATCCTGTTTTTAAGACGACAAAGTCTTTTGTAATTTAGATTTGACCTTTTTCAATTTTTGTTGGGATTTAGAGTGCATGGAAGAATTGGATTGAAGCTGGGTCCATACCAGTTGGGCCTGGGGGAATAACAACATCAATTGGAGCAACGGCACCAACTCTAGCTGGGGTTTCGACTTTATTCTCTTCAATGATTGGTTTAAGATCAAAGACTGGTGTGTCTGTGAAGATGAATCCAATTTTGCCTGCAACTGAGTTCTTCAAGGCATCCAACTCTTTAATTGCACTACCAAATTTAACCAAATCATCATAATATTCATGTTCTTTTGGTAATTCTTATACTCTAGTAGCCAAAACTTTTTTGAAGAGAGTCTAAAATACTAATTTGTTAATACATTTTTGCCAATAACTAATAGGGCATTTCTCTTAGACAAAATTCTTCTAATGTCTTACACTTATTTAGATCCAACATTTGCTAATCCAACGATGATAACTTAAGTATATTTGGATAACAATTCATAAATCTTTCTATTATAATTATCAATAAGATAATTACTTGAATTGTGCTGGCTTCTTATCTTTTGTTTCCTTTTTGCCCATTTATTATTTATTTAAATTAAAAAAAGATTTCAAATTTTTTGATAAACAATTCAAGTATATATATAAATTTCATTAATTCTTTAATATACTTTTTCATGTCTCATCCTCCACCCACTTTAATCTCTTCCCTTCCTTCCATATTCCTCTCTTTCTTGTGTTATCATTAAAAATAAACACTCCTTCTCCATCTTATTTACCATCTTTCCACATCCCATCATATTTCCTACCATCAGCCCACCAATAAACTCCATGTCCATCTTTTTTATCATTTTTATATTCTCCTTCATATTTTCTACCATCCTTCCAAATATAAACTCCATAACCATGCATACAATTATTTCTCCATTAACCAACATAACCTCTACCATCAGACCAGCAATAACGCCCTTAACCATTTATTTTATTATTCTACCATTCTCCATTAAATTAAGAACCATCTGGCCATTCATATCTACCTGTTCCTTATTTTTTTCCTTAAAAATATTCTCCTATATACTTAGATCCATCATTCCAAACTTCTTAACCATATCCATGTTAATAATCGTCTCTCCATTCTCCCTCATATCTTGAACCATTAGAATGTTTATATACTCCTTTTCCATTAGCTTTGTCTTGATCCCACTCCCCTTCAAATTTGTCACCATCTACATGATAAAATATTCCTTTCCCACATGCTCTATTATTTTTCCATTCTCCAACATATTTTGCTCCATCAGTCCAAACTTAAGTCCCTATTCCTTCTCTACAGTTACCTCTCCATTAACCTTAATAAATTGCTCCACTCTTGAATTAATAGGGACCTCTAGTTTCCAATGATTCATCATTTATTTTAGATGGAATGTTGATTATTTCAAAATTCTCTTTCAAATAATTTTTATTGGCCCCTGTATTTGGATTTTTCAATATTTTATTCATAGATTTTAATCTATTTTTTTTTCTAACTTAATATCCTCGATATCTACTTTAAATTTTAATTGCAGCTTTGAGAATTTTTTCATTCTAATTTGAATATTCATTAAATTTAATATGCTCTTTAGTTGGTTATTTATAACTTGATGATTATTTCTCATTTCTTTTACTATCCTGTTCTTTACTTTATAATTCTGCATTTACATTTGCTTAATTACTTGCAATAGAACTTCTTGAGTGACTCTTGCTATTTTTTGTTCCTTTATTATCTAACTTACTCATTCATTTAATAATTTACCACAATTTCTCTTTCTTAAAGCATGTTTTTCCCAAATTTGCAATCACATTGACTACACTTACCTCCCATTGAGAAATGATATGCAAGAAATAGAAATATTATAATAAATATTATATAACTATAATGATTTGAAAATAAATTAAGAATAAAACAAAAGTTATATGAATTAGATTAATCAATAAAATAGTTTAATTTAATAAAACAATTATATATATATATATAAATCAGATCATAAATTATTATTTTACTTAAGACGGTTAAAATATTTTTGTTGCTTAATTTTGTAACAATTCATAAAATTAATTTTAACCTAATTGATTTCCAATTTCTAAAGAGATATTTGAATCCTATAAATAAAATGGTAAGGGAGTCAATCTATCATTAGGACTCCCTAAATATGATGATATGGATTCTAAATGAAATTCATTGAACACTTTGCAAATACTTCGAATAATAGCCAATTCTTCTTTATGTTATTCATTATTTGGAATCAATTGCATTACCTTACATAACAATTGATAAGAGTGTTGGGCCTTGATATTTATAGTTATATCATGAGTATTAATTTGCTACTCCATAAGTAATTGATTACGTTCATTATTTATATAATTCTAAGTTTTAATTACATCTATAAATGAATTTGCTCATTAAATTTGATTTGAATTTACTTTTACTAATTTTGAAGATCTTTCAAAGTTTCAGTTAATTATTGATGCTCTGCTTCATAAATTTAGTGTTTAAGATTGTTATCCTAATTACTAAGTTCTTCAAGGACCTTTAATTTATTTTAACTAATGATATTTATCAACTATTTTCTACTTCATTATAAGTATTCATACTTTTCTCCTTGAATAAAATAACGATGAGTAAAAACATTGATGTTTCGTTTAATCTTTGTTCTCTTAAAACCATATAAATTTAATTGCCTATCAAAAGTGAACAATTAAATTAACCTAATAAAACTTGCAAATGATTTCTGTTTATAGAATACCTTAAGTATTTATTTCTCTAATTTCTTTATATCATAAACTTCAAAAGATTTACCATCATCACTCCATCTCAAGAATCTATATTCTTCTGACTAAACAAATGAAATTAATTTATTACTTCTAATAAATCAAATAGCTTCTCTAAAAACTTTGGACTTTTTTTCTATTGCATTCAATATTAATAATATAATTTTTCTGATGATATGTAATTTTTTTTTTTATTTAGTCATAATGAGATTAATCTAAATATATTTTATTAAATTATTGAAAAATATAAATAACATCTATAAAAGCATCACAAATCAAACCCAAAAAAGTTAAAATCTGATTCTTACTAACCAAAAAACCAAACTGGCTCTAAAGTTTCAAGATTAAATTGATCCTATTTATGATTTAAATAATTTCCAATATCATCAACAACAGCTTTTCCAAATGGAGCAGGAGAAGTAGGATAAGGAATCTCAACTTCATCTTCCTTAATTGATAATGTTTCACTCATCCAAAGATCTTCTTCCTTTGGAAACACACACTTTATTAGGTATTAAAATGAAGCCTCTATCAATTTATAATCAATATTTATTACAAGCTTCTGGTTTCATTGCTCTAACTATCATTCTTATACTCTCAATAAAAAATACTCCTCTCCTCTCTTAAATAGCTTTTATTTCTAATAGTTTCTATCAATTATTGGATTATATTATACTTCAATTATTAGTTTAAAATGATGCTAAAATCTCAATTATTGTTGAATGAAATCAACCAATTATTTCTAAATAATTACTTATTCTTATTTCAAAGACGTCATTGTATTCTTTAATTCTTCTTATTCCATAATAAATGTTCCTATCTATTGTTTCTCTACATGAGCTTACTTTTTCTTCTAAATGAACTTCTGAATAACTTTATTTTAAGTAAAATATGGATGCTCATATGTTAAGATTCCATTTTAATCCTTACAACTAGTAAAGCCATACATATTCAATTATCTGAAAAATAGAAAGGAAATACCTTAAAAAACTTGAATAATTTCCATGTTTAAAAAATCGAGGCAAGACATTCTCTTATAATAAAGATTTATCAATAATTTTAATTTTAATTCCTTCTTCATCCCATTTTATAATGTCTATATACTCAGAACACTATATTTGTGATTGATAGTACATCAAGAATCTATTTAAAAATCTCAATAAATCTATTGCTTTTTATTTTGTTATTTCTTTTGTTCATTATTTTTATAAATTCATGAAAATTAAATTAAATTTCTAATTTACCAAAAATAGTATTCATAAATAATATTAATGATAATAAAATTGTAAAAAATGATAGAATGTATTGATTACATAAATAAATTATGATATCAATAATTTATATATTTAATAAATCCCCAAGCTTATAATCCATTATCATTTATAATTAGTTTCATTCCTTTAGTGATATATTCTGGGAAATATTTAAATTTAAGTCTAATTATATTTGGTTGTTTAGGAATTAATTCAATAAATTCCATAGGTTTTTCATTCTTCTCATTAATAACAAATAAATCAGTTTTTTTTTAATCATCCTCATTAGTATAAGATTTGATTTAGCTACTTCCTTTTCTTCTTGGACTTCTATAAGATTATTTGTTTAAATTATTGGAACTACTAGCTTTTTTGAGTTATTCACTTTATTTCCTATAAGATGTTCTTTATTATTGTGTTTCAGGTTTCTACATACAAGATTCATCAATAGATTTAGATTATTTTTTTCTTAATGTTAGATTTTCAAACTATAATTATTCTTCTCTAATTATTTTACAAATTTATCTAATAATAATAATAAAATTAAGATACCTAGTACATTATGTATTAATTACAGGTTCAAAACTAACTGCAATTTTTTTGGCTTCTTTTTAATCATCAAATAACCAAATTTCAGCTAGAAAATCCCAAGCAGCTTATGGATTGCTTTTTCCTTCAATTAAAACCATTCCACGTCTAATAGGATTCTAATCTGATCCAAATTATTATGTAAGATTTCCTTATTTAAATCTAATTGTACATATTTATCCACATTATGCAGATTTGACCTAGATTATATTAAAAATAAATACTTAAACTCTATTACATTAAATTTCTTCAACTTCAATAGGGAAAAAACGACCATATTTATCTGGTCCCATTTATAATATTTGTTTAACTCTTATAATACCTTTAAGAACTGTTCCACCAAGTACTTTTTAATTATTAATTTCAAACACATTATGAATACAATATTCTGAATCTAAATTTGAATTATTTGTTAATTCATTTGTTGATGGTAATAAATTTAAAAATTTGATAAAATAATCTAATGTTCTCTATTTTAAATTAGATATCAAAAATATAGGAATAAGAGTTTTACTTAAAATTTATTTACTAAATAAAACTACATCTTCTTCACTTCTAACAACAATTGGAACACTTTAAATTTATAAACTTTTAATCATATCTTTTAATTATTCAACTTTATCCATATAATAATCTTCTGTAATTTGATCTACATGAGTTATGGCAATCATAAATGGAATTTATTGAATTTATATTAATTTAAGAAAATCCATAGTAGGTTTACCAATTTATTGTAATGAAGATATAGTCAATAGAGCATAATCTGGAAATTAAGAATTAATAATCTAAATCATTTAATTATGTGCTCTTTTAGTACCACCCATATCAATAAAAGTAATTAATTTTGTTGATAAATCAACTAATTTTTCAACCATACAAGTAGGACTGAAATTAAGTTAATTTTAATGATTCATAATCTTTCCTTCACTATCAAAACCTATAACTGTATGACTTACTCTTTCTGTTTTTCCAGATGTAATTTCAGATCTATTCTTTAAAAACTTCATTCTTGCTAACCCTTAACCATTATCTAGTTATCCAGTACTAAGAACACCTAATAAAGATGTTTTGCCAGATCCACTTTCACCTAAGAGTAGAATTCTAATATCTAAATTAATTCCATCCTTCAATCCTTTTCTAACAATAACTTCACAGGTTTTTCCATTGGTTCCTTAATTTATACCTACAACCAATAATTCAGCTTTTAAAGATTAAGCCATTAAACAAAGTGTTTTTAATGATCCAAGCATATCAGATTTATTAAGACCTAAAGGATTACCACTATCTTCTACTCCAATTTTATAATATGCCATTCCATTTCCTTCAGATAATCTAAAATTCATTTATGTTGTTAAATGAGTTAATCTCTTTGGATCAGGATCTACTAGTCTAAGTTTGTATTCAGTGTGTCCGAAATCACTCTCTTACTTAAAACAGGATATTTTTGATATATTTTCTTGAATCGAATACTAAGTTATATCATTTAATTTTTACTTATTCGTCTATGTATTGCTATAAATCAATTTAGATCTCCTCATTATTTGGTTTAACTAAAAGAATAAATTAAGGCTTTGTTTCATATTTTAAATGCTTATGGATTAATTCAAAAATATACTTATATTTATTGCTATTATTCTGATTCATCATCATTTATTTAAATATTATCTGATTTATTTGATTGTTTTCCTTTCTTTTTTTTCTAAATATTCAAATTTTGTTTTCTTTGTTTTTATTTATCAGTCATCTCTGAAAATTAGGGATGAGCTTGTTTCTATTGTTTTTTCTTTTCTCTTTTAGACTCTTCTTCATCTATTCCTTACCATAAACTATAAATTCCATTATTTATAGTAGATTGTTATTAAAAATCAATATGCATGTATGTGAGATTGTACAAGTATATTCTTTCTTAAATATAATAATAAATAATTCTAAAAATGTTTTGTAAATGAATTTCAATTAAATAAATATTTGGCTTAATTAATCTATTTTACGTGTACATTATCTAATAGAAATTGCTAGAACTATTTAAGAATATTTCATTAAACAATAAATTTAATAGATTATTCATCAATTAATCTTCTTTTTTTTCTTGTTCTTACGCTATTCTTCTTCTTTAATATGTTCTTATATAATAAATTTCATTGCTATCAAATATTATTACTTATACCTTTGATGAAATTATAAAAGAAAATAGACATTATTATAACTATTGCATATATTGATATTGATTTCTCTGTTAGATTATAGGATCTTAAAAATTTTGAAAAACTATTTTAGTTTCTCTCATAATTTTCTAAAATCTAATCATAATTTAAATTAATACATGTTATTTTTCTACATACATTCTACCCTTAATTTCTATTTCATCTAATGACAACTAACCTAAATCACGTTGATCAAAAATAAATTATTCTGGTTTAATCATTTATAACCAATCTATTGATTATACTAATGATTCATCTATAGTAGAGTCTGGATATCTAATTCTTAATTCTTGCATGCAATTATTCATCATATAAAAAAAATGATTTAACACAAGATCTTGTTTAGAAGACTCTTCATATTCAGAAAAATAACCAAAAATCTAATCTTTGTTTGAGTCATAATAAAAGCCTACCACTCTATCACATAAATAAAGACGCTAAGTTTCAATATCTTTTATCCATTCTGTAGCATAGCATAAAGTTATTATAAAATAACAAATATTCACTTTCATTATTTATAAAACTAAATTAACTTAATTAAAAAGTAGAAAAAATTATTATTCTTTCAAACATGAGTTATAAAACTATTTATATTTATTTTTAATATATGTTTTAAATCCTTTTACAATCTATTCATTTTTGTTGATTAGATATATTTTCAATTATTCTTTCATTTTAATTCTAATTAAATTTATATCATTTAAATAATATAGTTTAATATATAATATATTAATTAACATAATAAAACATAAATAATTATATATCCAGTTATGTAAATTATTCTAAATTAAATTTGCTACAGATTTATATGTGTTTATTATATCAATATTCTAAATAATTACAAAGAAGAAATAATAATAGAATAGGGCTAAACAGAGAAATAAAATTAATTTTTTTTGTTTAAAATCATTCCATTTTTATATTTATTTATTTTATTAAATTATGACAGATGATGATTTTGAAACTGAGTAAAACTTATTAGGAACGATCTTGTCAAGTAAATTACTCAATTAAATATTAGTAACTGATGAAAATGAATATTAAGATCAGAAGAAGTTAAATGCAGGTGCTGAATGCAATTAGACTTAAACTTAAACAAAATTCTAAAGATAATATTAGTTTTAAACTGCAGATTCTTTCAGCAAATCCTTTGAATAAATAAGTTTAAGTTCAGATCAATTATGCAGCCCTATTTCCCCTGATGGGAAATTGTAATATAAAAATCCAGGAGTTTGCACTTCATTTAGTTCAGATAATCAAACAAGTTTAGAGAATTCAATGATTTTTGGGAATCCTCGTTGTTTTGATTACTTTTAAAAATAACCTGAATAATTTTCACCAATATTTTACAGTTAAAACAATCCAATTTGGCCTTCATATCAAAAACCAAGTCAAAATTTAGACATATAATTAGACATTGATATTGTAAATTTTGTTATTTTATTAATTTCTATAGGAGAATATGTGTGGAAATCAAATACTCTCTAGAAAGGTTTAGAAGATATTTGAAACTGGATCACCCAATTAAAAGCAATAAATATTCTGTAAAGTGCAAACTAATTGTTAAGAATTCTCAAAAGATATTTTTGGAAATTACTTAATTCAGAAGATTCTTGAAAAAGGTATAAAATCAATATTAATATTATTTAGGCACTGTTGTTTAATAAATTTAGATCTTTAATTAATTATTGCCTTATGTATTTGAATTATCTAAAAATAATTTTGGTTGTAGAGTTATCTAGAAACTTATAGATATTATGTCCAATAATGATAGATTAATAAATCCATTTATTCAAGAAATTAAATAAAATGTTTAATCACTTTTAATTGATTAAAATGGGAAATATGTAATTTTAAAATGCTTGGAAAACTTTTAAATAGATGTAGTTAAATTTATACTAAAACCATCTGAAGAATTATGTATACATATGTGTGATTCTTAATATGGATGCAAAATAATATAAAAACTAATTGATAACTATCCATCTTAAGTGGACAATTTGATATAAATTTGTATATCAAATTAAGAACTCCTTTATAAATCTTAATATGGAAATCACATCATTTAATATGCCATAAAATAACCAAAAAATCTAGAAATTATAGCAAATTATATTGTAAATCATTTAGAATATTTATGTTTTAATAAATATGCAAGTAATACAGTTGAAGCTATCCTTGAATATTTAACTCCAAAGCTTAAGAATGATTTTGTATAAGTTTTAATCAAGCTTTCAGATTAAAATAGAATGTAATATTATGTATTATTCTTAGGTTCATTTTTATTAATATAGCTACTAATCCTTTTGGAAATTATGTTATTAAAAAGTTATTATAAGTCTTTGAATTGGAACATACATAATAACTGTTAAATCTAATAAGATAGAATTTAAATTTGTTATAATACATAAAATAATCAGAATATGGATAAAGAATATATACTATATTGACAACATAGTTAAATGATTAAAATTGATAATAATTATAAAAATGATTATAAAAATAACATTAAATTGATGAATTAATACATTTTTTATAAATTAATAAATTAATAATAAATCAACAATGGAATTCAAATTCTAAAAGACTTTTAAATCCAAATCTTAATGATTAAATAATTGAATAATAAAATCCAGCAATAAAATTCAAAATAGCCAAAAGAATAGTAAAATATATCACTATATGAACTAATTTTAACTTTTCAATAATTTTTAAAGAGTAATGGCAACATATAGTTCCAAAAATAAACTAAATATGAAATTAATATTTACAGCTAATCCAAAAAACCAAATAATTTCTGTCATTGAAACTTAACTATCAGTTATTAATTTGACAACATTAGTTAAACCAATAAAAAAGTAATTAAATGCTGATGTTGCAGTAGCAATTCTAGGATGTAATCCTAATTGTAATAATACAGGAACCATTATTAATCCCTTAAATAAATACAATAATTTACTGCTCCTAAAGCTAGAAGTCCTGAAATTAATCCAGCTAAAAATCCAGAAGCATATATTAATATAAATTGATTCTTATTAAAATATCTTTCTTACATATAAATTTAATAATCATCAAATAGTTTTTCTTTCTAATTATTTAATAATATATATATATATTACTTTTTAACCATATTTATATACTAATCTAGACATAAAAATATTAATAATTAACAATATTATCCATAATATGTATCTAAAATCAAAGCATTTATTTAATTGAATAAATGGTTATAGATATTTTCCACCTGTCATAATTATTTATGAAACAATAAAGAATGAAAAGGCTATGGCCAATTTTTTATATGGATAAAAATTCTGAAATTCTTTTTATAATAACAATTTTTATTCTTCAGTGTATATTGAATCTTTTTAATTAAGTAAATATTTTTCTAAATCAAGTTCACTTTAACATCTTATTTTTCTAAGTTTTTCTTTTTTTGCTTTATTCAATAGAAATGGAATAACAATAATCAAAAAAAGTTATTAGAAAATTGTTTCAATTATAGGAGCTAGAAAAACATTTAGGATACTTCCTAAATAACTACCAAGTGCTATTGAACAGTTTAAAATCACTACTAAATTATAATTTACTAATGGTCTTTTCTAATCATAAGGATGAGATTTTTTCATTAATAGAAATGTATTTATGACACATCCGCCAAACATTAAACAATAAGATAATTAAGTTGCATAACTCTATTCATAATCAAGCATCATTAATAGAATTGGTCCTTTTAATACTCCTCCTCCTAATCCTCCTGTCATTCCAAGTCCCAATAATATAGGGCATATAAAATAAACTATGGCAGTATATAAAGTCATAGGGAATATTGGATTATGTATACACATTCCATCTATGCATTTGTTTAAATATCCACAATTTAGAGATTCTGGACATAATTATTTAAACATTAAGATATTAAATAATACTAAAAATTGTTAAGAGTTTTGTAAATTACCTATTATATTTAAAAATTATTTAATAAATAAGTAATCAATCATTTTTTTAGATAGTGAATTCGATTTCTTTGGTTAATCATTTATTGATGTATTTATAAGTAATTATGTACTAAGATTGAACTTTATTTTTCCAATTAATCTAAGTATTTATATTATTAATCAAATCCAGCATTCATATTAAATTTATCTATCAAACTGTCTATTTGTAATAGGGATTTTTTATTAAAATTGTTAGTTTTGATTCTTTCTTGAGTACTAATATGAGTTGATACTTCTAATGAATTATTTGAGATTTTGTTTGAAATTGATCTTCCTTTACTACTTTATTTTTGAAAAGGTGATTAATTTTTTGATCTTTGAGTTGGTATATAATTATTCTATTTAATATATGGACTTTTAGTTAGTTGAGGTAACTTAAGTTTAAAACTAGGACTATTCTCCTTGCTTAAAGCTTTTATTAATAATTAATCATTTTTATACATTAATTTATAATCACATATATGAAAGAATACGGTTCATCTAAACTTTTAAAGACAATTATTTAATAAGAAGAAGTTATAACTAATGTAGAGCCACCAAAAAAATTCAAAGTTAATGAATCATATAAACCTTCAGTGATTATTAATAAACCATTTTAAGAAGAGGATAAAAAAAAAAAAACTTTAGATGACATTATTCCAGCATATCCATAAGATCCTCCAAATACAATTCCAAGTACAAAGTAGTCAAAAAAAGAATAATAATATTAATAAGCACAACCAGCTTAAGAAAGTCCTGTTGATGATTTACAAAATATTAATATTATTCCTTGTGAGGAATATTCACATATGAGACCAGTCATACTTGGAGAGATATAAGAAGAAATATAAAAATCTTAAAAGAGTTTTTTATAAGCATTACGTGATGGACATTGCATTATTTAATTACCTAACAAATTACCTTTTCATGATATAGGGAAAACATAAAAATATGTTGAAGAAGTTAAAGGAGATTAAGTGTAAAAATAATTAAAGTATTTATGATTAAGATTTTAATTAGAGATTATTATGATGAATGTTATGATAGTAGTGGAATTCAATTATAAAAATAATTCACTAATTTAAGTAATAAAGCTGATGTTGGTATACATATAGGAAAGATTTAAATTGCTAAAGATGGAACTGCCATTTGGAAGGCTGGGAGGGAAGAATTTGAAATTGTTTAAGGAATAACCTAAGAATTAGATTAAAAATGTTTGATTATTAATAAAGAAGATGGTAAATGTGGGTTCATCAATGTAGGTGATAAATTTGTAATAACTCCTAATTATTGAAGTTCATATTATAATATATTGAAATAAATTATATGAATAACACAATCATAATATATAATTGAATTAACATTTAGGGATTATAAGATTTATTATTTTTATTATAAAATTATTTATAATACTTAATAGATATACTTGTAATCAAATTTAATTTTTTAGATTTACCATCTATAATATAATTTTGAATGTACAAAAATTGAAGGGTATTATAAGAGTGATTATATATTAATAATTTTTAACGAATTATAAATAATTCAAATTTTAAAACAAATGAAAACTTTTTAAGTTAGTAAAGACTCATCATTTAGGTATTTTAAACATTAAATTAAGGATTTTAGTACCATAAAATAGAATTGAAATGGAAGAGGAGACAGTTGAAACATCAATATAGTTAGATTAAAAGAATATTTATCGACCAATTAAAATAATATTTCCTCCTCCAAATAATTAAAAAATCATTACAAATACAAAGTAAATTATATATTAATATTAGATCTTGTAATTGTAAGAAATCCTAATGTCTAAAATAGTATTGTGATTGCTTTGCTAACGGATAAATGTGTTCTGAAAATTGTAATTGTGTAGGTTGTTTCAATAATACACTTAATATTGAATAAAGAAAGGTGGCTAAAGTATAAATTATAAATCGAGATCCTGGGGCATTTAAATAAAGTTTCAAAGGATGTAATTGTAAAAAGTCTGGATGTCAAAAGAAATATTGTGAATGTTTTTTAAATGGTCAAACATGTACACATTTGTGTAGATGTGATGGATGTCTCAATTGCTAAAAGTGATATTTTTATATAATTCATTTCAATCATAAAGTGTTAGAATTAAAATTTAATCTAATTTATTAATAATGATTCAAGTAAAAATAATTGACCAAATATTTAAAGGTCAATATTTTATAGTTGTTTGGAATAAAAGATATAATAAAAATTATTAAAAAATAAAATGAATACTTATATATAATCTTAAAAATAATAATAATAAAAAAAATTGATATTATTAAATCATTAAATATTTATGTAATCATAAGACTTTATTACTGTTTGTGCTACTTAATAATAATTAGAGACGATTATTTTATGTTTTGAAGAGAGGAGAGAAGTGCGTCTAGGATTAAAATGTCCTGGATTTAATTCTGTTTTGAGCTTTTGGTAAAATCATTCTTTTTTTTTCTTTACGACTTTTCAATTATGATTATGATGTACTCAATGGACTATTACAAGATTATTTTTCTAATAATTCTTCTGGAAAATGTGTTTTCATTGTAAGTTTTTTTATTTTATTTTTTGGTAATTCAACTTAAGATTCAAATTTTTGAATTTATTAACAATCAAATTCTTGAGAATCATTTTATGTAACAAAATTATAGCAGGTTTTTTATTTAAGAAAGAGCTCTGATTAAGTTTAAGTTACACTTGATGGTATAACTTTAATTGGATGTTTTCTTTATTTTAAAGATAAGAATTCGAGTTATTATTTAATTAATTTATTTCTTTGTTATTTTTTAATTTATTAAATTTATTGTATTTTTTTAGTAGTCTCTATTAATCTATCACTTTTTTATGGAGATTCTATTAAATTTTCTGTTTTAATTCTTTAAGAATAATATTATGGAAAATTAGAAGCTGTTTTTGCATCTGTTTATGTTCTAAGTTCTGCAAACTATTGTAATTCTATTCTATGTAATTTAAGTTCTTCAAATTGTTATTCAAACATTCTTTCAACTAATGATGTTCTTTAAATTTTATATGCATATCCTTTGGCTGAATTACAAATCAAAGAATATTCATAAGGAAGATTTATATTGAGATGATAGAAACCAAATACTTGTAATTCTCCTATTTCAAAAAGCTATCATATTTATAATAATTACATTTGCATTAGTTTAATTAGATCTAATAAACTTCTTAACTAAGAAGCTACCAGATTTAATTAAAATAAAATAATCAACCTTTTAGCCTTCTTATATAACAATTTGATTTTTTTCAAATTCATACAAAAAAGAATTTAGATAAATATGTTTCAATTAAGTTCTATGAAGATGTGAAAATATTTTAATTTGAGAGAAATAATCAATGTTCTTTCATATTAATAAAGATACATACTTCGTCTAATTATTTTTATTGTTCTTCCTAAAGAATATGCTTAAATTGTTATTTATCTAAAACAGCAAAAGTACATTCAGTAAGACATTGAATTGTTGCTAACCTTGGTTGTTTATGTAAGAGTGCTAATTCACCAAAAGATTCCCCTTTATTTAGAATTCTTACAGCTTCCATTTCAATTTGATTGGGCTTCCTTACTAATACCATAACTTATCCTTCTAATATAATATAGAATTTAGTGCCAACACTATCTAAAGAATTTAGAATTATGGGTTACCTACATAGAATACAATTTCATGTGATTTGAATTTTTCACAATACATATTTTTACAACATTTCCTTTGTATTTGAATTCCATTCTCTGATTTAGTGTATTATTTAAAAAAAGGAAGTTAAGAAGTTAATTTAACTAAAAGATCGATTTCTGCTTTGCTTCTATGTTGAGGACTCTTTTTTAATAAGAGTTCAACCTCATCAATTTACTTTTACATAAATAATATTTATTATTACTAATACTTTAATTGAATAAATTGTTATCAAAGCGATCTCAACACAAAAATTAAGATAATAAAAATTAATTTATATAAATGTAAAATAATAATATAATTCCTAGTTTATAATTATAAAATATATAAATAATTTAAATATGTTAGGCAAAAAATAGAGTTCATTTATAGGCTTCAATCCATTTAATAAAATTGTAAAAGAAAACCCAAGTATAAGTACTAAAATCATAAACAAATTGAAAAGCTTATTTTATATCAATTTAAATCCTTCTTCTTGTATAAAAAGGGAACTTATATCTTAATAGACTATTTATGTTCCAGTAGATTTAGAAATAGTTGGAGCATAAACTATTGAACATGGTATCATTCATTTTCATTTAGATTCTATTCAAATTTGTAATTCTCAAAATAGCATAAAATAAAGAAGAAACAAATTTATGAGCTTTGATGATCATATAAATAATTAATAGAATGAAAAAGTATAATAAAATGAATTATCTTAAAAAGTTTAATAAAAAGAGAATAAACACATGAAAAAGTTCAATTGTAAATTTAAAATATTATAAAAATAAGAATTATAATATAGTTTTGATCCTGTATTTCCAGAAGATATTGATATAGCTTAAACTAAATAGAATAATATTATTCATCCTAAAAGAAAACTTAGTTCTTAATAATATAAAAAAAGAAAACTTGATTGTATAATTATGAAATATATTTAGAGAAAAAATAATAAGTAGGAATCAAATTTGTATTTAAGGATAATATATAAGATTAAATTTAGGATAGTATTAATGAAAGTAGAATAAAAGAAGTTCCTGAATAAATGACAGATGATTCCCTTAAAGATAATAGTCTTCTTGTATCTGACCTAAAAAAGGAGCCAAAAAATAAAGAAATGATTATAATATAATTAGATGATGAAAAATAAAAATAGATTGAACCTCCTATGTTTACAATTAATGAAATTATAGTAAATCAATCAAAAGGATTAAAGAAATCATAATCTATGATTAATTTAAATGAATAAGAATCCAAATCTATTACTTATAGCCCTAAAATACATGAAAACTCATAATCACGAAAACATTCTGATATCATCAATAAAATTAATGAAACTAAACAAATTGATCCATTTAATGATTAAGTGAAAAAAGATATAATAAAGAATGAAAAATTAACTGAATTTTCAGTATAACCATAATAAAATGTTATCAATTTCTTAGTACAAGGCTCTGAAAAATAAGATATAATTAAAATAAAAAATAGTAATACATAATTATTGAAGGAAGTTTCTGAAGAGAAAAAGATTTCTGAATAAAAAGAGAGAAATATTAATAATTTTTCAGACACTCCTTTATTTGGATTTGGAAAATACAGAGAAGGTTAATAAGAATAAGTGATTCAAAATAAAATAAATGTACACTCATCTATATTTTCATCTTATGATTCTAAGGACTTAAATCTATAAAACTCTTCTAATTAAAGTTAAAATTTGTAATAAAATTAATTTACATTCCTTTAAAATAAGTCAAATATCTCAGTAATTTAAGATTAGCCTTCAAATTCTAATGGAAACAATTAAAAAAATATTTTGAATAGATAAGAGGAAAATAAATAAAATAATGGTATTTATAATAATACTTCTAACAATTAAAATGAATAGTTTCGCCCTATGAAATAACTTTTTTAAAATTTAATTTTTTAACCTCAATCAATATTAGGAGAATAGAAAAAAGAAGAAAATAAATATGATTAATCTGAAGATAATTAACCTAATTCTATTGGATTAAATTTTTAATTGAAATCTAATAATGAATCATTAAAACAACAAACAAAAAATGAGTAAAACAAATGTAATTTCTCTTCTTCTGATCAATTAATCAAATAAGTTACTACTCCAGTTAAATAAATAGGTAATCCCTTTCTATAATAATCTCCAAAAATTGATTAAGAACAAATAATCTCTTATTTTTCAAATCATTCATAATAATAAAATAGAAATAATTAAGATGATCCTGCTAAAATTTAGACTTCATAATTTTCAGATGATTTATTTAAATTATAAAATAATGGCACTTCTATGTTTAACCCATAATCTGCATAATCATCACTTTTCTCTTTCCAATAATTGTCAAATTAATAAAATTAGTCAAATTAATTTTTAACAAATTTTAATGTATTTTAAACAAGTGTAAATAATAATATGAATATTAATAATAATAGTATGAATAATAATAACAATATGGAAATCACAAATACATCATTACCTAATTAATAATTCTAATTTAAATAATAGTTATTGTAGACATAGAACCCTCTTGGATCATTTAATTAACCTTAATCAGAATCCAATAATTTCTATCCTTAAATTCAATAGTAAATTTCAAGTGGGTTTAATGTAATTTAATTTAATTCAACAAATCCCAAGTAATAAAATGAACATTAAAATTAATTACTTTAACTCCCTCAAACTAATTGTAAAAATTAATTTATAATTCTAAGGCATATTCACTTAAGATTCATCTAAATTAACAAATTAATCTTAAAGCTTGAATAGTAGTTTTTAAAGTCGGAATGCTAAAAGGAAATAAAGAATCGATCCATGATTTAAAAAATTAATTAAACTTAAATACATATAAATTGTTAATAAAAATTAAATTATTTAAATTAAAAGTATTTAAATTAACTTAAAATAATAATTCTATTTGAATATTTATTATGATAATTAGTGAACTTAATGAATTTTTTAATATTTCTTATTAGGATGGTCCCTTGTAACTATATTATTGATACACTAATTTAATGATGAATATTATCACTAGAATAAAATTTATAGATAAATTTACTTGACTAAGTTTAGAAGTTTACAGTTGTATGTCAAATTATTATTAATTAATTTAAATGAAAAACTTTCCATAATTTTTAATTAAAATCAAAGATATCATTTGTATTTTTAAATATATGATTGCACTTTAGGGAAAAGGCAATTCAAAATTTAATATTCATCGTTGCTTTCCAAAATCACTATCAATATTAAGTACTCTATTTAACTTAATTCCTGTGAGTTGAAATTAATAGTATAGTCAATTTTAGAATGCATATAAATTTCATAACCTTAAAATTACTTACAGATATCCTCTAAAATGAATATTGAACAGAACTAACTATCTTCTTAGATGATTAGATTGAAATAAAATAAAAATTCCTTGAAAGGCAACATATGATAAGAAGAATAAAAATAAATGAATTAAATAGTAAAATTTATGAAAAAATTCCTTGAGGTTATCTAATTTAAAAATGAAAAGATTTAATATATTATTTAATTATAATTTGAAAAATTGAGTAAAATAATAATCCATTACTTAATTCAGAAAATCTATTTACCTGAATTATTAATTAAAAAATATGAAGCTATTTTCTTTATAAAATATTAATTAATTGAATAATGAATTATTTTTATTCCTTTATAATTTGAATTCGTCATAAGTAATTAAAATGAGATGAAATTTAACAAAAAATAAATAATCAAAATTTTGATTGACTATAAGAAGGGCATCTCAGCTAAATTAGTGAATTATAAAATAATATTGTCCTTAACTTTTATTTAATTAATTTGCTTTCTTATTTAATCATTACTTACTAAATTAGAGATAATTTTTAAGCAATAATTTATATAGCTTAAACATAATTTAATATGGGCAATTCCCGATTATAAGCTTTCAGAAATCTAAAAATGAGATCACAGATTATTTCTCTTGATATTATTATTCTCCTTTTAGTCTTGAGTATAGCTGGAACCGCCATCTATATTGAAATCAAGATATTCTATTATATTTCTGAAAGATCTTTATAAAACACCTTAGTAAATTAGGACATTAAACAAATATCTCTAACTACCCACCTGATGAAACATTACATTAAAGAAAAGCATCAAATTAGTATTAAAATTATATATTTAATCACTAGGCATCTTATTAGTTGATCATATTTCTTCTTTTTTGTATCATTAAACTAAATTCTAAGGCTAAGTCAAATTTGCAAACCCAAATGACCTTTGTCTTAAAGAGGATGATTACATAAAGAGTATCTACTTAAAACATACTTAAAAAATGTGTTATTCAATATATGGAAATATCGAATTAGAAGAGGCCATGTAAAAGAGTTCTTAAATACTATCTCTTTATAATGGTCTTAAGTTATTAGAAAATTTTGGTTTAGAATTGAATAAATTTTATCCAGATTTTTTATAATTCGTAGATGTCACAAATATAAGTTTTAATAGTTTTTATCCATTTGGATTGCATGTTCCAAATTATGACCTTCAAAATAGACCCTGGTAATTTATTATTTTAATTTAGGTATATTGACCATATTAAAAAGGCTAATGAAAATCCAAACCAATACTATTTCTTTACTGATGTTTACAAAATGATAGTTGGAGATTATAATTATTATTTCTCAATTACTTAATCTTTATTTGATGAAAATAAAAATATCTCTGGTATATTAAAGGTTATGTTAACTGTTGATGACATGAACCTTGATCATGTTAAATCAAATATACTTTTAATAAATAAATATGGATAGGTTATTTACAATTAAATGGAAATATTATAGATTAATAACAGTTAAGTATTTTACATTAATAATGAAACTATCACTGGTTTTAATGATTCAGATTGGAAAATAATAGAAGATAATGCTTTATCTAATTCAAAAAAATCATTATCTTAACATGATGATTTTTCTAATTGTATTATATTATATAACAAATAATTTAAATCCTATGTACATTTGAGAAGTGAAAAATTCACTAAAGAAAACTTTACATTAATAATGTAATATCATTTTTTTTTTACTTTTTAGATACACTAATATATCATCAAAGAAAATTTTAGAATAATAATTTAAAGAAGCATTTATTGAATCTGAAAATTGGATTTTAAGTGCAGTTTTCTAAATAATTCTTTTGGGAGCTTTATCATTTAGTATTAGTATATGTTTTATTAAAATAATATGTCGACCATTAATAGAAATTAATCGTTCAATATCAAATCATGTATTATCTGTTGGAAATAATATAAACTAAATGATATTCAAGATTCTGTAATAATAAAAAAAAAGATCTTCTAATCTATTCAGTAATTTAAATGATTAGATTTGGAGTTTATATGAAACACTATAAATAAAATAACAAAAGAAATGTGAATAATGTATACTAATTGAAAAAATGTTTTACAATAGAAGAGATAATAATTTACATATCATTCCAATAAAAATAGCTATAAAGAATATTCCAGAAAATATAGATTAAGATTATGAAGAATGTTATTAATTACTATAATAAATGATATAATAATTCAAGGTGTAAGAAATATGATATATTCTCAATTAATAGTAATATTTTATTATATACATATATTTAAACATATTTTAAAATAATTATGTAAGTATTGAATCTAATGTAATTGATTTACAAAATCTTAATATAAAATTAGATAATGAAAGATTAAATTATTTAAAAATTTAAAAGCATAGAAATTTTTAGATTGCAAAAATTTTGTTTAAAACTTCTTACTTTTATTATTTAAATTAATGAGTGATATTAGTGATTAGGAACCAGAAAACTCAGAAATTGATGATAATTCACGCAGTCATTCAAGTGGTGGAAATGAAATTGAACCAGAGGATTCTGTTATTGATACAAGTGATTAAGATTCAGCAGGTATATGTGGAGGAATACATTTAATTTAGAAAAAAATTCTGTGACATCAGAATCTGATTCAGATGAGGATTAATAGATTTTAAGATCAGGAGCACAAATGTCTCAAAGCAAAGGAAGAAAAGTAAATAAAAATGAAAGAATTACACCACCATTTTTAACTAAATATGAAAGAGCTAGAGTAATTGGTACAAGAGCACTTCAGATTAGTAAAAATAGTCCTATTTATGTTGATCCAAGTATAAAAATGATGGAAATATTAAATAGAGGAAACAACAGATCCTATTTTAGTTGCTTAACAAGAACTTAATGAAAATAAAATTCCATTTATAATTCGAAGATATTTACCAAATGGAAATTTTGAGGATTGGGAATTATAGGAATTAGAGCGTCTAGATTGATTTATAAAAATATTAATAGTTATCTAAATAAATTTATAAAAATATTAATAGTTATCTAGTTAGATATATAAAAATAATAAATAGATTTCTAAATTGATATATAATACTCAGAATATTAAATTAAAAATCACAACAAAAACCATTAAAATCTCTGAATATGAAATTACTGTATCTCCATTCTCAACTAAAGTTATAGTAAATTCTTAAAATTCATGACCATGATCCTCCATTACTAAGGCAGATGATGTTGCATAACTCCAAGTATAAGAAGTTCCTTTAGCCAATACTACATCTTATGAAGAATCACCAGTATTTAATTTTCTTTTTATTCTAGCTTTAACAGAATTATCAGCTATACTATAAGAAATCAATTCTAAATCTTATTATGTATCAGTTGGAGGAGTATCATCTTCAACTGACCATAAATCTATAACTTCAGCCTAATTATCTATGATATTAATAGTTAACATATCAACATTCTTCATCTAAAATTATTATTATAATTTTTTACCCCTCTACCAAAGCCTACTCCGATCCATGATTTTTGATTCAAAATAAAACACATCTCTATAGTATCATCAGTATTAAACTTCCATTTCACTTGGAAAATACTTCCAACAGATAAAGATGCTGTCATATCAGTATCAGTATAAGTAGTAGTAGAGGCTGTAGATGTGACTTCCTAAACAATCCTTGATTATTATTCAATATGTTTTGATTATTCTTTTCCTTAAGTATTCTTCCATACATATGGTTAGAATCCTGTGTCTGGTCTTATAAAGTTCATCTAATTTTTTTGACAAAAGTAATTTGAGATTAATTACTGCTCACTTAATTTTGGATGGCTACGAGCTCCTTAAACAAATCTTTCCTCACATTAACATTCTTTTAATCTACAAAATAAGTATTCTCTGAAATCCTTTCATTATTAATTAAATGTTATACCTATTATCCAGAAAAGGCTAATACAACTAAATCCTCATTTGATATTATGTTGTAATGCAATTCATGATTGTTTTTTGTATAAGTAAATGCAATTTCAGCATTAACAGTTATTAAAACAATCAAAAGAATGAATATAGATGTATTAATTTGAAACATTTTTATACTATAAATCTATAGAATTTAAGTTTAGAAGTGAAATTTATGGAATTAATTAAATTTTATAGAACAGTATCCACAAATTAAATAAAATATTTGATAATTTTTAATTGATATAAATATTTACACAATTATATATTTAAAGGTTTTTATTATATAATCAAATATTTATATTTAATGAAACTATGATTAAAATGTAATATTTATTATTAAATTTAATGAGACTCTATAATTGACACTTTTGAAGTATTAATTATAACGTATTTGTTAAATTATAAGTTTATAAATCAATTAATAAACTTCATAAAAAGCCTGTTGATTTAAACATTGATTTTAATTGATAATTATAATAAATAATAAAAAAAAGAGTAAAATTTTAATTCCTCAAATGTTTAAGTGTATAATTTCAGCTTTTAAAGAGATGAGAATGAGGTCCTAAATATTTCTTTTTGAAATAATAATTCTCTTATTTGTTTTGGTTTTAGCAGGAGCAGCTACATATGTGGAATTAAGAATATTTTATTACATTTCAACTCATTCCTCTGAAACTATGATTTCTAAATTGGATATCAAATAAATTAATTAGGCAACAACATTAGTTTCACATTATATCAAATAAAAACATTAAAGAAGTAACATATAATACAAATATAAATATAGGAATTAATCTTATTGAACATCTTTCCTCTTTTTTGATCACATATTAAATATAATCACCTAAATTTACAAAAGTTAAGTAAATGGAATCTTGTATAAATTCAGAACTGTTAATAATTCCTCAATATTTTTATCAAACACCTAAATTTTGTTATTAACTTCATGGAGTTCATGATTTGATAACATTGCCATAAAATAATTAAAACATTTCTTTACTATATGATAGTTTAGGTCTAATGAATGAGTATGATCTCTTATTTAGTATTGAATCCTCTTACTTTATTTAAGTAGTTGACAATTCAGATTACAAATTTGATATTGTTTATCCTATTGGAATGTTGATTAATGGATATGATCCTAAAACAAGACCATGGTATTCATATAAATTTTATAACTAAGGTATGTTAATCATATTAAACAAATGGAAGTACATTCAAATGAATTGTATTTTTATTCTGAAGTTTATAAAGTGTTCATTGAATAATTTGACTATCAGTTTTCAATAACACATTCATTATTTAATTCTAAAAAGTAGTTCATTGGAATTGCCAAAACAATGTTAACTACTAATGATCCTAGTTTTGAATATGTTTTATACAATATTATACTGATTAATTATGCTGGATAAGTTTTATATAATGGTATGGAAATGTGGTAAAATTTAACAGACATTTTTTATGTTTTTAATGAAACTATAACTGGATTTAATCAAACAGATTGGTATAAAATAGAATAACATGCAATCAATAGATTAAGTAGAGATAATTCTAATTAAATATTAATTTTGTATAATAAATATCATAAAAAATTTGTACATGTTTAATGTGAAAAATTCTAAAAAGAAAATTTTACACTTATAATGTATATTATTAATTAATATATATATTAGATTTACAAATGTTAGTTCAATTAATATAATGGAAAAATAATTTTAAGAAATTGAATAATCATTTATTTTTTGGTATTTCTTAGCTGCTTCAATTATAATTTCAATTTGTTCATTAACAATTACAATTAGTTTAATTGTTATAAATTCTATATGTTAACCCTTAATTAAGTTGACTAATTAAGTATCCTTACATGTTTTGTAATTAGGAAATAATATTAATCAACAAATATTTAAAATGTTTAACAAATAAATATATTCATTGAATTTACTGAACAATTTAAATAATAAATTCATGAATTTTTAAGAATTATTACTTTAAAGTCAAACTACAAAATGTGAAACTTGTCGATTACTTGAAAAAATGAATTTTAATAAAAAAGAAAGTAATATTAATCTTAAATTAATACAAAATTAAAATATATTACTACCTGAATTTAGATTTGTTGAATAAATATAAGTATAAGATATAATCAAAAAAAGTCTATTCTAAGGAGAATCTATGATTATATGATATATCTCATTTTTCATTACATATTATCAAGTAATATCAATCAAATAACAAATATTAAAATTTAATTTCTGTAGTTTACTGTCAACTACATTTAATCAGAAATTTTCTAAATTCATTAATATGTATTATTATTAATTAAATCAAATCAATTTTATTTGCTAGAATGTTTAATGCAAGTTGGATTGCTCCTAATTTACTAACCATGCAACTTTCAACTAATAATTATTCTAATAACTTCCTAGAAAACTATCCAAAGTTACCTTTAATACCTCAAAAAAATTAATTTTTAACTTCAGAAAAACCTTAATTTAGAATATCCCAATAACTGCATCATTAAAAAAATTAACTTACTTTTAAAGAAATCTTTGAGATCAATAAGAAAAATTAGGAATTACTTAATGAATTAATGAATGCTTTGAATCATGATTTGTAATATAAATAACAATAAATTTATACAAACATTTAAAACTAATAAGATTATGAACTAAAAGTTAAACCTGATAGAATACGATATCCATCAGTTGATAATAAAATCAAAAGTAATAGATCACTAGAAAATGTAGATAAATCTCTTTAAGTTAGTATAAAAAAATCTAAAAAAAAATATGATTAATTATAAAACTATTCCAGAACAGAAAAATAACATAAAAAAAGAAATATAAATAAAAGAAAATTAAGTGATTCTAGTTTTGAGTACGATAATAAACAAAATTATAAATATAAGGTTCTAAATGCTAAACAAGTCAATAAAAAAAAAGAAATATAAAAATATAGTTCTGAATACTCTGATTTAAATTAGAGTTTAATTGATGAATCATATTAGAATAAAAAATTAAAATTTAAAACTGTTTGTTAAGTAGTATTTGCTGCTATGTGTTTGTCAAAAAAATATAGAATGTTATAATCAAAAAAATAAGTATTAAGAAATTAAATTAATCAAAATTATTAGGAATATTAAAAAGTTATTGATTAATTTTCTAAGAGATAAGCAATTATTCATGAAAAATAATATTATGCATATGTTGTAGAAAAAGTTATATATCATCTTAAAGAATAATCATTCATAGAGGAAACACAAAAAATTCAAAATTAATCAAAAGAATATTAAAGTGATTTAAGAAAAGTGCATGTTTTTAAATTTACTACTTTACTTTTTAAAAATGTAGAATTATATACTAGATAGAATACTATTACAGATGTCATAAATAGTTTCATAAATACCAGTTTATATTAACAAACAGGTATTCCAATCTCTAAATTTGTTGGATAAAGATGTCATTTTTATAATGAAGATCGTCTTAAGATACCTGTAGAACAATTAGTTTTGATAGCATTGGAATATTATTTTTTTTGTAATTTGATTCCTCATTTATTTGAGATTATGACTGATATTTAAGATAGCAAGATAATTGGAAAACTAAGAGTTAAAACAAATCCATTTCATTTAAATGAATGTCATTTTTATATTTGTGTTCTTGCTACCTTAATTTAATAAAAGATTGTATAAGTATTTTCTTAAATGAGAAAAATCAAAAATCCTAATGGAAATATTGTTTAAAAAGTACTTAAAACAACAGAATAATAAAATTTAGTTATCAAAGCACAAATAGCTATTAATAATCAATTGGATGATAATGATGAAGAAAATGAAATAGTGAAGGGATTAATATCATCTGATTTAATATTAGCACTTGAAGAAGAAAAACCATAATGGAAAAAATTTATAGATAAAACTTTTTCATAAATAATTACAAACTTTAGAAACATATTACCAAAATGAATATATATAATTTATAATAAATATTATTGTTTAAAATTTAAAATATAGGTTCTATAGGTATGTTAATAAATTTTTCAGTTTAAAAATAAAGTATTAAACTAATTATTTTTATCAATAATTTTAATGTTAACATTGGAGAACTTCAAATAAACATCATTCAAGTAACCAATAATAAACAGGTAATTTGCCTAAATACTCAAAGCCCACGGTCTATTGAGGCTTGTCGTTTGTGTGGAATATTGCCAGAAGAGCTAATTTAAATTGGTATTAAAGAACTCAAAAAAAGAAATCCAGAGTTGAGATTAAATAAATAAGGATGGGAGATTATGTGGCAACATCATGAAATAAGAAGATAAGAGAAACTAGAAGCATGTCTTGAAGCTAGATAGTAATTAATTGATGCAGGATTTAATTTCAATAATCAAGAAGAGGAAGAATAGGTTATGGAAAATTCAGATCAATTATAAGCAAGTCAAAATTAATAGGAATTAGAGAAAATATAATGGAGACAATAAAAAGAGATTTAATAAATGCTTGAACATGAAAGAAAATAATAAGAGATTAGAGAAAGAAATGAATCAAAATAACGTTAATTGTAAGAGAGATAATAGAGAAGAGAGGATTATTTAAGATAAAGTAGAGTTAAATAAGAATATGATCGTGTATAAAGAGAGAGAGATAGATAGATAAAATAATAACGGGAAGAATAAAAATTAAAAAAATTAGCAAAATAATAATATAAAAAAGAATTATATAGAGTATAATTAGAATAATAAAGATAAAAAGAATTATAATAAGAGTATAGAAGAAGAGAGGAGGAAAGAAAATAGAGATAATAATTATTTAAAGAATAAATGTAAGAAATACAATTAAGACATGAAATGGAATTATAAGTTAAGAGATAAATAATGGAAATGAAAGATAGAGAGAGATTGGAGAAGTAGGAATAATCTAGATAAGAGAAGATTAAGATTTCTTAATAAGCTTAACTTGAATTGAAATATAAATTGTAGACTGCTAAATAGCTATAAATGGAGAAATTAGAAAGAATGAGAGAATAATTTGAAGAAAAATAAAGAAAAATTGAGGAAAGAAGATAAGAATTTGAGAGATAAAAAGAATAGAAAATAATTGAAAATTATATTAATGCATAATAACATTAAGAGAAAATGAAATAAGTTATTGAGAAAGTTTCAAATTAAGAAGAATAAAAATATTATGATTATTAATAAAGATAAGAATTTGTTAATTAAAGAAAAAGGTAATTAGAATTAGAAAAATTATAAGAATTATTGATAAAAAAATAATAATAAGAAGAGAAAGAATAGTAAAGAATTGATGCTATATAGAATGCTGAAAAAAATTAATAAATTAAAGCTATGGAATTAAATAATAAATTAATACAAAAAGAATAAATGATTTTAGAAAAGTAAATGGAAAAATAATAAATTTAAGAATAAATTAAATTATAAGAAATTCTAAAAATGAAAGATAAAAAAGAAGCTTTAGATAGATTATAGAGAAAATAAGAATATGAAAAAGAAATTTTAAGATAAAAAATAGAGGAAAAGATGAGAAGAACTGAAAATTTACAATTATAAAAAAGTAGAATTTTAGATTAAAGATTGTAGATGAAATAAATAGCTAATTTGTAAAAGGAAGAATTAAAACATTAATTTGAATTAATAAAATAAGGAAAAATTGATATACTTTAATAATCAATACAAAATGAATCCCAATAATAAGGATAAAATTAAATTGAAGATCATCCAATATCAACATAAAAAAAAGGAAGACGTATTATCTATCAAGATTAATTTAGCTTAAACTGCACTTCCAAAATAGAAAGCAGAAGTTTAGAGACCAAAATCTGCACTTACAAAGAAAGTTCAAAATGAAGAGAAAAAGTAGTTGAAAATTAATTATGATCCTTAAAAATAATATGAATTAGAATTTTTGGAATAATAATAATAAGAAGAGATGATTAATGTATAAAAACATAAAATATGTTTAGCTTTTGGAGAATGAATAAAGATTAGAATAAGAAAGAGAAAAACAATTATATTAAATTGAAAATAAACAAGAATAACTTAGATTAGAGAAAATATTTTAGATTGAAAGAAAATAAGCAAAATAATAAATACTTGATTTGTAAGAAGAACATAAAAAATAGATTGAAGAATTTATGTTTAATTGATTATTTAATATAATAATATGTAAACAAAAGCATAATAGTTTAAAATCTAAGGAAATGAAGCTTTTTAAAATTAGAAATATTAGGAAGCCATATAATTCTATTCTTAAGCTATTGTAAAGTAATAAATTAATCTAGGCTGAAGATAATACTGAAAGTGTATTCTTTTCTAATAGAGCAATTTGTTATTATAATTTAAAGAGATATCAAGAAGCCTGTAATGATGCTACAGAAGCTTTAGAATTAGATGAAAAGAATATCAAAGCTCATATGATTGCTGGTCAATCAATTTGTATGTTAGCAAAAGAAAGATAAGAGAGCTCAAAGATTGATACAGGTATCTAAAGGATATTAAAAGGTTATTTTGTTTAATAATCTATAGCTAGAACTTTATGTGCAGGTTAAAAGAAATCAGAATATGAAAAGGATATTGATGATAAAATTAATAAAGCTAAAAAACTGAAGTGGTTTATTTAGTAAGAAGAGGAGAAAATAAAAAATTAAGAAATAGTTTAATAGTTATAAGAATTAGTAAAGAATGATGTTAAATTAACTTAACATGAAAAATAAATAACTTTAGCTTAAATTGATAAATATATTACAAATGAAAAACCTAAATTAGAAATACCAGAATATTTATAGTGTCATATTACTAAGAAGTTGTTAATTGATCCTTATACAACAGAAATAGGATATTCTTATGAAAAATAAGTTCTATTCAAAATAAACCCTTTAATTCAAGATCCATTCACAAAGTACATTTTCTTTATTATATTAGTAAACCTATCAATCCACAAATTATATATCCGAATATAAATTTAAAGTAAGCAGCTAGTGAGTTTTTAGCTTAGAATCCTTGGGCATATGATTATAATGGAGATTAGAGTTATAAGGATATTGAGATTTGATTCGTAATAAAAAAATGAGATGATAGAATTTATAAACTAAAATATCTAAATTTCTAATTGATAAATAAATATATCTTTAAATCTATTCAAAATGAATACAATAGTCATAAGATATCCAGATGGTAATATATATAGTTTTGAAATGTAGAATGGTGAAGTGTTAAGTTTAAGAAAAATATTTTTGAGTATTAAAATTTATATATCTAGATCATGCTTAAAATTTACCACCCTTAGAAGTTACTATATTAATAAATGAAAATACTAATACTTTAGTAAGCAGGGATGAAACGTATTATCTTAAATTTTATAATAGTCTTAAAACAAATGTACCATACAAATTAGTAGATTGTAGAGAAATGATAAAATGTTTTAATAATTTAAGAGATTGTATTAATTAAAAAGATAAATAATTATTGGAATATTAATAAACTATTAAGGAAAAACAATAATTATTAGATTCTTATGAAAAACAGATTGGGGATTAGGAGAAATAACGTTTAAATGATATTTAACATCAATATAGGGATTTAGAATCTAATTTTAAATTAGAGTTAGAAAAGAATAAATATTTGCAGAAAGAAAATGAAACCATAAAATAAGATAACATTTTACAAAAACAGAAAAAAAAAAAAGTTAAAAAACAAATTGATGATCTTAATTAACAAATATAAGCATTATAAAAAAATATTAATTAAGGATAAAATTCGTAAAAATAACTAGAAGAAAAAAATAACAATTTAAAAAATAAATATCTATAATACAAAGAGAAGTTAAATCAAATGGCATAAGAGAAATCTGCAGTAGAATCTAAATTTTCTTGTTTAGGTTAAGAAATTCAATTTAAATAAGAGAAGATAATAGAAAAAGAGAATCTAATTAAATTTTAAGAAGAATAACACTAAAAGAAGTTGGAATAATAGAGTAAATAATTTGGTTTAAAGAAAATCAATTTAAAAAATTAGATAAAAATAGAATAAGAGAGATTGAAAGAGGTAGAATAGAAATATTAAATTGCTTTGTAAGAAAATTCAGCTTTGAGATTGAACTAAAGTAGCAATGACTTATCAAATAGATCTTAATTATTCTAATAAAAGGATTTAGAAATGGAAATTTAATAGTAGAAATTAAATTTTGAAAAGTAGATAAATCATAAAGATGATTAAATTATATTACTCAAAAGTTAAAATGATATTAAGGATATGATGATTTAAGATTTAAAGCTTAATTTAGAATAAATTAATAAGGAATCCAATTAATAAAAATAATAATTACAAAATTATAAATAATAATTATAATAATTGGAGAGACAGATAGAGGAATAAAAGTGTCAAATCAAGAACTTAAATAGTATAATAGAAATGGCAGATTAAGAATTTATCAAAAAAAATGAATAAAATGGATAGAATTAAGATGATATATTAGATAATTATAATTATCGTTTAAGGAGATTAGTTGAATAGATACCAAGATTTTATAAAGAAGAAATTAATTTTGCTATTGAGGATATGTTTTAGAAAAAACTATATGAAAAAAAAGGAAATTGTATAAATCAAACATTCTAAGTTTACTAATTGACTAATAAAAACACTAGAGATATAATTTTCACTCAAAGTAATTTAGATGTTAAACAAACAATTATTAAATCATATAAATAGAATATTCACGGTGAGTTAAGTAAAGAGAAAATTGTGTCTGAGAAAAAATACTCCGATAAATCTAGATTGATTGATTCAATCTAATTGTATTATAGTAAATCAATTGACACTTTAAATGATGAATATATAAAAGTTAAAAGTGAGAATAGTAATAAAATATATATGATAAAAGAGACATTTACAAATCAATAAAATAATATAGGTGACATAGATTATACTCTACATTTATTAAGTAGATCTATAGTGGCATAGATGATTTTAGATGAATTTGTTGCTGAATTAAAAAATAAGAATATTAATATTCCTTTTAAGTTTTAGTTTGTATAACCAATATTATTTTCAATTAAAATTCATTTTAAAAAATACTTTTCAGACCTTATTGCAAAATAAGGTGAGAAATAATATACTAATGCTTTTAAAACAGTTATCTCATTTATGGATATAATTGAAGAATAATACTCAAATGATTTCTATGAATATATCAGAGAACTATAACTTACAAGATTAGAAGTTAAATCTTAAGATGGAAAAATTACAAATGAGTCTAACAAAGAAGATTAAACATAATTTATTTTAAAGTTTATTAATATTTGTTATGAAGATAAAAAAAGAGATCCTTTTAAAAATATTCTTCAATAATTTAATTTATGTTCTAATGAAGAAAAACTGAAAGCATTTATCGATTTAACAGAGCTATTAAGCGAAACTTATAATACATTTCCTACTGAAAAAGTATATATATTATCTATAATATATAGTTCTTTTATGGATATGAATTAAATTTGAAAGATATAAATGATAAAAGTGTTTTCAAGAAATACAATGGAGGAAACATTAATTTTGATTCTTCAGAAGAAGGTAAATTTTTTTCTGCTCTTTCATTCTATTCTATTTTGAAAACTGAGTAATAATTCTGTGTATCTCATATTCAAGGAATTGGAAATTATTTATATGATCCAGTAGTATCAACTTATGATGGATTTTTGGACTGTTTAGATTAAGGAATTAATGAAATACGCAATATTGAATCAGCTTTTTCATCAAGTGATACTAAAAATATTGGTTTTAAATATATAGAAGCTTTGGGTTCTAAATATTTAGAAGCTATGAATATGAATGAATACTGATATATTTTTAATAAATTTCATTAATTTTCATTAAAATTCTTAAGATATTAGGTTATTCTTTCAATTTTTAAGTTATATAAATTAATTAATTGAAATATGTATTCTTATATATTGTAAATATAAATTATTCATGTAGATTATTTTAAGAGATCTCTTAAATTAGTTAATTAAAAAGAGTATTATGAATAACATTTAGTTACTATTTAGAAATTAATGTATTGATAAAAATTAAATAATTATATAACAGTTAAATTGATGAGTTAAGGGGAAATAATAAATAACATGGATAATGTTTTAAAATAACTAACAAATAATTTCAATGAATTAATAAGTAGGGAATAGTTATTAAGATTTCTTGATTAGAGATGTATATAATTATTTGACAGAATAATATTTGAATAATTATATTCAAGAATGCCTAAAGGGATTAATGGATATGTATCAGTAAATGATTTTAAATAAATTGTCCTTCAAGCATATTAAACATTGACAACTAAAATTGCTCAATCATCTACTTTAATGGATCAAAAAAGAAAGTAATATTTCCTATGTGAATTAGTGAATTGAATACAATTTCAACAAAATTGAAATAATTAGCTAATACTGAGAGATATAATAATTACAATATTAGTTTATAAAGCACATTAACAATATAAATATTAGATGGAATAGTGGAATTTCCAGGAAACTCGAAAGTTTATATAAAGATAGGATGTGATGAAATTATTTATCAAACTAAATATGCAAATAGAAATTCACCTTAATGGGGTGATACATTTACTTTTCCAATAAAAACAGGTTAAGAAGAGATTTGGCTTGCTATTTTAGATGAAGAATCAACTTTAAATAAAAAAATAGGTGGATAAGTTTAATTATAATTACAATAATATTATGATTAAAAAATTCATGAAGAAGAGCTTAATTTAATGGATTAACATAATATTTCAAAGTCAGCTATTATAAAAGTTACAGTTTAATGGATACATTCTTAAGTATTAAAAATATTAATATTTAGACAAAATATTTAGAATAAGAAATCTTAGAAACATAATAATAAATGTAAGAACTTAAATTTGATATTGATGAATATAATAATGATATCAAAGCAATTTTTTAACCATTTCAATTAGAAAATGTTGAAAATAAATTTTATTAATCAGAATAAAGTTAAAAATAACAATAATAAATTGTAAATTAACTTTATTCAACTTAATAAAATTATTCTGTAGAGCCTCCTAAATAAAATACTGAAATCACTCCAAATTAATGGTTAAGAATAAGTTTAATACTAACTCTTATGTTTTTTGTATCAACTATTGCAGAATCGTTTATAAAAACATAATATTTGGATGTATAAATCAGATTCATTAGATTAGTTTCTAATTTTATTTTACAGTTTGTGGTTTTATATGAACAATTTTGAATTGTAATCTCTATTACATATAAAAATAATGACATTTATGTACATAATGTCTATTATTTATGATGGTTTTTGGTTATTTATTTATTTTAAACCTTATTTAAAAAATGAAGTAAAATTTGATCATTAAGAGGATACATTTCATTAATATACTGTAGTACTTTGTATTTTGATTCTTATAGAAAAAGTAAAAATGTAATAATATTTAAATTATAGCTATTTATTATACTCTCTTATTTTAATCTATATTTAAAATGTCCTAATGCAAGATAAAATATATTTGATGAATAATATGAAATTTGTTTTGGATCATATTATTAAAAGAAATTAATAGAAAGTTAAAAATAAACACAATACTCTAGCAAAGTAATTAGATAAGGTACTCCAAATATGAAATATGTTTATCCTATGTAATCATAATCACAAAGATAAAGATATTCTTTAAGATATGTTCAATGAACAAAATTTTCTGATTTATCGAAAGATGCAAGTAAATAATTAAATTATATAAAATTATAATATTTATTAATTAAACATATTATATCAAGTCATTCAACTTAAATGTTGCAATGATTATATAGTTTAGCTTTCTCACTTTTTATTCTTCTAAAATAAGTAATTTCTTATTTTCCTTCTATTCCAATACAAAATTCAATATCTCCTATTTTTTTAATTACAGAACTAAAAGTGATTATTCTTTTTGGAAGTGGAGCAATTTTTAAGAAATGATGAAATTTACTCTTTTCTATTTATTTTCCTGTATTAAAAAAAAATGATTCTTATTCATCATCTACTTCTGTATGATCTTCTTTAATTAATTCTAATTAACTTTATTTTTAAGATTCATTATTAAGTGTTGCTTTTTATTATTATGAAAGTCTATGAATTTTATCTTCAAGTGTTAATATTTTTGATGTTTAAGATACATTTTAATTAGAACGAGTAATAGCAGATGAATCTGAATTAATTGCTTATGATTTTTTAGTATATTTAAATTCATTAGGAGTAATTATTTAAGGATGTATAATTTTAATTATAGGTTTAGATGGTGCAGAGTTTTCAGATAAAATTCTTCTTTTTTTAGTTTTATTCTATGAATAAAATTTTGGATCAACTTAAATCTATTTAATTGATGGTGTGTTATGAACTTAATTAGTTTTTTTACTCAATTTTGTATTTGATTTATCTTCTTTGAAATAAGGTTACTTGGTTAATTCATCTAAATCAAATTATTCTTGAGCTTAAATTGAAAAAACCATTGAAGTAGATTATCTACTCTTTTTTGGTACAAATTAACTATATTATGTATTATTATTATTTTATTCTATTTTTGAATCATTTTTTATAGGTAATGTAGCATTAAAAGAAATGGTTTCAGTTTAAAATTCATCTTAAGCTTAAGAAAACAATTTTTAATTCATAAATATTAAACACAACAATAATTAATTAATATTAAATTCATATAAATAAAACAATATTATATAATTCTTATTAAAAATAAATACTATTTATTATATTAAAAATGAATTAGATAATTAAGAAAACATTGTTATCATCATTTTTTATATTTAAATTTCTGATTAAATTTAATATTATTATTATTTAATATATAAATTAAAATAATAATAATATTTCTTTAAATTATATTATTATATCAACCTGTAAATATTCTAGTCATCAAATTACCAGTTATTATTGGAAATAGCATCACTAATATGTAACCAGCAAACATAAAACAAATAGCTAATAATAAATATCTTATGGCCTTTGGTCCCAATAGTTAATTCTATATAAATTAAATTATTATTATCTTACAAGCATTTTACAAGGATTCCAAGTCCATTCTATTCTACCTGTAGGTTCAGGACATACTGGTGAATGATTTGGTTAAGATCTACCTAAACCTACTGGATTCTTATTATGAAACTATTCTGACACTATTTCAATTGAAACTACCAATTTTCCATTCTATTAATTACTCTTATAACCTGCCTTTTCAGTATTTATAGTCTGAATCACATTCTTTTCATATAAGATTCCTTTATTTGTTTATTTTGTTGAAGCATCTTATTTAAGAATACCATCAGAAGGTGGTTCAGTTTAAGAATACATTTTAATATTAGTTTCATTTTCAAAAGCTCTTCTACATAATTCTGTAATATCTATAGAACAATCAGATATAAAATCATCAGATGTAAATATATCTTTATCAAATATTTAAAATGTTAAAACACATTATTGTAATTATGGTAATTCTATTGGAAATACCATTCTCCAATTAAATGAACCCTTTCCATTGAAACTACGAAAATGTGTATCTGTTTTTTATTTCTAATTTTAATCTACATATCCTACAACATATAGATCAGAACTTCCTTCATCGTCATGTGATGGTACATCTAACACATCCCACACAACACATCTAATAAAATGTTTAGCTTTAGGTCTTTATTCAATAAACCATGGATTTTTAAGAATTGAAGTTTATTTTGATGGTATTATTTCTAAAAATAAACGAATTTATCCTTATGGCATAGAAGAACTTGGATGTATTAATTAACGAGTTTCAATAGGTATTTATTTTAATTATCTGAATCTTTATTAAAAATATCTTTCCTCTATGTCAATTACAGTTTATCCTATTAATTCATCAGACATAAAATCATCATAATCCCATACTTATATTGTTAATTCAGATGCACCTGGTAATTCTGTTGTAATATCATATCTTCTGTAATATTATGGATTACAATTATCTGTTATCTTATTTTCAACATCATCTATAGATTCTTTACCCAATCTTATTTTTAAATATGGATCAGACTTTGAATCTTAATCTTTTGGTGGTAAATTAGAGCAATCAATTATATACAATCTAATGGTAACTTAATTTTTCACTACTAATTCTTTATCAGTTAAATTTGTATCACTTTTACCAGATGTAAAATCATATTCATTCTTAATCAATTTAAATTCAGGTTAAGCTTATAGTTTCTCCAAATCTTATTGTGAAATAACTTCCACCCAACCTTTTAATTTCCCAGTATTTTATTGATTCTCTTTCACTCCCAAAATTATCTCAGCCATACTTTCTACTTCTCTCAAATTTATACTTCCTTTCCTTAATGGAAATATATCAAAAACTTTCTATTGCATAAATACTGTATCTTCTAATGGACATGGTAAACATAAACGATAATGTACATTAGATTTTATTAATCCCTATTGTCCTTATTGAGAAGATTTTATTTATAATTCAACTTAATTTAATGATTTATTTTGTATTTGTTAACCTCCTAATTTCTTTCTCTATACATATAACTAAGATTTTTATGTTTAGGTATCATAACCTAATGGTAAATAGTATTTGCTATCAGGTTTATCTACTTCAAAAAATGTACCCTCTTCTTCATTTTTATCATATTCAATATACTTAATTATCTAATCCATATGAATTGAATTGTTTCTCAGAATTCCTAATTAAGTTAATAAATTATTGATTTCTTCATTAAATTATTCTCCAGAAGCCATAGATAACAATGCTCCCATCTTTATTCCAACTCCCAAATCTAAACTTGGTAAATGAATTATGTTTTAATCCACTTAAATTGTTCCATTTAATACTCTCTTGGCTATATCCTTTTTCTCTTCTATTTATTTCAATGTTTTTAACTTCTACAATTTTAAATCTATTGAAAATTATCCTATAAGAGGTTACATGAGTCCTTTTAGAATATAATCATGAACACTCCCAATGAATTTTGGCATGAAAGAATCATCTTCAGGAAGATTAACCTCTAAACAAATTATAGAAGTTATATTAGGATTAGGACCAGCATCTTTAGGTTAAGTAATGATTTCACTTCCATTATTTAATGATAAAGGTTCATCCTTAGCTCTTATTGATTGTATATTGAATTTAGCAAAGGCTTTAGTAACAGGCAATGGACCAAATGATTTAAGATTTCGAAGACCTAATAATTTAATTTTAATGAAATGTTTAATTCTAGGAGGACTAATTTAATTTGGTATTTTTATAGTAGCATTATCAATATAATTACAAGATAACAATACTTATCCAGCCTTACTTCCATATAGATATACATCTATCCATTAAGGTTTAGTTATAGTAGATTAATTTTTAGTAATAAATCCTTTCTTTAATCCTTTTTAATAATCTATAGTCAATTATCCCATAAAATCTCTACTAACTTTATCTTGATCAAATATTTTTAATATAATAGGAGGGAAGGAATCATTCTCAAATTTATATACTGGCATCTTAAGTTAAGTATTCCAAATAGGTGCAGTTGTATCATTAATTAAAATAGTAGTCTATTTTTAATCATAAAAGAGTATATCAACAACAGGATCAGCTAAACCATCCATATCAGTAGGAGCTAGATCATGAGCTTAGAATAAATTGACATATAGAAAACTACTGGCATCTCTTTAAGGTTTCACAACTTATTGTATCTTAGCTTGTCCTCCTGTAGGTTAGATTAGAAATTTAATTTTAACAATACCAGGATGATCCATAGGTGTATTTTTGAGAGACTTATCAGGAATTAAAGTGACTGTAAAATGATGTCCTTCAGGATGTTCAGCAGTTGGATTAAGATTGTATGATTTATATCTCTTAAAACATATAGGTTTATCACCATCCATTAAATATATAAAGACATCTGGTAATTCTGATATTTCTTTAGTTGGAAATCTAACATTATCAATAGTCAAGTATTTATAATATTCAACAACACCATTTTTAGCTTTTTCAGAACTTGTTTTGCATTCATTTTCCCCCCATTTAATTTTAATAGAATATGAATCATCATCTACTGGTAAATTGAGTGCAAAATAGACCATACATTAAAATGACCATTAATATGATACATCTGTACGTATTTTTTCAAGTGTTTTTTAATCAGTTATTTTTTATTTATCCTTTTTAGGTAATTCTGAATCAACCAATTCCATTGATAATAATATTCTACCTGCATAACAAGTTCCCAAATCTGGATGACTACATAAATACACTCTTTAATCTGATTCTGCATCTATATGTGCTCCATAAATATGATACCATTTAGGTTATTATAACTTAATATTATATATATATATAAATTACCTAACCACTTAAAATTTCTGAGATCTTAAATAATTAACTACCTGCTATTTCATCCTTTCCACCCATATCATAATCAAATAATCTCATTATCAAATATTCACTTTAACATGGTGTCATTACAGGTAACTAATAATTAATATTTTCAATATATTTACAAATAGATTCATTTCCCAATTTGGAGCATTTTGATTTTTAATCAAATCAGTTTAAATTTCTTAACCACCAATTTCAAATACTAAATATGGATCAATAGATCCCAACATTGAATCCATTTTCATTAAATTACTAGCTCTACCTAAAGTAATTTTTAATTATTGTCCTTTTGTTTGAATATGAGGAGGTAAAAGTAATTCACCTTCAGCAAAGAGATTATTTTTTGTTTCCTCTATCTTTCCTCTCTCCTTAATCTCATTATCCATTATTAAAGTAGTTTATTTGTCTGATTCATGTACTACATTAATACTCATTTTTAAATATCCAGTTATTTTATTGAAGTCTTTCTCTGGATTAATCAATCCCTATTAATTATATAATTCATTTCATTACCAACCATTTATGTAACAATACATGATTATCCATCATATAAATAGTTGAGAAATCTAATTCATAGATTCCTACTACTGCATTCCTTCCAAATACTTTGTGATCTAATACTGAAATTTTCACATGCTAAGATTAAATTTACCAACCATTTGAAAAAGATCTTTTGAAATAGAAATGCTCATTCCATACTAAAGTACTATTTGATCCAGTTCCCTTCTTTTGAGAACTGAATTTCTTCTAGTCCATTGTTTCAATTTGAATTAATGGATCTATAGTACTTTCATTGTCATTAGGATTTTATAATGCTCTTGTTTATTACAACAGAATGTGCACTAAATACTCTCCTGGTTTAAATTATAAACTTTCCTATTAAACTATAGGTTCAAGTTCTTCTTATTGTTATTATTTTTTTTTATCTGCCATACAAATTATTAATATTAAATCAAATTTCAATATCTTCTGTGAATTCTTCTGTACATGCCCCACTAACATTAAAATAACTTGTGTGATCAGCAGCAGAATCACCAATGATTGAATTGGCACAAGTTGGATCCTCATCAATTCCACTTGAACATATCTAAATTAATATACTTAATTACCTTATATGATTTATTATCATGAGCATACCAAACTTCTTAAGGTGGATGTTTATAAGAGAATGATGAAGGTGGTTAATGAATTACCATATCTCTATAATGGGTAACCCTCCAATGTTCTGTTGCACCAACATAACTAGTAAACCAAACAGCAAATTCATGAGTTCCAATACGAGGAGCTCCATAAGTAAAGAAATAGTCAATATTGTAACCTAATTTCTTTAAGTCTACTGCAGCCAAATAAGCTACTGCACCACCTAATGAATGTCCTGTAACCAATATTTTTGAAGTTGGATATTTTTCTTTCAAATGTTTTGCCGCAGCCAACACTTCTAATGATACGTCATCATACGTTTCCCAAAATCCTAAATGAACTTTACAATTTTTGCAATCTCCAAAATCATGTTTAAAGAACTTTATGTTATTGTACCAGTTGATAAAGTCTTAGGTACCTAAAATTATATTATTCATTTCATACTTCTATAAACAACAACCACCAAATTTTCTTTTTTATTATATCCTACATATGCCTATGCATGATGATCAGACTTATAGAATGCCTTAACTTCAACCATATCTGGATGATGCTCACAAAATGAACCACAATTCCAATTTGATATACTCTACAAACAATTATCAATTGATTTACCTTCAAACTACATTTTGCTACCTAAGTGTAATAGAAGAAACTTTCAGATTGAGTATGCTAATAATTTTATTACAAACCCATGAGTTTCTCTATCCTTTGTTCCACATTTCCATTCACTATTGTCAATAATATACAAAGAGCTATTATTGAATACGTCATTGATTTAATGATAATATTAATTGATATTAACCTTTTAAAAGTCTTAAAATATCATACCAATTATATAAATCTAAATAAGAATTAATGATTATATAATATATTTTGGGTATCTAAGAGATGATGATGAAAATAAAATCCTAGCTTAAATTTTCTAATAACAAATTTCAAGAAACATTATACAATAACTTAGATTCAGTGTTTTAAGTTGAATATAGAATATGATAGATAAGTAAATTGAATTTAAATAAGATTTTACATTAATTATAAGGTTTAACACTTACAATCTTAAATATAATTATTGATATTAATTAAGAACAGCTATAATAATTTTATAAGAAAAGAAGGTAGTTTAAAAAAAATCAAATATTTGTAAATTAGAACACCAAAATTTATATAGCTAGATTAGATTCAAACAATTCTAATATAATCTAGAATATTATATTGTAAAAAGGATTTGGATTAAGGTTGCCTGATTGTTATTTTTAGACCAATACAACTCTTTATAATTTGTTATAATGATGTATTATGAAGCTTTTCTTCATTTCCTTGCATCTTTTAAATTATTTAGGCAAATAAATTTATTTCATTCTGTTTAATTCGATTATTTACCTTATCATGTATAAGAAGAAATAAATTATAGATAGATTGATTAAACAACAAATTACCTCATAAATTTGTAAAATTCATCATTTATTAATAATAAAGAGTGTAATATTTTTGATCAAATTATCATATAATACATAATTATATATAATCTTAGTCTGAATACATATGAGGTATTTATTATTGGCTAATAAAACAACATAGATATTTATTATTGACTATTAAAATAACATATATCTAATTCAATATAAAAGGCTAAGAATATTTTTTATAATTCCCAAGATTTATATATATATATATATTAATTGCAAATAATATTCAATTTTTATATTCTTTTTCGCATTAATATATATCTTTTTAATTCTTTTTTAAAAGACATAGAATTCATAAAACTCTCTCATAATAGAATATATGCTAATCCTAAAAAAAATTGATGTTAGAACCTTTACTTAAGTTCAGATCTAATGATCATATTTTAATAACGCATATATTATTATTTTTATATATTCGAAAACCAAACTTTCATGGGTTTAAACCAATTTTGCATTTTATATAATAAAACTGAGTATGTAATAAAAAATACTAGATGTACATCTTGTTTTAAATGTATTATGTAATTTGATAGAAGCTAAAAGAACAACCTTTCTATAATTGTTTAAATTGTTTTAAATTTAAGGGAGACAATCAAATATAATAAGAAATGTCATATCAAAATACGATGCAACAATTTGATTCATTATTAATTAGTGGTTATAGTTTTTAATTTTTATTTTTTTCTTCCTCGTTTGTCTTCTGAATACTTTAATTAACATTAGATAAGCGAATTTCGCATTCAGAATCTGATGAATCACTATCTATTTATATTTTATTCCTAGTTAAATTCACAGCAATTGGTTCATATGATATTGATTTAAAAGTTATTTTATGTTTGCCACCTTTAATAATTATATTTCCCATTGAATCTATTCGAGTATTAGTTGTTTATTCATCTTTTTTGATATTCTTCAAAATAGATTTTACAGTATTTAAAGTTCTACTCGAATCAGCAAGTTATTGTAATTCTGTTTATGACATTTTAATTAAATTATATTTATAAAAATCTTTTGCAGATGAACTTAACTTATCTTTTATCGAAGTTTCAGTTTTAAAGATTTGAAAAACAAAACTAATATAAAAACTTTGTAATAATCTACTCGTATAAAAGTTTGTAAAAGAAACAAAAGAAAGTAGAATTTAAATAAAAAGATAAAATAAAATAAAGGCTTAATGATAATTTATTTAACAAAAGTCTAGATTTGTAATCAATTTCTAAACAGACGTGAGTTATCTAATTAAAATGATTAATCAATATATAACATCTTTGATTTAAATTTTTCTTAGAAACATAAAATTATAGGAGCTAATAATTGATTGTTTTTTTCCACTTAGATTACAGCTTTCTATAATTTATCTGATCTCAATAATTGAAACAGTATCCTATATAGCAATTATCAGAACTTTGATAATTTTTTAAATGCTTAATTTAAAAACAAAAAAACATTCATTCTCAATCTAGAAAAGACAATATTGGACTCAAAATGATAATAAATTATTAGAAAAGGTTGTTAAACTTCATAATTCAGATTCGAAAACTATATTGTTAGAAGAAATGGAAGTTAATGTTCATTCTAATTCATTGTTTTTATCTATTTATTTATCAAAGATAATATAACTTTTTTCTCTTGCATCATAGAATACATTTACATAATAAGGAAGCAGTTGTTATTGTTTGAATGGATATATTGATGAATTTACATTAGATTGTATAGGTAAGTTATTTATTATATCTTATTAGCAAACATAACTAATCCTTGATGATATAGTTGAAATTTCTATATTTATTTTGTTATAAAATTATTATATTAAATCTATAAAATATAAGAACCACCTATTCAACAGATATTTTCAATCTTTGTAATAGTATCAATGAAATATAACTATATAAATATTAACATTATTATAAATATAATTATAATATTTATTCAAAATACTATTAATTATATTATAATTATTTAAAATGAATTAATATTAAATTAAAAACAAGAATAATTTATGATGTAATTTAATGATATTTTGAATATTTTATATATTTATTATCTCATTTAAATCCTTCCTTAGCAATATCTTCTACAATTTATCTCCAATGTTAGTTTATCATATTTGCAGGTTAATTATTTATGATTTCTAAAAATTATCCAATTTCAGTTGATCCTTAATCTAGAGTTGAGAATAATCCTTTATAAGTAGTACTTACTATCATATCATGAACTTTTTTTCCACAAATTTATAAATGAGTGATAATATAATTTTCCTTTGAAAATGCATAGACGAATTTAGAAAATGCATTGAAATATGAATCTGTTTCACTAAGTTTAGGATTAAATGCTCCACCATTAATCTTTTTAAATTCTCCTTCTTCAACCATTTCACAATAATAATATTCTTCTTTATCTATAATAATTATAAATTTAATATTTACCTTTAGACTTTAAAATAAACTATCTAGCAATTTAATAATCTCCTTCTTTTAATTTTTATGATTTTAATGTTTTATTAAATTATTCCATTAATAATTAACATAAGAAATTATTTTTAGACATTTCAATTGCTTCATCTATATTAGTAAATGGATCATTTTAAGAAATTAAATCTTTTCTTAAAAAGTATTTTCCTTTAAATTCATTTTAATCTGCCTCTTTTACGCTACTTAAATAACCCTTAAAAAATGTAGATTTAGCATTTGGTTAAATACTTCTATTTAATTTGACATTACCCTTTCGATTCTTATTTAAACATTGTTCAAATAAAAAATATTAATTGTTTTTCAAAAGTTCTATTGCTTTATTAAATTCAAAAGTAATCTCAAAAATTTCATAATCTTTCAAATCAAACTAAGCAGTCTAATCTTTTTCAATTTAGTAAATTTTATTAGGGGATTACATTAATTTATCCATTAAACCAATAACTTTATCATAATATTTATCATCTTGCATTTGCTTTGATAATTTCTTTAAAATATGATCTTTGATCTCTAATTTTTAATTACTTTATTCTATCTCAGACTTCATTCCTTAAATTATTACATCCATTTATTATTTAAATAATTGATTGGCAGCTTAATCATTTCTAATTTATTCATCTTTTTATTTTAAAGAAGTTTAAAGTTAATTTAATTTAATTTCTAAATTACTTATCTCTCCATCTTTTGTTGTTATCTATGTTTTAAACTATCTAATTTTTTCTTAATTTTCTTAATTTAATTTATTTTGATCATTAATATCTTTTTCCAATTTAATGATTTAATTTTTAAGTCTTGATATTTCATTTTAATTAACTTATCCTCCATTTTCTTTTATTTCTATTTCTTCTTATAATCTTTATTATTATTTTTTTAACTCTTAACATTCTTTATTAATTGATTCTTTTTATAATTATAAGTGTTTATATTCATTTTTATATTTATCAGATTCTAATCCTTTTTTCCTAATTTCTTCTTTCTATTATTCAATTTATTCATTCAATTAATCTATATTTTAATTTAAATTGAATATTTGTTAAATCTAACTAACGATCTTAGCCTCTAAACTTTATATATGATTTTATAACTCCTACTTATCATACTCCAATTATTAAATGGTTGATGTTAATTATTTAATTTAACTTAATAATTTTTTATTTTCTTAATTTGCACCTTAAACTTCCATATGTGTATTCCTATAATTCATTTCCAATTCATTATTTTTTTCTATTAGGTGTTTTATATCTCTTTCATTTTTTCTAATTTTCTCATTTAATTATGTAATAGTATTTTCAGATTAAGTTTAACTATCATAAGATTTATCTTTTTCTTATTTTAACAATTTTTTTTATTTATCTGTATCTTATTTTTAAATTTATAATTAATCTTATAAATCTTTAATCTAAATTTATAGATTTTCTAAATTATCAATTTAAAAAGTATTATTTGTTTAAGCAGCATTAAGATAAAGTTGTTACATTAATTAAGACATTTAATTCAAACAAATTTGCCAAACTTAATTTATTGCATTTTTTTCAGAAGTTATTGAAACTACTTATATGTGTAATTCATGATTGTTATTTTATTACTTTTAATTTTCTTCTTTTAATTTTTTAATCTTTTATTTTTGACTATTGCTTTTATTAATTATCTAATTTAATTCTAATTCAAGTTTTGTATTTTTATCCTAAAATACTATAATTTATTTTTCTTATTCATTTTTTATGTTTTCAATTTCCTTAAACTCTTTATAAAGTTAATTAGCGTCATAAACCTTAAAGTATATTAAATCCTTCATCTAATTATTTTAAGTTTCAGAATTTGATGATTTATATTATGTTTCAGAAATATCAATAAGAATCATGTTTTCATGATGTATTTAATTTGTTTTTTTTAGCAATTCATTTTTGACATTTTAGAGTTCACAATCAATATGAATAATTTCCTTATTAGGCATCTCGCAAATGATTTTACAATTTGACATTAAATATTATTAATAGAATTTAGAATTTTTTTAGTAATAAATTTGCTTAATAAAATTTTTGTTAAATTTGCACTTTATTATATGATTTATATATGACATATAAGATAATAAGAAACTATAGGAATCTAAATAAAACCATCTTTAGAATTGGATAAATTAAATTTTGAATTTTTAAGAAAAAATAAAAATGAAATGATATATATAAAGTTATAGGATAAAAATTAATTGATTAATTACTTCAAATAAGTTCAGGTTACTTAAAAATAAGTGAAACTATCTCAATTGTTTTTATTATAATATGTTGTTGAGAGTAATTCCAAACAAATCTATTAGAATAATAATAATAATAATAAATAGATAATTTAAAAATTAATAATATTTATCTAAATTTATATTTTAGGTTTATAAACAAATAATGATTTAATTGTTTGATTTACTTAATAAATATCAATATTGATAATAAAGTAATCAAAGTTTTCTTCAATTATCTATTAGATTAGTTATTGTCTTATTTGAATTACCTAACTAAGCTGTTTGGATTATTGTTTTATATTTCACTATATATATTTATTATATTGACAAGTTTACTAGAACTGGTTAACTTCCAATTTAAATCTAAATGTATATATTTTTTGACTTGTTAACTATTCAAAATATTAATATAAAAAAGAATATTATAAATTATTTTTTAGAAATAAGAAAAATAATGTAATTAGATGAAATCTTTCAAAATCAACTAAAATAAATATTTAATATATAATGAATAAGTGAAATTAATCAATATATAACATCTTTGATTTAAATTTTTCTTAGAAACATAAAATTATAGGAGCTAATAATTGATTGTTTTTTTCCACTTAGATTAAAGGTTCTATAATTTATGTGGTTTCAATAATTGAAACAGTATCCTATATAGCAATTATCAGAACTTTGATAATTTTTTAAATGCTTAATTTAAAAACAAAAAAACATTCATTCTCAATCTAGAAAAGACAATATTGGACTCAAAATGATAATAAATTATTAGAAAAGGTTGTTAAACTTCATAATTCAGATTCGAAAACTATATTGTTAGAAGAAATGGAAGTTAATGTTCATTAAGATGAATTAAGGCAGACTGGTATTTTTTTATTTATTGATATTTTAGGAGATTTCAATAAAAAATATATTTAATGGTCACATTAGAAAATTTGATGCAAAGGAAGATATAAATTATATAAAATCACAATTATCATATAAATATAATATATAAAATTGAAAATAAAGCATGTCAATGAATTATATATAAAAAACTGATTAATTTAATTTTTATATAAATGATATGATTTAATAATACAATCCAGTTTAATAATTTCATTTTGCTTAAGTAATTTATGAATTACTGCTTTATAAATTATTAAGTTTTTATGTCAAAAATTCAACTTTACTCTTTAATTAAATATTTTCATACATAATCTGTTCATTTTTTTTGAAAGCAATTAAAGAGAATCCAGTTAATACCATATCTTCTTCTTTTTATGCTTTAAAGCCCATTTACATATCTGTTATTTCTTGATCTTTCTTTCTAAGTTTAATTTCTAGTTATGATAATTCTTCTTATAATTGCTAAATAGTTTTTCTATTTTTTTCTTCAACTTTGTTAATATCTTATTATTTGTTAGACTATTAATATTCAATTTCTGTTTAAAATTACTATATTATTGTTTTATATTTTTCAATTTCACTTTCAGTAAGTTCTTATTTAGTTTCAGCTTTTTTGATTTGAATCATTTTTTCATCTATTAAGTTAAGGAAATTATATTCATTTTTTTATTTTTCATCATTCATAAATTTAATCTTAATATTTAATCTAATAATTTCTTATTCTAATTCAGCTTTTTAATTTTAAAATTCAATTTAAAATTGAGAAATTTTTTTCTCCTACTTCTATATTTATTAATCATAGTCATATAGTTTTACTTTTAAAGATTAAATTTCTTAATTTTCATTATATTATTATTGTTTTTATCTATTTATCAACGATAATATACCTTTCTAGATTCTCTTAAAACATTTCTCTTACATCATACACATAAAAGGATTAATATTATTCAAATTATTTTTAGATTATTAACTATGTTGCAGAATAGACTTAATTATTTTAATCGATTAATAATAAACAATCGAAAGGAATTCCATTATAATCTTTTGCTACTTATATCTTTAATTATTGATATTCACAATAATATTCTTTACAGATTTAGCCTTTTTAAAAATAAACTTTAAAGGTTCTCTTATTCATTTGAGTATTTTCTTGATAGAAATTAAAATAGCAATATAAAAAATAATAAATATAAATATTTATAATAATGAGATCTATAAGCAATTTATTATCTTCATTAGTGTCTAAATAGAATACACCTTTTGTTTAAAAATTGAATAATAGTTCTTTGATGCAAAATAATCCATCTATTATGATGACAGATATACTTTATTTAATTGAATGCTTTGAAGGATTTGGTCCAGAATGCAATGGAATATATTTAACAGGATCAGAATATTTATAGCAATTTTTTAAGGCAATCACCACAAAACCTTTAGCTGGATATATAGCAACAAAAATTACTTTAACAATTCATCTAATTTTATATGAATTTTAGATTGGAGAAACTATAGCTGAAGAAATGATAAGGGAAGGTTCAACTATACATGTGTTATAAAATCAATAGTTTAGCAATTTTGTGATAAACTATTTGATGTATTTAATGAAATTAGCATAAAATTTAAAATTGTTTTATGCCTGCAAAATAGGCTAATATCCAATTTTTGATTAAGATTCAACATTTACTTAATATTCAGAAAGTACAAGAGAGTAGCAATTCTAACAATTTAATTTATTTAAGAAAAATAATAATTTTAGAGATACCAATTTATAGTACAGAAATTACTAATAAAAGAAATTAGAATTACATATGTAGTCACAAACAGGTTGCATAACAATGGAACAAAAAATATTATACCTTTTCAAATTACATAACCTATTAAATTCATGTGTATAAATTTTAAATTTGTGCATAAATTCATTAATGTAATTGGATAAATAAGATTCTAAAAATATTTTTATTGAAATAAGTTGTGTTTTGTGGAATGATTGTATGGTTATGTACAAATTTTCAACTTAGGAAGTAATAACATAAAATAAACATAGTTGTGCAAATTACTTGATTGTTTTCGATATATGCCATTATAACAATTGCTTTCAGTACAGTAAATATATTGGGCAACAATCAGTTCCTCTACATAAATCAAATGGATTTATCAAAATAGAAAATACTTTGACTCTCAAAATATTGTGAAATAACCATTTTGGTTTGAAGAAAATAAGTAGTTATCAACAGAACTATAAAACAGTATAATAGATAATAAAATATAATCTATCCCAGAAACAGCAAGAAATGCTAATAAGCTATCAACACCATAAGCATATAAAAATAACAAATCTCCAACCAATATACCTTAACCATTTACTTCTAGAATTGGAATTTCTTAGAATACAACAAAAACAACAATCCCATAACAACCTTATTTTGTTGCGAATAAAAAATTATAGTAATAATATCAATAAATTGAAGTATAATAACCCTTAAGTACAAGAGCAAAAAACATAGTTGGAAACATTTTCTCAGATGAAGAATTAACTATTTCTCCTAGAGAAAGAGCTAGAATATAATAATAATGATTCAAAATTATTAAGTATAGATGTGAAGAGCATGAATATAAAATAATTAAATAATAAATTAATATAAATAATATCTCCTCTCAATCTAAATAATTGATTTTATCTTATCATTTCTTTTATTTTTTATTTATAATAGTTCTCCATCTTTCATATTATTAACTTATTTAATAAGATATCAATATTTCTAAAATGATTTTTTCATTATCATAATAATTTTATTCATTTGATTTTTCTATACTAATTGGTTATAAAATTTGACTCTATTATCTTATATCTACTTTTATTTTAATTCTAAATAATGGAATGCAATTAGAAAGATATCTAATACCTCTTTTAGGAAATAATATAGGATTATATGGAAGTACTAGTTTTAAAAATTAAAAAATAAATGTTTTTAATAACTCATTTTTTTAGGTTTCTGAAATTATTTCAAATTGAAATAATGATTCCTCATTGTATGGTACCAATTCTCTAATCCTATAATGATTTTATCTCATGAAATATAGTATTGATTAAATTTATTCTTTTTCTATGTTGATTATTTTATTTGATAAAATTTATTGTAATATATTAAAAAATAAGATTTTTACATTAGTCACTTAAATTCTATTGTTATTATCCTAATCCCAAAATTAAATAAGTTCTGTGCGAATATTGATTAACAATTTCTAATTCTATTACTTATTTGTTTTAAACTCAATAACAATTTTTTATTTCTATTAAAAAAAATAATTAATGGCTTCTAAGTCAATAATTTGTACTTTTTAAGATGGAAAGTAATATTATTTATAGTGCGATGTCTTACAAGTAAAAAATGTATTGCATAGACAAATAAACAGCAAAATACCTTTTGATAATATCATTCTTATTGATGATTACGATAAAGTATATAGTGCATCGACTGCTTTATATTAAACAAAAAATAATTAAATGTAGGGCTAAATTTCCTACAAGGTCTTAGATGCTCAATATCTTTATAGGGAGTATAAAGAATTGATAAAGATTAATGAAACAAATTATGAAGAATTATTAGAGACTTAATAGAAATTATAAAAACTAGTGGAAGAAATGAAAGAAAAAGAAAAGTCGCATAAAATAGAAATATAATAATTATGTGAAACAAATAAAAGTTAAAGTGCTGATATTCTAAGAACAAAACAAGCAGAAATTGAAAAGATGAAAGCTGAAAAAGATTAAGAAATATAAGAAATTTAAGATAAACATAATAGGCTTGAATTGTAATTAAATCAGATAACTAATAAATGTAATGCTCAAGATGAGAACATTAGATAATTATAGGATGATATTTAAACATAAATGACAAACAATGATAAATTATAAAAAAAGAATGAAGATTTAAATAATGAAATAAATAAAATAAATTAAGACAAAACTAATTTAGATTAACAATGGCAAACTTGGTATGGTTAATTAAATGCTTAAATGGAATAAAAGATATAGTAGATATATTAGTATTAATTGGCCATTTAATAAACAAATAATGATTATGGTATGAATANTTAATAACTCATTTTTTTAGGTTTCTGAAATTATTTCAAATTGAAATAATGATTCCTCATTGTATGGTACCAATTCTCTAATCCTATAATGATTTTATCTCATGAAATATAGTATTGATTAAATTTATTCTTTTTCTATGTTGATTATTTTATTTGATAAAATTTATTGTAATATATTAAAAAATAAGATTTTTACATTAGTCACTTAAATTCTATTGTTATTATCCTAATCCCAAAATTAAATAAGTTCTGTGCGAATATTGATTAACAATTTCTAATTCTATTACTTATTTGTTTTAAACTCAATAACAATTTTTTATTTCTATTAAAAAAAATAATTAATGGCTTCTAAGTCAATAATTTGTACTTTTTAAGATGGAAAGTAATATTATTTATAGTGCGATGTCTTACAAGTAAAAAATGTATTGCATAGACAAATAAACAGCAAAATACCTTTTGATAATATCATTCTTATTGATGATTACGATAAAGTATATAGTGCATCGACTGCTTTATATTAAACAAAAAATAATTAAATGTAGGGCTAAATTTCCTACAAGGTCTTAGATGCTCAATATCTTTATAGGGAGTATAAAGAATTGATAAAGATTAATGAAACAAATTATGAAGAATTATTAGAGACTTAATAGAAATTATAAAAACTAGTGGAAGAAATGAAAGAAAAAGAAAAGTCGCATAAAATAGAAATATAATAATTATGTGAAACAAATAAAAGTTAAAGTGCTGATATTCTAAGAACAAAACAAGCAGAAATTGAAAAGATGAAAGCTGAAAAAGATTAAGAAATATAAGAAATTTAAGATAAACATAATAGGCTTGAATTGTAATTAAATCAGATAACTAATAAATGTAATGCTCAAGATGAGAACATTAGATAATTATAGGATGATATTTAAACATAAATGACAAACAATGATAAATTATAAAAAAAGAATGAAGATTTAAATAATGAAATAAATAAAATAAATTAAGACAAAACTAATTTAGATTAACAATGGCAAACTTGGTATGGTTAATTAAATGCTTAAATGGAATAAAAGATATAGTAGATATATTAGTATTAATTGGCCATTTAATAAACAAATAATGATTATGGTATGAATATAGCAAATTTATAACAGTAGATATAAGATTTATAAGATTAATTATAAATTTAAAAATAAGATACAGATAAATAAAAAAAATTGTTAAAATCAGAAAAAGATAAAGCTAATGAGAGTTAAACTTAATCTGAAAATACTATTACATAATTAAATGAGAAAATTAGAAAATATGAAAGAGATATAAAACAACTAAAAGATAAAAATAATGAATTGGAAATGAATTATAGGAATACACATATGGAAGTTTAAGGTGCAACTTCTACTCTTTCAAATAAAGAAATAGAAAATAAAAAATTATAAAGTTAAATTAAATAATTAACATTAACCATTTAATAATTGGAGTATGATAACTAGTAGTTACAAAATCATATATAAAATTTTGAGGCTAAAATTGTTGATTAGACTTAACAAATATTCAATTTAAATTAAAATATAGATTAATTGAATGAATAAATTGAATAATAGAAAGAAGAAATTAGGAAAAAAGGATTAGAATCTGATAAATATAAAAATGAATATAAAAGCTTATAATAATAAAAAGAATCAATTGATAGAGAATGTTTAGAGTTAAAAAATTAATTATAAAGATTAAAAGAAGAAATAGAAATAAAAGAAAATGGAGGATAAGTTAATTAAAATGAAATATCAAGACTTAAAAATTAAATCATTAAATTGGAAAAAGATATTAATGATCAAAATAAATTAAATTAAGAAAATTAAGAAAAAATTAGATAGTTTAAAACATAGATAACAACAAAAGATGGAGAGATAAGTAATTTAGAAATTAAATTAAATTAACTTTAAACTTCTTTAAAATAAAAAGATGAATAAATTAGAAATGATTAAGCTGCTAATCAATTATTTAAATAATAAATGGATGTAATAATTTAAGGAATGAAGTCTGAGATAGAATAAAGTAATTAAAAATTAGAGATCAAAGATCATATTTTAAAGAAATTATCAAAGCAAATGCAAGATGATAAATATTATGATAAAGTTATTGGTTTAATGGATAAATTAATGTAATCCCCTAATAAAATTTACTAAATTGAAAAAGATTAGAATGCTTAGTTTGATTTGAAAGATTATGAAATGTTTGAGATTACTTTTGAATTTAATAAAGCAAAAGAACTTTTGAAAAACAATAAATATTTTTTATTTGAACAATGTTTAAATAAGAATCGAAAGGGTAATGTCAAATTAAATAGAAGTATTTAACCAAATGCTGATTCTACATTTTTTAAGGGTTATTTAAGTATTGTAAAAGAGGCAGATTAAAATGAATTTAAAGGAAAATACTTTTTAAGAAAAGATTTAATTTCTTAAAATGATCCATTTACTAATATAGATGAAGCAATTGAAATGTCTAAAAATAATTTCTTATGTTAATTATTAATGGAATAATTTAATAAAACATTAAAATCATAAAAATTAAAAGAAGGAGATTATTAAATTGCTAGATAGTTTATTTTAAAGTCTAAAGGTAAATATTAAATTTATAATTATTATAGATAAAGAAGAATATTATTATTGTGAAATGGTTGAAGAAGGAGAATTTAAAAAGATTAACGGTGGAACATTTAATCCTAAAATTAGTGAAATAGATTCATATTTCAATGCATTTTCTAAATTCGTCTATGCATTTTCAAAGGAAAATTATATTATCACTCATCTTTAAATTTGTGGAAAAAAAGTTCATGATATGATAGTAAGTACTACTTATAAAGGATTATTCTCAACTCTAGATTAAGGATCAACTGAAATTGGATAATTTTTAGAAGCCATAAATAATTAACCTAAAAATTTGATTTAATAACATTGGAATGAAATTTTAGAATAAATTGCTAAGGAAGGATTTAAATGAGATAATAAATGTATAAAATATTCAAAATATCATTAAATTACATAATAAATTATTCTTGTTTATAATTAAATATTAATTCATTTTAAATAATTATAATTTATTTATTTTTATTGTCTAATACAATTTTGGTTATTCAAAGGAATGAACCTTTAGATAAATATTAATCAACTTCAATTATTGTTATATATAAAATAATAATATTTTGTTTTAAATGTTGTTATTTATTATCCTAATAATTACTAATTTCTTATCCTTTTTTTAACTATGACCTTAAGCTTGTGTTCCTCTAATTATTTTGAACAAATAATTAGATTTCAATTTCTATAAAAAAATTATATTTATAGTTATTTCAATTCAAACTATAATCTATAATTTATCAAGATATTTTTAATTAACCACTTTTAATTAATGGTTAATTAAAAATTTTTGAAGATTTTCCTTGTATTTTATATTATAAATAATTTTAATTCAAATTTGTACATTTTTCAATAACCTAAATTATTTTATCATATGATTCTATTCTTTTTGATTAAATGGCTCTCTTTTTCCTTATCAACTTATAGCAAGAATAATTTCCTTCATAAAAAATCAGCAATTATCTTTTGAATTTGAGTTTTGAAATAGGTTTTAGAATTTTAACTCATAAAAGGAAAGAAAAAAGGGTTTTTTTCAATATTAAAAAATTATTTTAATTATTAAACACTAAAATTGAAGAATTTAAAGGGAAAAAATGAAGCCAGTATTTTTAATTATTTTATGTAATAAAGAAATCACCATGTTTAGAGGTAATAATCTTAAAAATGTTTATGAATCATAATGTAAATGATTTAGAAAAGTATTTTTTATGATTACAACATTTAACTTAAAAACTTCTGTAATGTTTCACAATTTTTACAAACAGTTATAAAAAGAATCTTTTATTATAAATTTTAAATTAAGTAAGAAAGTGTGATTCTAATAAAAATAGAAATATGGAAAATAAATTATTTTACATATTTTTGATTTGGAAGTACTGTTGGCAAGTAAAATTATAAAATTGTAAATAGATGAATCAATTGAAAACTAGAAAATATTGTTATTCCCTAAATTATTCAAGTTGTAAGTTGAATGGAATATTTCACTTTCCAAACTTTTAGAAAAGTTTAAATGTTTCAACATTAATTGACCTAAAAAAACATATTTTGCTTAAAAATTTTATGATAATTTAAGTTTAAATGGTTTTTTTCTAAAATTAATGAACTTATGTTTAAATTTTATATATTAATTATATTAAAATTAAAAATAAATCATTTAACTATTATAAAGCAACTTAAAAAAGTTAAGAATAAAGAAATCAAAATCCAAAAAGATAGGTTATTATTTTAAAATTAAATAAGATGATAATAAATAGGATAGAATATTCAAAGCATTAACTCAAACAATAACTTTGTTTTTAATTAATGGATTTATTAAATGTTATATTTAATAAATAATCAACCTGAAAATTGGCTAATTTCTCATGATCTAAAAAGTAGTATTATATTCTTTTAAAGGTGCAGAAATAATATTTTTATTTGTTAAATTTGATTTTATTTATAAACTCATTCTTGTCATTTTGCTTAATTAGATTTAACTATTANAGCAAGAATAATTTCCTTCATAAAAAATCAGCAATTATCTTTTGAATTTGAGTTTTGAAATAGGTTTTAGAATTTTAACTCATAAAAGGAAAGAAAAAAGGGTTTTTTTCAATATTAAAAAATTATTTTAATTATTAAACACTAAAATTGAAGAATTTAAAGGGAAAAAATGAAGCCAGTATTTTTAATTATTTTATGTAATAAAGAAATCACCATGTTTAGAGGTAATAATCTTAAAAATGTTTATGAATCATAATGTAAATGATTTAGAAAAGTATTTTTTATGATTACAACATTTAACTTAAAAACTTCTGTAATGTTTCACAATTTTTACAAACAGTTATAAAAAGAATCTTTTATTATAAATTTTAAATTAAGTAAGAAAGTGTGATTCTAATAAAAATAGAAATATGGAAAATAAATTATTTTACATATTTTTGATTTGGAAGTACTGTTGGCAAGTAAAATTATAAAATTGTAAATAGATGAATCAATTGAAAACTAGAAAATATTGTTATTCCCTAAATTATTCAAGTTGTAAGTTGAATGGAATATTTCACTTTCCAAACTTTTAGAAAAGTTTAAATGTTTCAACATTAATTGACCTAAAAAAACATATTTTGCTTAAAAATTTTATGATAATTTAAGTTTAAATGGTTTTTTTCTAAAATTAATGAACTTATGTTTAAATTTTATATATTAATTATATTAAAATTAAAAATAAATCATTTAACTATTATAAAGCAACTTAAAAAAGTTAAGAATAAAGAAATCAAAATCCAAAAAGATAGGTTATTATTTTAAAATTAAATAAGATGATAATAAATAGGATAGAATATTCAAAGCATTAACTCAAACAATAACTTTGTTTTTAATTAATGGATTTATTAAATGTTATATTTAATAAATAATCAACCTGAAAATTGGCTAATTTCTCATGATCTAAAAAGTAGTATTATATTCTTTTAAAGGTGCAGAAATAATATTTTTATTTGTTAAATTTGATTTTATTTATAAACTCATTCTTGTCATTTTGCTTAATTAGATTTAACTATTATACAATAATTATGTTCTAAATTATTAATAATGAAGATTTACTAAAAAAATAATTATATAATTTTATGTAATTGACAATCAGCTATTCCAGAAATAATTATTTGAAAATCAAATGATTTATCCTTGCATCCAATTAAAATGAAAGTATATTAAACTCAATGCATCTTAATTTACAAAAATATACTTAACAGAGGTTAGAGAAACTCTAATTACTCCTTAATTGAAAGCTCTTGTATGCTTTTTAGTTTGAATTATCTAATTATAATTTATTTTTAAATATTTTAATTTAATAATTGACTTCCATATCTCTAACCTAAATTATACATTTTCTTCATTAAAAGAATATAAAATAAACTGAAAAATTTAAGTCTAACGGCGATAATCAAAATTTTACAATATATAAGTTTCTTTCAATAAATTGTTACTTAATCTAACAATAATAAGAGAATTAACTTTAAATAAATATTTTATTTTAATTTTACTAGAGAATCAAAAAAGATTTGAGAAATGATAATTACGCATTATTAGAGTTTAAAGCAAATTTGGATTTGAATTTTTATTTAAATAATAATAAAAGTTAACGAAGATGTCCAAAACACTTCTTGCATTATTGCTCATCTCCATGCTTGCTTTTAGCGCACAAGGTAAACTACACATTTATATTCACACTAACCCCCATATATTATTTATTTATTCACAAATTCATATCTCCTGACTCAACTGAAATAATATACTTTTAGCTGCCACAAGTAACAAGCATATCTCCAAACATCCTTAATCAAGCAGTAGTGATGCTTAATCATCATCAGAGGAAGAATCAGAAGAAAGCTCAGAACTTTTGGCTTAATCATCATCTGAGGAGGAATCAGAAGAAGAGGAAGAATCAGATGCATAATCATCATCTGAAGAAGAATCAGAAGAGGAAGAGGAATCTGACGCTTAATCATCATCAGAAGAAGAAGAAGAAGAGGAAGAAGAATCTGACGCTTAATCATCATCTGAGGAGGAATCAGAAGAGGAAGAGGAATCCGATGCTTAATCATCATCTGAAGAAGAATCAGAAGAAGAAGAAGAATCAGATGCTTAATCATCATCAGAAGAAGAATCAGAAGAGGAAGAAGAATCAGAAGCTTAATCATCATCAGAAGAAGAATCAGAAGAAGAAGAAGAATCAGATGCATAATCATCATCAGAAGAAGAATCAGAAGAAGAGGAAGAAGAATCAGATGCTTAATCATCATCTGAAGAAGAATCAGAAGAAGAGGAAGAATCAGATGCATAATCATCATCTGAAGAAGAATCAGAAGAAGAGGAAGAATCAGATGCTTAATCATCATCAGAGGAGGAATCAGAAGAGGAAGAAGAATCAGAGAGATGTAAAAAAAGATTTTATTTTAGTGAACTTCCGTTTACATTATGCTGAAGCAGCTGCCAGCACAACCACTCCTCCCCCAGCAACTCCAGCAACTCCAGCAGCTCCAGCTGCTGCAACCAAGAATGGAGCTATACTAGCAGCCAGTTTAGTCTTAGCCGCCATTGTTTTCTGATAAATATAAAGAATATTAAAAAATAAGTGTATCTATTTCACATAAGGGCAGATAAAAAGATCCTTGTCAATAATTCTTCATTTAAAGCGTTAAGATACAAAAATAACTTTTGTGAATTTTTGTTAAGATAATTCAATCAAAGAATATCCCGATATGTATGAATTATTAGTAAACAATGATACAATTTAAGAAACAACAATTTATAAATTTTAGAGCAATAGATTTATTCAGCCTTATTTATATAAACAACAATAAATTTATTTATATTAATAAACATTTATCTAATCAATGTTTAAATTAAGAGAAAAAATAAATAGTATAGCATAAGAATATTTTGGAAAATATGAAATGATCAATATTGCCATTTAGTTTAAAATTAGTAAATCTTATCGATGTTTAAATCTGTTTTTTTTCTTTATTTAAATTTGTAATATTCAAAAATCCTTATAAAAATATCAATAAAATATATTCATTATTTAAGATTTCTATTATCAAATTCTAATATCACTAATCAATATATTTAGAGTTTGCTCTTATTTTTTAAACAAATAGGTTTAAACTCATTTGCTTTCTTCTTTCTTTGTTTTGTATTAAATCAAATTTTCCTAGTTTTTCTTCTTAAATCTATAACCGTTCAACTACATCAGAAGTTAATGCTCTGTAATTAGGTTTGCGATCTATTAACTATAATGTTTTCTAATATAATTATTAGTTTCCTCTATTTGATAGTTTCACTTATCCTTCAATATAAAATTATTTTTCTCTATAATAAATTTAACTATCTTTACTTTAATGAAAATATTTAGTTTATCATTCTATTTGAAAATTAATTAATTTATTCATCATAGAGATTTAATAAGGTTTCTTCAAACTTTTTATTAATTTCATCAACTGAAGTTATATAAATTGGATCCAACTTAAATTTTCTATAATCTTAAAATATTGATTGGTCTAACCAATGATGGATCAATTATTTTATCATTTAATCAGCTGTAATTCCTTAAAATTTGCTTTTGTGAATATCTAAAACATCCTAGATTTTAGGTATGCTTTATATAAGCTTCAAAATTATATTGAGAGCATACTTCTCATTTTTGATATTGATTATTTGAGTGAAATTTTCTATAAAATTTTTAAATAGTTCAATAAGTGTGTATTTTTAGGTAACTTTTTAGTTTACAATTGTTTAATAAATACTCTAGCATTCTCTTTCTCTTTAAATTCTATTGCTCTCTAATTTATTTTTCTTCTACACAAATATCTTACCAGATCTTTACATTTCGCTTCTTTAAGTTGCTATTTAAATGTTTGAGGAAGGTTAAGTATTTTGAGCATCTGTTAAAAGAGGGAGTTATTTTTTTACAATAGATTTTCTTAACTATTTAATTATAGAATTATCATTCTTAGATTCATTGGTTCTAAATATCTAAATATATTTGTGCTAGTTTTCATTCATATCTCTTATATTTAAATAATTATTATTAATCAATAAAATTATTTATAATATCATCATTAACACAACAAATAATTTGAATATTAGTAATTTTAAAGTTGTTTTGATTCTCATCTTATATTTTTCTAATAGATAATTTTTTTTTAGTATAAATTGATCCAAATCACATTCTATCAAATGAATTGTTTCTAATTATAAAGCAATTTTTTCTTTTGATAGCAAGATTAATTGCCAAATTATCACACTATAAAATCTCTCCCTTACTATTGTACTAAAATTATTTAATGAAACTAATTACACTTATAAAATATTAATTTGTAATAATAAATAGAAATGGGATAATTTAAATATTATTTCAAAAGACTTATATTATTTATGTGTTATTTCTTGTATAACAATATTAAAATTAATAAAGACTCTAATATTCATACAATATAAGACTTATTTTAAATCTCTAAGTATTTAGGAGATTTATAGAAGTTACTATAAATATATTATTAAAGTTAAATAAAATAAAGAACATGGGATAAATTTTAGAATAATGTTGTAAAAAAGGTGAAAAGAATCAAATGAAATCAAGTGTGGCTTTGTCTAATTAGAGTTTGGATGAACCAATTGAAATTACAGAAGAATTAATTCAAAAATTGAAATAATAATTAGATGATGTAAAAAAGAAATTAGGAGATTTCGAAGTATAAAATACATTCAATATAACACAAAATGATGTTTGGCCAATTAAAGTATATATAAAGTGAGAATTAGTTATTAGGAAGGGGTTCATTTGGAAAAGTATATTTAGTCAAAATTAAGGATAAGTTATATGCTATGAAACAGATTAAGAAAAAGTTAATATTAAAGAAATAATAGTTAGAAAATTTACTTTGTAAAATTATATTCATTTATAAGAAAAGATGAAAGATTCATTTTGCAAAAATATGATCATCCTTTTATCATAAAAATGTACTTTGTTTATTAAGAGCCTTTATTTATCAATATGGTAATGGAATTTGTATAAGGAGGAGAATTGTTTTATCATTTGAACAAACGTAAAAAGTTTGATTAAAAAACGACTGCATTTTTTGCATCTTAAATAGTTTTGGCCCTTGAATTTTTGCATGAAACAGTTGGAGTTGCTTATAGAGACTTAAAACCTGAAAATGTTCTACTATGTAAAGATGGTTACATAAAATTGGCTGATATGGGACTAGCAAAAGATAATAGCGAATTAAATTATTCATTTTGTGGTACTGCTGAATATTTGGCTCCTGAAATGATTGAGGGTAAAATTTAATTTAAGAATAAGAGAAGGGACATAATTCATCAGTTGATTTTTGGACACTAGGTTGTATTATTTTTGAAATGCTTTTCGGTCATCCTCCATTTTAAGATGAAAATAAAAAAAATTTATATATAAAGATCCAAACAGGTGAGTTTAAGTTTCCACCAAATGCGAGTTAATCAGCATAATCTTTAATTAAAGGATTATTATAATACCATCCAGAAGAAAGATTAAATTTTACATAAATCAAATAGCATGAATTTTTTGAAGAAATAGATTTTGATTTAATATATAAAAAGAAACTAAAGCCACCTTTTGAACCTTTATTGACAACTGAAAAGGATACAAGAAATTTTGATTATGTTTTGGAAAGTTAATTGAAATAATCTGAAATTCCAAATATCCCTTTAGCATAAGAATTATTTTAAGATTTTCCTTTTTTGGCAAAATAGTAATTATAGTTTTGAATATAATATAAAATATCATGATTTTTATAGAAACATTTACACATTACATTATAAATATTCCACAATTAAAAATGTTAAATAGGTTTTTTGCATTAACAAGCATATCTAAAAGATATAAATTTTATTCACAAAAAGGACATTATATCTTTTATTGATTACTTATTTTTAAATCTATTTGCTAATAGTATGAATACTTTAAAAATTATTAATCTATTATCATTTTATAAAAATTGATTCTATACCTTATAATTTATAATAATGTAAAATAATATTCAAATTTATTGTTTTATTTGAATTTTGATTAAAATTATATTTTTTTTCAAATTCTCCAATTAAACATCTAAAATTATGAACTATTATTTTTTTAATTCATTATCGCTTTTTATCTTTTTATAGATTGCTTAAATCCAAATAATAAAAGAACATTGTGAATTCATCCATTTCTATGAATATTTGATCTATTAAAATAATTTCAAATTAATAAATAAGAACATTAATTAACCTTTAAACTCTGATTTAAAATTAGTCTACTTTAAAATCCTTATATTGATTAATTTAATTTGTTCATTACATATTAAATATTTATTGTATTTGATTTTGAAGATTTCATTTAATAACATTATTTTTTATTATTTCTAAAAAATAGTGTTTATAATTTTAATGATATTGTTATGTAGTAAAAATATTTCATTTTTCTAAATAACCTGTGATTGATATGTTGTTGTAATTAGATATTAAGAGAAAAATCTTAAACTCTCTAACTGAATGCTTTAATTCATATTTTGAGTAGTTATAATCAAGTCAAAAAATATATACATTTAGATTTAAATTGGAAGTTAACCAGTTCTAGTAAACTTGTCAATATAATAAATATATATAGTGAAATATAAAACAATAATCCAAACAGCTTAGTTAGGTAATTCAAATAAGACAATAACTAATCTAATAGATAATTGAAGAAAACTTTGATTACTTTATTATCAATATTGATATTTATTAAGTAAATCAAACAATTAAATCATTATTTGTTTATAAACCTAAAATATTATATAAATTTAGATAAATATTATTAATATTTAAATTATCTATTTATTATTATTATTATTATTATTATTCCAAAAGATTTGTTTGGAATTACTTTCAAAAACAATTATAATAAAAACAATTGAGATACTTTGTAAGACAGAAGCTTTTAGTTATTGTTAAGTAACCTGAACTAATTTGAAGTAATTAATCAATTAATTTTTATCCTATAACTTTATATATATCATTTCATTTTTATTTTTTCTTAAAAATTCAAAATTTGATTTATCCAATTCTAAAGATGGTTTTATTATTTTTGTTCAGAAATTTGATATTTTTTATTTAGATTCCTATAGTTTCTTATTTTTATCATTAAAAAAAATTCTAAATTCTATTAATAATATTTAATGTCAAATTGTAAAATCATTTGCGAGATGCCTAATAAAGAAATTATTCATATTGATTGTGAACTCTAAAATGTCAAAAATGAATTGCTAAAAAAAACAAATTAAATACATTATGAAAACATGATTCTTATTGATATTTCTGAAACATAATATAAATCATCAAATTCTGAAACTTAAAATAATTAGATGAAGGATTTAATATACTTTAAGGTTTATGACGCTAATTACCTTTATAAAGAGTTTAAGGAAATTGAAAACATAAAAAATGAATAAGAAAAATAAATTATAGTATTTTAGGATAAAAATACAAAACTTGAATTAGAATTAAATTAGATAATTAATAAAAGCAATAGTCAAAAATAAAAGATTAAAAAATTAAAAGAAGAAAATTAAAAGTAATAAAATAACAATCATGAATTACACATATAAGTAGTTTCAATAACTTCTGAAAAAAATGCAATAAATTAAGTTTGGCAAACTTGTTTGAATTAAATGTCTTAATTAATGTAACAAAATTATATTAATGCTGCTTAAACGAATAATACTTTTTAAATTAATAATTTAGAAAATCTATAAATTTAGATTAAAGATTTATAAGCTTAATTATAAAATTCAAAATAAGAAACAGAAAAATATCAATCATTGTTAAAAGGAGAAAAAGAAAAATTAGAAAAAATTAACAATAATTTGTTTAAATCTGAAAATACTATCAAATAGTAAATTGATAAAATTAAAAAATATGAAAAAGAATTAAAATAACTAAAAGATAGAATTAGTCCATAGGAATTGAGCGTTTCGACTGCTATTATACATAATGCTAAAAATGATGATAATACTACTCTTTCAAGTAAAGAATAAGAAATTATAAAATTAAATAATATAAATAAGAAATTAACTTAAGACATTCAATATTTAGTGGAAGAGAACTAGTAATTAATAGATTCAAAATTAAATTTAGAGGCTGAAAACTAAAATAACAGCTTAACAATTATGAACTTAACCTAAAATATAGATCAATTAAATAAAGAGACTGAAGAAATAAAAAAAAAAATATTAAAAAAAGTAACAAATACCAATAATTTTCAAGGAAAATTGAATAATAATCAAGAAAATTATGAAGGATTATTAGAGACTTAATAGAGACTATATAGATTAGTGGAAGAAATGAAAGAAAAAGAAATGTCGCTTAAAATAGAAATATAATAATTAACAAAACAAGCAGAAATTGAAAAGATGAAAGCTGAAAAAGAAAAAGAAATATAAGAAATTTAAGAAAAATATAATAAGCTTGAATTGTAATTAAATCAGATGACTAATAAATGTAATGCTCAAGATGAGAATATTAGATAATTATAGGATGATATTTAAACATAAATAACAAACAATGATAAATTATAAAAAAAGAATGAAGATTTAAATAATGAAATAACTAAAATAAATTAAGACTAAAATAATTATTAGTGTAAATAGTAACATATATATAGTGAGTTAAAGACTTTAATGGAATAATAGATATAGCAGTAGTAAATAACCATTTACTAAGCAAATAATGATTATGCTATATATATAGGAAATTTATAACAGTAGATATAAGATTTATAAGATTAATTATAAATTTAAAAATAAGATACAGATAAATAAAAAAAATTGTTAAAATAAGAAAAAGATAAAGCTAATGAGAGTTAAACTTAATCTGAAAATACTATTACATAATTAAATGAGAAAATTAGAAAATATGAAAGAGATATAAAACAACTAAAAGATAAAAATAATGAATTGGAAATGAATTATAGGAATACACATATGGAAGTTTAAGGTGCAACTTCTACTCTTTCAAATAAAGAAATAGAAAATAAAAAATTATAAAGTTAAAATAAATAATTAACATTAACCATTTAATAATTGGAGTATGATAACTAGTAGTTACAAAATCATATATAAAATTTTGAGGCTAAAATTGTTGATTATGCTTAACAAATATTCAATTTAAATTAAAATATAGAATAATTGAATGATTAAATTGAATAATGGAAAGAAGATATTAGGAAAAAAGGATTAGAATCTGATAAATATAAAAATGAATCCAAAAACTTATAATTATAAAAAGAATCAATTGATAGAGAATGTTAAGAGTTAAAAAATTAATTATAAAGATTAAAAGAAGAAATAGAAATAAAAGAAAATGGAGGATAAGTTAATTAAAATGAAATATCAAGACTTAAAAATTAAATCATTAAATTGGAAAAAGATATTAATGATCAAAATAAATTAAATTAAGAAAATTAAGAAAAAATTAGATACTTTAAAACATAGATAACAACAAAAGATGGAGAGATAAGTTATTTAGACATTAAATTAAATAAACTTTAAAATTAATTAAAATAAAAAGATGAATAAATTAGTAATGATTAAGATGCAAATGAAGTATTTAAATAATAAATGAATGTAATAATTTAAGGAATGAAGTCTGAGATAGAATAAAGTAATTAAAAATTAGAGATCAAAGATCATATTTTAAAGAAATTATCAAAGCAAATGCAAGATGATAAATATTATGATAAAGTTATTGGTTTAATGGATAAATTAATGTAATCCCCTAATAAAATTTACTAAATTGAAAAAGATTAGACTGCTTAGTTTGATTTGAAAGATTATGAAATTTTTGAGATTAATTTTGAATTTAATAAAGCAAAAGAACTTTTGAAAAAAAATTAATATTTTTTATTTGAACAATGTTTAAATAAGAATCCAAAGGGTAATGTCAAATTAAATAGAAGTATTTTACCAAATGCTAAATCTACATTTTTTAAGGGTTATTTAAGTATTGTAAAAGAGGCAGATTAAAATGAATTTAAAGGAAAATACTTTTTAAGAAAAGATTTAATTTCTTAAAATGATCCATTTACTAATATAGATGAAGCAATTGAAATGTCTAAAAATAATTTCTTATGTTAATTATTAATGGAATAATTTAATAAAATATTAAAATCATAAAAATTAAAAGAAGGAGATTATCAAATTGCTAGATAGTTTATTTTAAAGTCTAAAGGTAAATATTAAATTTATAATTATTATAGATAAAGAAGAATATTATTATTGTGAAATGGTTGAAGAAGGAGAATTTAAAAAGATAAATGGTGGAGCATTTAATCCTAAACTTAGTGAAACAGATTCATATTTCAATGCATTTTCTAAATTCGTCTATGCATTTTCAAAGGAAAATTATATTATCACTCATCTTTAAATTTGTGGAAAAAAAGTTCATGATATGATAGTAAGTACTACTTATAAAGGATTATTCTCAACTCTAGACTAAGGATCAACTGAAATTGGATAATTCATAGAAACCATAAATAGTGAACCTGCAAATATGATAAACTAACATTGGAGATAAATTGTAGAAGATATTGCTAAGGAAGGATTTAAATGAGATAATAAATATATAAAATATTCAAAATATCATTAAATTACATCATAAATTATTCTTGTTTATAATTAAATATTAATTCATTTGAATAATTATAATATAATAATTATTATTTTGAATAAATATTATAATCATATTTATTATAATTTTAATATTTATATAGTTATATTTCATTGATACTATTACAAAGATTGAAAATATTTGTTGAATAGTTATTCTTATATTTTATAAATTTAATATAATAATTTTATAACAAAATAAATATAGAAATTTCAACTACATCATAAAGGATTAGTTATATTTGCTAATAAGATATAATAAATAACATACCTATACAATCTAATGTAAATTCATCTATATATCCATTCAAACAATAACAACTGCTTCCTTATTATGTAAATGTATCTTCACATTTCAAACATGTTACTTAATCTAAACATTTCTGACAACCCATAGGACATAATAAACATTTTTATTATTCGATGTCAAATATATAACCATTATTACAATTTTGATTCTATGAATTCTATTCAATTATCCATTCAGTACAATCATTCTAATTAGGACCAATACAAGTTTTGCATAAAGGTTGACATCTTTAGATCATAATATTTAGATTTGAGATTCCAAAACTGAAATAAGTATCAACTTATGAAACAGACATCATTACAAGACTTAAGTTCTATTTTATATGAGCTTGTTCTATTTTAATCATTTGAATTTGATCTTACCAAGAATTGATTCTAGTTGCTAATTAATTATCAATAGAAATGGTAACACTATTAGAAGAAGAATTTAATTGAGTAAATTCAAAAGTCATCACATTCAATTCTAAAAGAATTTTATAATGAGGTGGTAAATTATTAAATAACTTTTAAAAATATTAATTACCCTTATCCTTTAATCCACCAAAATATCTAATACCATCATAAAAAGTTCCAAATTGATTTTAATAAAAAGAGTTGATGCTTCTTGTATTTTTGACAATAAAATTAGTAATAATATTATCATCAAAGGCTCTTAATAAATAAGTAGTTAATGGATATTATTCTGTAATATCCTTACAAACTGAATCCACTAATGTAGAATATTTTGGACATGAAGTAACACAACTTCCTTGATATATATAATATCCAGCTTTGCATATATTACAAATGAGTTTGCTTTTACAAGAATTACAATTAGCTTAACAATTTATTGTATTGATTATAATTTAATTTATTCCCCATTAAAGGTTTTCATCACTATTAACACTTATAGTAATATTAGAAATAGGTAAAGCATCAATTATATAATCAATATGATATATAATGTATCCGTATGATTCTGTCTCATTATAATAATGTAATGGAGTTACAAGTTTCTGTATCTTGTCTACTTGAACATAAATTTAAGGCTGCAATTAAGATTTAAATATGTAAATATCTGCTCTTATTCTTAATGATTGATAATAAAAAGCATTATTAAATTTATAATTAATGGATTAACTCACAAAGAATTATCCAACAATTTTTCCATTTATATTCATATAGAATTTATTTAATAATGATTAAGTTTTTCCATTTTCTATCATTGACCATCCAGTGAAATCATAATTATTCCAAAAGTATTATGAAACTTATTCAATTTCTAATAATATATTATTTAAATACTATCATCATAGATACACATATCAAGATTCTAATTAAAATATTCACTCACTTCACATTTCTTTAAACATTGATTTTGTTATACACTTAAATAAGGTGTAATAGAAGGACATTTACATTCATTTGTTTTTTTACTTAGTTATGCTCCTATATAACAAGATCTACATTAGTCTTTTTAAGGTCCCACACATTATGTACATGATTCATGGCATAATTTAGGTATTATTTGAATGTTTCTAATACCTAATGAAAAACCATTTGAATTCTCAAGTTAGAATGCTAAGTTTAAGTCTTGTTAATAATGTATGTAAGTTTTGAAATAAGTACTAACCTAAGTTGGTTAACTATTTAAAAAGAACTATTAAAAATATTTACATATCACAAAAAGGTACTGAATTATCATTCTTTACTGAGTATTAATCAATCAGGATGTTGTCTAGTAAAATATTTATAGGTTTATCGATGAATTCACCTATTAAATAAAAATCAACAAAAATGTCAACAGCATAATGAGATTCACTAATTCTCATTTAGTAATTGACACTTGGTTATGATTGACTAAGATAATAATAGTCAATTTTATTGAGTATTGAACATTTCATTATATTAGATGATTGAATAAGTGATAAATCACTTAATTCTTGATAAACTTTAAGTGCATCTAGTAATATAATATAAGTTATTTACTCATGTTTACTAAAATGCCAAAGATAACTAAGATCAACTTCATTATAATAATTTATTTGAAAAATTATTTTATTCCATTCAATAAAATAATCAAACCATTTAATTGAAATAAAATAGTATAATTATATTAAATAAAATTATTTTCTAATTACATTTTTTTATCATAACTATCTTGATTATTTATTATATATATAAATTTAATTAAGGAATTAATTCTTAATAAACTCTATAAATATATATAATTTGATTATTAATATATTAATATTTATTAATTAGATTATTATTATGTAAATTTGAAACTCATTGATAATATATTTTAAAACATACAATAATATATTATTCTTTAGGTTAAAATTATCATATATATATTTATTTAATTAATTTCTATAATTAATATTTAGAGATATTCTTTGAATAACTAGTTTTTTAATTGAATTTCAAAATAAAATATATTTTCTCATAATTAATCATCATTTTTTGGAAATATCTAAAAGTATATATACTTAAGCTAATATTTTTGTAATACTATAATTAGATTATTAGTCTTTTTCATTAATTTATGAATTATTAAATACTGTTTTATACTCAAATCATCCAAAACATTTGGTGGATAATATGTTCATGGATATTTTATAAGCCTTATGAATATTACCTTTGTTTTCTTTCTTTAAGTAGTATTATGATACGGATTACTATAATAGTATTAGAAAAGAGAAATACACATAAATTTATTTCAGCAATCTTATATTTGCTCCAAAATTGCATATACACTGAGGCAAGCATAAGGATGCCAATGAATAATCCATTTACAAACCATACAAATTCTTTGATGATTTTGATCAATTACATACATGCAAATAAGGAATAAAAAGAAAATATTTAAATAATGTCAAAGTTCGGGTTTCCAATATTTTTTTTATTAAGAACCATGTCAATTACATTTATTTAAGCAAATTATTCAATTATAGAAAGCTGTCTATTGATAATTATTTTTTTAAGTTTGATTGCAAAGGATGAATTAAAAAGAAAAAAAGAAGCAATTTAAAATTCAGTGAAAGACCTCGGGTCTTAAGATTAACATAATTTTAATTAAAAATTTATAACTTTTTTCTAACAAGATTCAAAAAGACAATCATTAGGAGCATCTTTTAAAAAAAGTAGAACTCATTATTCATAATATAAAGAAAAGCCAGACATATTATAAAATATTCCATTATTTAATGAACCTAAAACTTTTGATGAAAATATCAAAACTTCTTTATAATTTTAGAACTTAAAGAAAAGTTTTAATAAAAAAGTTTCAACTCTAAGTGTTGACAAATCAGATTAACATTTACATACATTCTTTTAAAATATAATAAATAATATATTTTCAGCTGGTGTAGTTATTCTAAATTAAAATTAAAAAGTAACTTTTATGAACAATAAATGTGAGAAACTATTAAATTAAAAGGGAAGTGAAAAAGTTGTAGAATGTCTCAAAAAAATAATTATATCTAATTCTTTACATGAAAATGATGAATCTCCATTAGGATAAATTCCTCCTAGATCTATGGCTAAAATGAATAAAGCTACTTTTGAAAGAATTCTTAAATATTATCATGAGAATTAAATGGAATTAGATATTTTTGATGCATTTCTATTCCCACAAAAATATCTTAACTAATTTTATTAAAATCTATCACCTCACTCTGAATTTGATTAAAGAAGTAGTCTTTCAGAATCTTATAATGAAACATTTTTATAAAGAAAAGATGCTGTAACTTATGAGTATATTATGAATGGAGAGGGAGGTCTATTAAAGAAATTAAGAATTGTTATTATTCCAACTTATATGACAAATGCATAATAAGAATAACTTTCTTATCCATCATAATAAAAAGTTCATGTTAGTAGAACTGCAATATAAGGAGAGAGTGTTTAACCAATTATAGTTATAAAGATTAAGAATATTACTAAGAAACATAAGATAGAATAAATGAATAAAGAAAAGGAGATACATAATTCTTTACTTAAATCATTTTCACATGAATTAAGAACTCCTTTAAATAGTAGTTAAGAAATGCTTGTCATAATTAAAGATATGATTAAGGATCCAAAACTTTTAGAATATGTTGAATTTGTTCATATTTCAATAATATTTTTAATCCATTAAATAAATGATATATTAGATTATGCAGCCATGTAATCAAACACATTTAAATATAGATATTTTGAATTTAAGTCATGTGAAATTGTTGATGAAATTAAATATATATATTCTAGTTAATGTAATTCTAAGAAAATTGATTTATAAATTAAATTTGATGAAAAAAAGATTGGCAATATAAGATCAGATAAATAAAGAATAATGTAAGTCTTAATTAATTTATTAAATAATTCTTGTAAATTTACACCATAAGGTGGTAAAATTGTATTTTCATTAAAATTAACAGAATATCCTTTTATTAAATTATAAGTTAAAGATACTGGAATAGGTATTGGTTCAGAATAATTATAAAATTTAAGGAAAGTATTAACTACTTCTATGGGTAAAAGTTTACATAGATCAAGAATTAAAAAAAGTTTAGGTTTGGGTTTGAATATATCAGCAAGGATTGTAGAAGGTTTAGTATAAAAAAATGATGGAACTCTAGAAATTATATCAAAGAATACAAATAAAGGAACTAAAATATATTTTATAATAGAAAATTTATTTATTTGTAGAGATGAATCTGTTAGAAATCCTATGATTTCAGAATACACTACTAAAAATAACACTTATAAATAATAAATGTCATAATATGAAGGTAGTAATTGTAGTTAAGTTTTACCTTTATTGAGATAATTATCTGAAAATTCTAAATATGAACCTTAATCACCTTCTAAAAGAAGTAAAACTACAAAAAGCAAATTCTTCAATTTATTACCAGCCAATTAACCAGAAAGTTCTTTAGATATGGCAGATAATTTTTCATATCGAATTGATCTACCATTAAGTCCAGAATATTTTTTGCATAAAGATTATAATAATCAAAAAAATTCTATTACTCCTTTATGTTAATAATGTGTAAGAGTATTAATAGTTGATGATATTCCTTTTAATTAAATAGCATTAAAAGCCCTTCTTTTGCATTATAACATTAAAGTTGATTAAGCCTATGATGGTTATTAAGCTATTGATTTAGTTAAGAAATAATTAGATAAACATTGTTAATATTATACATTAATCTTTATGGATATTGAAATGCCTGGAATAAATGGTTTTTAAGCTACAAAAGATGTAAATATAATTATTTAAATTAGATTCTTAAAATAACATTTGATCAAACACACATTATAATGTGTTCTGCATATGACACTGAAGAAAATTTTAGAGAAGGAGAAGCAGTAGGTATGTCTGAGTTTTTACCAAAACCTGTAAATTAAAGGGAATTAGAAAGAATATTAGATAGATTTGGTTTTCTATGATATTTACTATATATTTTTTCTCATAATTTTTGAAATTATTAAATTGAATATATTCTTTGAATAATTTTATATATAATTAAGTTATTTAAATTAATTAATAAATAGCAATTTATAATTATTAATATATGATATTTAATTTCAACTAACATAAATTAACTCATTCATGTTTTATTGATTTCTTCTCAAATACTCTTGATTCATTAAAATTTCTATGACATCTTTGATATCTGAATCTTTTGGTTTAAACATCTTTAATTATTCTTTTACTAATTAAATTAATTATTAAAATGTTAAAGTCTTTTTACCTTTCATTATTCTAACTATAGCTGCTTAAATGGCAATCTTTCTATCCCCTTAAATATCTTCTTCTATAATTTCTAAATAAAATTTATATACATTAATATTCAACAAATGATTCTAATATAATTCCTACTCTAAATTTAAGTTTAGGATTAGAGAAATCTTCATTAAATTTGTAAGCCTATCCATCTTTAATGAGTAACTTTCTATTTTCTAATAATTTAATTTGATTTAAAAAATATTAGTTATTAACTCCAATTTATAACTTATATTAATTATTAAATTTTACTGATAATTGTTCACTTGTTAATGGTATATTTTATTCATTAAATTATAACAAGATTGCACCACCTACAACTCCAATGATAACTTTATATTCTTAATTTGTTCTGAACATTAATTCTATCATGGAAATTTGATCTTACCAATTAATATCTACTCTATAAAATATTATTTATATTAAATTATACAATTAATTCTTTTCTTATTAAGAATTGAATTTCTATCTATATGCAGATTTCAATTAATTCAAAATTAACATATTCATTAGATTAATTTATGGTTTAATTTCAGGCCAATATTCTTTTTATAGAATTTTAGCTTAAATTTCAATATCACATATTGTTATTTTTTCTTCATTTTTTTATTATTCATAATCTTTAATCATTGACTCTAAATATTTAGTATGTTCAGGTCCAAAAGTCTTACGAAATTAATCAATTATTAATTTATCAATATCAGAATGATAATCAAAAAGTGTTAATATTCTTTATGCTAATTTATTTTAATAATTTTTTAATAATAAATCTTTAGCTTAAAAACATTCTAATAATTGCATAACTTCACTTAATTATTTTTCTTCACATATATCTATTCTTTTAATAGTAAAAGTATGAAGTTTTTATAATAAAGATTCCATAATTATAAATTAATCAGCATTTGCTGTTATAATTTCAAAAGCTACACGTAAATTGGCTAATAAAAATTGATTATTTTCTGCATGTTTTTATATTAATTTCTTATAAGACTATTATAATTATATTAATTATTCTAAAAATTTATTTTACTATTAAAAATAATAATATAAATTACTTGATCCTCTTTTTCTTATTTAATTTTAGTTTAAAGTATTCTATTTTATCTTTCTTAAATGATTTCCATACCTTATTAAATTATTATTTCTTAAAATTTCTTTACAAAAATATGAGTATTACTCTTAAAATGATCAAAAAATTATACTAATTAACCAAATTACTAATATATATATTATGATATTATACTTCATAACAATCTTAAAATATTATATTTTTTAAAGCATCATTATTATTATCTGAATATAATTCTTAGGCATAATTATTGATGATATGTTTATTAAATAAATCAATTAATTCTTTTTAAAGATCACTTTATTCACATCCAAATATTAATTTAATTCTACTTAATTCTTCTTATTTAAATTAAACTAATGATTTTATTTAATCCAAAAATGATAATGTTTAAAAAGTATTATATTATTATTAATAATATGTTTAACTATCTTCTTTTATTTCTTTTTAAATTAATTCTTTATTAAATTAATCTTAAAATGTTTTCATATCATATATTATTTTATATACTCTTTATAATTATAATTATGTTTCTTTATCTATTTAATATCTATCCTATTTTAATTTTGTTTTGAATTCTTCTTTTATTAAAGAAAATAATTTGCTATAGAATAATTAATGAAATTGTTTTCTTGCTTATTATTTCAAATTAGGGTATTAAGTATTATTATTTGAAATTTCAACAAATGAACGATCTAAATAAGAAAAGTAACATTATAAAATTCTTGTATGAGTTTCATAAATCTAATATTAATTCAGAATTTCTTCTAAAAAATTTTTCTCAATTTTCTAGCTTTATCTTGCTATTTCCTCTGATTTTTTTAAAAAAATGTCATTATAATGTTTAAATAGATCATACATCTTTAGTCCTTATGGTTCACCTTAAACTATAAAATTGTAAATATCTCTATTTTAAAAGATATAAAATTACGTATAGGAAGCTATTCTTTCTGTTGCATTGAATACCTTTTACTAGCCATTTAAGACTTTAAGAATATTTTCTCTTTGATTTTACATTTTGATATCCAAGTCTTATTTGATTTTTTCAAATGTACTCATTAAAATGTAATTTAAATATTAATCATATTTTATACAAAATATACATTTTTTTTTTCCATTTTCATAATTTAGCTTTCTATCTATTAAATAAACCATTCATTGTATAATTTTTATTCTCTACTGGAAGTTTTTATTTTTCTACAATCCATTTTAAATCAGTAAAATTTCCACTCTTCCAAGATCTTAATAAATCAGTTGGTTCTTCATCTACAGGTGGTTATACATTTTCTTTCAATATGAATTTTTAAAGTCCATAATGAAATGTCATCATATATGATCTAATATTTTTTTATTATATAATTTATACCTCCATTCCATTTCAGTCACATCTAATAAAAATATTCCCTATTCATCTCTTGATAAACAATTCATTAATTATAATACATTTTCTTAAGAAAATACCCATTCATTTCTATTAAAATGTTTAAAAGTCTTATTAATTGTATCAGCCTTATCAATTACCTTAAGATAACGATCAGCATTTTTCTTTTAAGATGGATTTCCAAATGTATCAGCAAAAGTCTTTAAAGCCATTGCACCCATTTTTCTTTTGAAATTCATATATCTATAATAACATAGATTATTATTAATCTCTATGGTACATGGTGAAACTTTTACACTTGGTGGATTTGCATTCCAATATTCCACACAAGTATCTTTAGTCATTTTCCATGGAGCAGGATTTCTAGCACTAGTACCACAATGATATATTTAGTAATTATTTTTATTTGCTTCATATGCACCTGCAACCAATGTCATATCAGATACAAAATCAACAGGAACTTAATCTGTTATTAAATTCTCTTTCCCTTTATATATTTTCACTAAACCAATCCCTGCAAAAAAGATCACTGCTGCACCACCAACCAAATTATCAATCTTTTTATAACAATCGATATTACCCAACCAGGAATAGGATCTCTAAATGAACATCCAACTATTGTTGGTCTGATGATAGTAATTTACATATTCGGAGGTCTTAACTATGCTAACATCTATTCAGCCAAGTTCTTTGTAAATGTATATGTATTTGGAAATTTGTCTAATGCCAATTTTTATTATTTTTCATCAAAATTTTAAGATGATCTATATAACATTGAAACGAAGGATTCAACGTCTTTTTATGGATGATAGATCTTTTCCTCAATGAATCTTAGTAAATCAACAATAAATTATACCCAAATTTATCACTATTAACATAGGCAGTGGATACATGAATGAAATTTTCTAAATGTTTACATTGCTTAGCTAACTCTAACACTTTTTGAACTCCATAATAATTTATTTCCAAGGCAACTTTAATTGGAGAATTGAAATCAACACTGGCAGCACTATTTATGATAATATTGACATTTTCTATAAGCTCTTATGTAATTTCTTTATTAAGTCCTAAATGAGGTTTAATTAGATCTCCATCTACAGGTTTTACAACTTCTTCAATAAATTTTTGAAAATCTGCTCCTTTTTGTTTACGAATCCTATCAAAACATTAAGAATTGATTATCTCTTTATTGAATCTCTCTGTCACTGATTGACCTTTCTTAGCTCTCACTAACACATAAACTCTCTTAACTTCCAAAACTCTTAAAATTTTCTCCAATATAACTTTAGCTACAAAGCCTGTACAACCAGATATTAATAAAGATTTTCCCTTATAGAAGTTAAGACAACTTATGTTCGTAGTCATAATTAAATTATATTAATTTTTATATCTTAATATTTCAGAGCTGTCTATTAAAGGCCTCTTGATTTTCATTGAAAGCAAATCCAGCAAAAACACCTGCACTCAAATTACGTATAAATGCTCTTCTCTTGAAAAATACAGAAGCAGCAACTCCTACAAAGTATCCTAATTTGTTTTTACATATATACAAATACCAACTGTTGTATAGGTAACCAAATCAAAAGCAGTCTTATTCAATTAAGTGTCTAATTTAAGTTGTCTATCCATTTTTATAATAAATTTAATTAATAAAATATTTTGTATTAACAACTAATTAATATAGAATTAGATTAAATAAAATTATAATTATATTTAATAATAACCATCTCCCAACTATTATAATTCTTCAATGACACTTTACTTATTTTATTGATATCCTCTTATAATAGTATTAATCATTTATTATAAAAAATAAATCATCTAAAAAAACAAAAAGATATCTTTTTAAATCTATTTAATATTCTCTTTGAATCTTAAAGAATTTTAACCTATATATAACTAGATTTTCTAGTATTATGTTATAAAAATCATATGTACTTATTTAGAGAATGCCTAATAATTTCAGAATAGTTTTTTCTTTGTTATTTGTTGTGAATAAAAAATTGAATTATAATAATAAATAAGAATTAAAAAGATTTGAATTTTCAAAATATTATTATTAATTAAACAGGAAAAAGGCTATTCATGTATGAATTTTAAGAAACCATAACAATTTTCTAAAAGTGTCTTTATATTATAATAAAAATTAATATGTAATAATGACTTACTTACTATTTAAAATAATATGGTATATTTAGGATTCTTAAGTGGCAAATGTTTTTGTTTGAATATCTTTTAAAATTAATTTCTTGAAAGATGACAGAAACTATTGAAAATTTAAGAGATTTTAACTATTATCCATTCTCAACTAATATTAATAGTAAGTATGTATTGGCTGAATATATATGGATTGATGGAACAGGAGAAAAATTGAGATCCAAAACAAAAGTAAGTTCATAATTATATCAAATTAAGGTGTATTTGAATCCTATAAAAAACCTTGATGATTTGGAATGGTGGACTTATGATGGATCATCTACAGATTAAGCAGTTACTAGATTTTCAGAAATATATCTAAAACCAGTTTGTATGGTCAAAGATCCTTTTAGAGGTGATCCTCATCTATTAGTCCTTTGTGAAACATATTTACCTGATAAAAAAACACCAGCAAGGTATAATTTTAGGTATTCAAATTTACACTATTTAAGATGGCTATCAAATTTGATTATGGAGAAAGCAAAAGAACATAAACCTTGGTTTGGAATTGAATAAGAGTATTTCCTATTTAAAAGAACAGGTACAACACATTTATGGCCATTGGGTTGGCCAAATGGAGGTTTCCCTTATCCTTAGGGGAGATATTATTGTTCAATTGGAGAACGAAACAATTTTGGTAGAGCACTTGCAGAGGCACATTTAAGAGCCTGTTTGAATGCTGGACTCAAAATAGCAGGTTTGAATGCTGAAGTGGCTCCTTCTTAATGGGAATTTTAAATAGGTATAGCAGAAGGAATAGAGATTGGTGATCATATGTGGTTGGCAAGATATATATTGGAAAGGATTGGTGAGGAGTTTGGTATAGATATTAATTATGATCCAAAACCAATTTAAGGTGATTGGAATGGTAGTGGAGCACATTGCAATTATTCAACTTAAACAACTAGAAGTGAAGGAGGTTACAAATATATTGTTAATAATTTGATGCCAATCCTTGAGAAATAACACAAAGATATGATAAAGTTATATGGAATTAATAATTAATTGAGATTAACTGGTAAACATGAAACAGGTAGATATGATTCTTTTTCTTGGGGTGATGGTTCTAGAGGATGTTCTATTAGAGTACCAATAATAACAAAGGAATAAGGATAAGGGTATAGAATACTATTATTAATTGTAGGTATTTTGAGGATAGGAGACCAGCAGCTAATATAGATCCTTATTTAGTTTCTGCTGCTTTAGTAGATGTTACATGTTTAAATAGTGAACATTTAACATAATTATTGTAGGTGTTTGAAACATCTTAAAAGCCTCTTTAAGCATGATATAAATGTATAATTAGAAACTCATAATTTAAACATATAATTAAAAGAATTCTTAATTATATTTATATTATTTAATTTAATATGTCAATAACTGTTTCAACATGTTAATAAATATGTGGTTCTCCATTAAATAATAGTACAGCTAAGAACTTATGGACATTTTCTAAATCTGATAGATTTGGAAATTTAGCTAATCCTGTTAAGTATTCATGATTGATCTAATCATTATAGTTGTGGAAAAGCATTTTACGATTTGCCTAGTCAGATAGAAAAGAGATCTGCAGGAATTGGAAAAGGAACAAAGTAATTTTTAAGTATTTAATTTAAGAACTGATTTTACAAAAGTAGCATTCGCAACTCCTTCTCCATAATAATATAACTTAGGTAGTGATGTCGAAACAAATTTAAAGAAATAAAAGGGTAACAAATTTGGAATGAGCAGAGAAAAAATGGCTAGTACAGGTATTCTAGGAAACTTAAATTTAAAAACTCCAGGTAAATATAATTAATGAATATAAAGCTCCTGGAACCTATGATTTGGGATCTACTTTAAGTGATATTCGATATACAATGAGACAGAGACCAAAAACAAATTTTATGGTTTTGACAAGCAAAGAAATACCAGGACCTGGAACATATGAATCTTTACCTGCAGTTAATGCTGTAGGAAAATATCCTATATCAAAATACAATAATTCATGTGCAACATTATTCAATCCAAAGAATTCTAAAAGATTTGTTAAAGATTTTTGTAAATTTCTAATACTATATTTAAGCTACTAATTTATATGCTCCTGGACCAGGTACTTATCCAATAGATAAGACAGGTATTTAAAAAGTAATTTTAATCATAATGATAGGATGGTAATTACTTCATTTCTAAATTCCATTCCTCGAATGTCAGAAGTTTTCCAAAAGAATCTAGAAGAACTGGATCTGTTGGTAAAGGTAAAGAAAATATAATATATCAAATAAGCTGGAACACCAGCTCCTGGTAGCTATAGATTACCTTCTGAATTTGGTTACTATGAATCTAGACATAAAGCTAATAGAAGTGCTGGAGATATGGGAGAAAATAAAGCTTAATAATGATTATCAAAAAATAACAATTAATGTATACATACATAAAAAAATTATATAGATTTATATTATTAATAATATATATATATATATAATAATGCCAACAACTATTGAATTGCTAAAATGGTCAAATCTAATTTCCTCTATAATGTTGATATTGATTGGAGTCACATAAATAATATCATTAACTATCCTTTTTTCGAGTTTTAGTTTTAGTTTCTTTATGTCATTTTTTTTGCCATTTTTCTTAATGTAAAATTCAAAATAATATTTAGATTATTTGGAATCATGCTATTTGCAAGTGGTTAAAAGATGGAATTTATGGATAATAATTTCAGATTTTTGAGTTCTTTATTAGGAAGAGGTCTATTTAATATTTAGTATTGAAGAATTTAATTATAAAGTTTAGCTTCATTGGCTGTTTATTAATTAGCAAATGCAGCAAGTGATATAATTGGATTCATTATTGGAGCAATGTTATTTTGTACAGGTGGATTTTATTTGATATTACATTTTTGTGGAGTAATATAATACATAATATATATTAGAATAGAGAAGAATTAACATCATATAAGCAATAATTAGGATGATTCAAATTCAATATTGGTCATTATTTATCAGTATAATTAATTTATCAATAAAACATATTTAACGAATACATGGATTAATACTCTTAATACTATTCCACTCAACAATTCTTAGAACCAAACAAAGACACAAACAAAATCTAAAGAAATAGATCAAATACAAATGATATATTAACAAGTCCAAACATAGTATATATTACTAGAAATTAATAATAATCTTAACCTTCAATAAGATTGGAATGTTAATAATAAATCATTAAACCTTCTCAACCTTAAAAAGTAATTGAATCTGATGAATTAGTTTTCTATAGAAATAAGTGTTCATAATAAGATAAATTAATTTTAGATCTATAGAGTGAATTGAATCATTTAAAATCAACTGTTTAAGAAAGAGTTACTTATATTGAAGATACTCATAGAATATAATAATTAGAAAATAATTTATAATAATATTAATAAGAATGTAATAGAGTGAACAATATATTAAGAGAGAATTCAAATGAATTAGAGTAATTAAAATAAAAAAATATTTAATTAACTCAATAAATATTTTAGTTTCAATAATAACAATTTGAATTAGAAAGATTAAAAAGAAATTCTTAAGAAACTGATTAATATTGGCAAAATGAAATATAAAGATTAAATGTATTAGTGTCATAAAGTTAATCTTAATTAAATTAATTATAAAAGACATTAATAGAGACAAAGAAATATGAATAAATGTATCATTAATAATAACCAATTTAAACTTAATTAGCTTTAGAATTGGAGAAAATGACTTAAATTTTAAAAGCTAAAACTGAAGAATATGATTAATAAAAACAAACCTATATTAGAGAGATAGAAATCTTATCAAGAAGGATTAAAGATTCAGAATTTGAACTTAAAGATTTAAGAATTCGAGAGACTAATTAATAATAATCAATTGATTAATTAAATAGGGAAAATAATTAAATTACTGAAAAATTTATGAATGAAATTAGAAATAAAAATGATGAAATATAAAAGCTATAATAAATTATATAGACTTTATAATTGACTGTATAGGATACTACAAAATATAAAGAGTATGAAATTAGATCAAAAATGTAAAATGAAGAGATCAATAATCTTAATCAAAGAATTAGAATGAAATAAGAGGAAACAGATAATTATAGATAATAAATATTAATGTATTAAAATTAAATTTAAGAATGTTAAAAATATATAGAATATGAAATGAAATATTAAAATTTAGCATAAGAATATGATAGATTAAATAATTCATTAATTATTAAATTATAAGAGAATGATTAATTGAGAAATTGTATTTCTAGATTATAAATAACTTTGAATGATCATTATAAGATTGAAGAATATGAAAATAAAATAGCCTTATAGAATTAGGAAATTGAACATCTTCATTAAAGTATACAATCAAAGTGTTAAGAGATTGAAAAATTAAATTATGAAAATAATAGAGTAACTTCCTTATTAAGAACAAGAAATGATGAAATTGATAATTTGAAATATAAAATATAAGATACATAATAATTAAAAGAATATTAATAGAAATTATAAGTGTTTAATGTAGAAATGGATAGATTGTAAATTTAATTAAGAAATAAAAATGAAGAATTAGAAAAATTAAGATAATATTTAGCATAATTTTAATTATAAGAAGCCAATAAATTACAAGAATTAGAATAAAAGAATGTTGTTTATTAAAATGAAATTGAAAGATTAAATAATATATTGAAAATTAAATTATCAGAGAATGATTAAAATAAATAATAAATCAAATATTTATAAGAAGAAAATGATCAATAAAAATGTAAAATATTAACCCAAAATGATATACAATAATATAATGATAAGATAACTATTGTAAATCAAGAAATTGAATCTTGGAAAAATCAATTCATCAATCTTAATAGAGAATATCATAAATAATAAGAATAATTAATGTTATCTAATGCAGAATTAGATACATTGAAAAAACAAAGAAGCAATTCTATTAAAGTAAATCTTATATTCATTATTTATAGTTGGATAATTATGAATCAATGAAAGAAAACTCTACTCTTTCTTCATTCTAATATGGAACTCTTACATTAAGAAACCTTTGATACTATTATTATTATAATATAAAATTATTATTTATGAGTAATTACGATAGTCCATCTACAGTATCTATCATCTTATAATCTTTTCTAGAATTCAAAATATAGTAGACATAAAGGTTATTTAAAGTGGGAACTTGCTAATAAGGATGTTAATGGTGCATTTGATGATCAATAACTATAATATGAAAAAGGACTCCTTATTCGTGATAAATAAACAAATTCTTAAATGATACCTTCAATAAAATCTGTCTAACCATCATAAATTAGTCCTGATGTTTCAACAATAAGAGAACATATCTGTTGTGATAAATTAGATGAATTAAGCAAGTAATATGTAATAAACATTAAAATTATATGTAGTAATATATTATCAATGAACAAATGAATAAATTAACTGAATTGAATTTATTGATATAATAACATTCTAAACTTTTGATTGATTCTTACAATTAAGGATTGGAAGATGCTAAAACACAATAAATAAAAGAATAATAAATAATTGAAAATAATCGTTTAATCAGAGAAAGGGATAGATAGATTTAAGAATGGGAAGAAAAATATAATAAAGAGAAAAAGATTGGGGATGAAAAAGAAGAAGAGATTCGGTAAATATATATTTTGATATAATAGTGAACTTGAAAAATAATTGAAAGAATTATAAACATAAGTTGTAATAACTACAAGTTCAACTGATTTGGAAAATGAGAAAAATTAATGGAAAAATAAATTTATTACATTAAATAAATAGTTTAATGAAACTGAATAATAAGTAGTTGTACTTGAAAATGAAATTGATATGTTAAAATAATAACAAAAAAAGACTGAAGTTAGAGTAAATATTTAATTTCAAAGTTTAGACAACCACTAGAAGAAAAACAGTAACAAAAGATATTCCTTTACCATGATATATTTTAATCTATTATTTTATAATAATATTTATTTGTAATTATACTCATTTAATAAATTATTATCTTTAAAGATTGATTTAGATAGAAACCTAAATGATACTTACAATTTATGATTTAATAATAATTCATTATTATATAAAATAGAGATAATATAAGTAAATTAAGATTAGTTGTATATTATAATTATAAATGCTTTAGATTATAGTAATTTAAGAGTGATTTATTAGATATATTTCTAAATAAACTTGAAGTGTGTTTTAATTCTATCATTTAATACTTGAATAAATAATATTTAATTTTATATGGAAGAATAGTGTGAATGTAAAAAAGAAGATAATCTTGATATTGAATATATTGGTGTATGCTAAAATGAACAATGTTAAGAGGATTTGTTTTGTGAAAAATGTAAAGGATTACATGCTGACCATGAAGACGATACTCTTGTTGGAGAAGAGTTTAATTAATTCATGGAAGAATGTTGTTCTCCTGAATATTAAAAGTAACTAGAGAAAGAGCAAATACTTAACGAATTTATAACATATTATGACAATATATAAAAAGAAAATATAGAAGAAGGTAAAATGCTTAATGATGTTCAAAAATACTTTAAAGAACAAAATTTTTAAGAGATAGTCAAAAATTTAGATAAAATCAAGAAATATAAAGAAGATTTAGATAACAATAAAGCAGGTAATTAAGTTTAATAATTTTTAGCTGAAATAACAAAAAAATTGAATGAATATAAAAGGTTAATAAAAGAACTTGATTATAAATATTTTTCAGAAGATAATCAAGCTAGAGAGGAAAAATTAAATTATATTTAAAAAGGTAAATTAAATTATCTCAATAAATTAAGGTAAGGAATTATTTCATGAATAACTATATTAAGAGTCTCTTGAAAATTTAGAATAAGCTTTACAAATTGATAATGAATGTGTTGATGCAATTCTATTAAAAAGTTTCTTATTTAATAATTTTTAGGTCAAACTTTAATTTAATTGGAAAATTTCGATTTTGCTATTACTGCATGTGATTAGATTATAAAAAAAAATAAATTAAATATTGAGGCATATTTTATTAAAAGTATTTATTTCACAATTATATTTAGTAATTGCCTTACTTTTAAGTTAAAAATATGATAAAGCATATGAAGAACTTAAAAAAGCTAATCATAATTGTTCATATAACTTCTACTGCAATATTATCAATTTAATTAAATAGCTAGAAAATAGCTCTAATAAAGTTAAATAAACCTTATCAGAATTAAATTATGATTTAAAGGAAAGACTATAATCATTGATATTATTTTAAGAAATGCCAGGTAAAGTACCTTAAGTTATTATTTTTTAGCTTAAATGATAAAATAGTACTTAACTTAATTAATTTAAATTATTCAACTTGCTGATCAAGATGAAATAAATCATGCCCTTTTCCAATATAATTTAAGTAATATAAATATTCTAATTCAGATTTCGAAATATTTGAAGAAGACTAAATATAATATTTTGTAGATCTGAGACCAAAATTAGATAATGAAGCATGGAAACAAATGATAAAATTTCTTGAATCTTTACAAGAATAACAAAATATTAACAACCAGTAATTTATTTACTCATTTTTTTAATAGGGTTGAAGTTCCATTAAATCCAAATATACCTGAATAATAAAACAATGAAGAAAATTAAATACAAGAATAACAAAATTAATTGTTTTTTATATTCATTTTATGATAGAATTTAAGAGAAAGTTCCAACTGATAAAACCTCCTAATCTTAAGAATTAGAAAATAATAATCAAATATAAACTTCTAATGATTAAATAAATAATCAAACTCCAAATTAATTCAAGTAGGACTTTAATAATTTTCTTACTGATCCATAAACAAATGAATAACAACTATAGTAATATTTTACCATTATTTTAAGAGCTAAAAGCTAGGCTCTTGCAAATTAGTTAAATAATCAAACTCCAAATTAAGTGATTGAAGATTTAAATAATTTTCTTGCTGACCCATAAACAAATGAATAACAACAATAGTATAATATTTTACCATTATTTTAAGAGCTAAAAGCTAGGCTCCTGCAAATTAGTTAAATAATCAAACTCCAGATTAATTCAAATAGGACTTTGCTAATTTTCTTACTGATTAAAATAAAAATGAAATCCCTTCAAATTAATAATAACAATAGTATCAATATGTTTTTATGAATTAAGAGCTGAAAGCTAGGCTCCAAATTAACCAAAAAATGATCAAACTCCTAATTAAGTAGCATAAGATTTAGATAATTTCCTTAATGACACATAACCAAATAATATTCCTCAAAACTAATAATCAATATAGTATCATATTTTATTCATATAGATCTTAATAATAATAGTTGTCTAAAGAAACCCCAATTCCCATAATCCAATAGTAATTGGCAGATTTCTATGATCAGCCTTAAAAATAAATCATTTAACCTTAATAACAGTATATTTATATTTGATTATTAAGAGTTCAAAAATAAACTATAATCGCTAATGAAATAACACCCTATTCACAGCAAGATCTCTAAAATTTTATGAATGAACTATAACCACAAGATAAAAATCAGGAATCTAATAAAAAAATTAGAATTTTAGATGAAGACAAACGCTTTTCATAAATTCTAAAATATTGTGATGAAATGATAATTAAATCAAAAGATAAAGCTTAGTTCTATTTTAAAAAAGGTAATTGAGATTTTTGAAATTAGCAATGACTTTAATAAAACTATAAGATTATGATGATGCTATATATTATTTAGATTAAGCCACAACTCTTTAACCAGAAGAGGCTAATTACTATTATCAAAAAGGTTTAATTAGAAATATTTTTAGCTTTATTGTTTCAGATACTTGATCAAAATAGTTTAGCCTTATTAAATTTTGATGAAGCAATATAGAAAGATCCTGCAAAAGCACTTTATTATTAAGAAAAAGGTATAATAAATAAGTAATTATTAGGAAATGCATTATAAAAATAGAATCGATAACCTGAAGCTGAATAATATTTTGAATTAGCTAAGTAAAAATAAAATGAAGATTGACAATGAGAATTTATTGATAAATAATTAAAGAATTTAAACTATTATTATGCATTCATAATATTCTTACAAATAAATTAAAGAATTCTAATAAATAATTATGAAGTTTTCTTTTTATTAACATCTTTTATAATTTAATTAATTAAAAAATAGATGTACTTCTATTACAATAAATTTTTCTCCATTATTATAAGATATTAAAATTAATATAATGAATAATCCTGTATTAATTCTATTTATAACAAAAAAATGTTAAATAATTTTATGTAATAAACTTCATATATCTCTTATTATTTATTTATTATAATAAATAACCTATTTGGCTTGAGAAGTTTATTTTCTACAGGAATATTTAATTAATGATAATTACTATTGACTCCAAACATTTTGAATTAGATTCTCCTCTTAGAACAGATTTAATTTATAAAATAAAAGTAATAAAATGATTACTATCATAAATTTAATATTAACTTTATGAAGAATTTAAATCTTATTAATATTGTATTAATTAATTTATATTGATTATGCATTTCAATAAAGTTCAAATACCATAATAAAAGTAAAAATTACCATATTTCATTTAAAACTAGAGCTATATTATGAAGTGATTCGACATCATACATATATATATATGTAATATATTAATAATTGTAAAACAAAAAAAAATTTAAAAAAAATAATTTTCCAAAGACAAAATAAAAAATTTCAAGTAAGTTGTTTTTTAAGTTTAAAAATAACTTAAATTTGCAGACCCTAAATCAAAATATTGAAACAAAAAAACTAAAAATAGATATTAAAGTAACTAGCCAAATTTAGGTCTTTAGTTAATTTGAAAGGTATACTTTTTAGGGATAGAGTCTAAAATTATTTAAAAATAATGTAATAATGTAAAGTTAAAGTTGATAGGTTTTTGATTTGCTAAACCTGCAAAAGGATAATTATGTAGAGTAAGGACATAATACTTTAATAATATTTATTATTTATATAGTTTAAACATTATTTCATTTACCTTTGAATATTGATTTAGGTAGATATTTATTAGTGATATTCCCATATACTTTATTCATTATGTATAATGAATTTATAGAATTGGATGAATTTGACTTTTTATGCAAGGTTTTATCAATTACTGGTCTAATAGTCCTAGGAGAACAACTTAAAAAATGCGACAAAGGTTATAATTGTCGAGGGTGTTTAATCTTCTCTGAATCAACCGATTATCCTAATTTAGAACGAATGATATATTTTTATTCTAAATAACAAATGTAGTATACAATTTTTGAGTGCAATTGGAGTAATTGGACTTAGAGTTGAAGGTACATTAGGGGATGAACTGCTATTGGAGAGTTATCTTTCTTTAATAGTTGTTTGAGTCTTCATCATATGAATATATTTTCTAGAAGTTATGATTTCTTATCTAAAATTTGATTGATTTAATACGTTGAGAATGAACATTGTAATAATTTATCATTATTAGGATTAGATAGTCTAATATCCTTGTATTTCTTTAAGATTGTACCAGCTAAAGTTCCCTTTTTTCCTGGTCTTATTCTTTCTAGAGACAGTTAATGATATAAAATTACGACAGTAATCATTTGGATTGGATAAAATATTTGCAAGTCTTCTTTTTCTCACCATAGGAAATTCAATTTTTATATCATGAAATCTTTAATATTTGGAAGCAACAATTTAATCATTTATTTCATGAGTTGATTAACATCTTATTTTACTTGCTGAAAATTATTTGAAAGAATCTAATTGAAATGAATGATTGATTTTAGTTGTTTAATTATTAATTATTTTATGGACATGAGTAGAATTTGGAATTGATTCTAAATCTTATAGTACTTGGTTAGAAATGAAAGTCCAATACATTAAATAATGAAATAATATAACAATAATATATAAATATATCAATAATCATTTAATTTCAAATTTATTTCCTACTATTAAAAAACATACGACTATTGCAAAACAATAATCATAAATTAATGATTTTAATCCATCATTTCCTATAATATGTTATATTTATTAAAAAAAACTATATGTGTTAGGAATTCTAAATAAGATTAATTATTTATAGTTACTTTAATTATTTTACATAAAAGCCAATTGTAATTATACAGAAAGCAAATTCAACAAGTATTTCAAGTCCAATTTCTAATTGAAATATTCGATGTTCATCATTATTTACATCAAAAGTGGACCATTTTGAAGATTATTTCCTTTCATTATATAAAATTGAACTCAATACAACAAATAAAAGGGCAATTACAATTTCAAATACTTCTGATAAAACAAATCCAAATATTTATTTTGTAATTAATGCTTTTTTTATATTTTCAATATTATCAACATGTATCCAATTAGCAGCAGTTTTAGAAAAAGAAGGTGTTTCTTATTCTTAAGCTTCATAAAGAGATTATTTTCTATCTTTTACTTAAGCTGTAGATTAAATTAGAGTACCAGTCTTTTTAGTTTATAATTTATTCTTTTATTATGAATTATCAACAACACTTCCTCTAATATAATTCATATACATTTATTTTCTTTATTCCAAATTAAAATAATATCCAAATACAATAATCCAATAATAAAGAATTTTACATACAAATTTTATTACTAAAAATTATATAAAATATCCTACTCCTAATCTTTAAACAGACATAGTCCCTATTCTATATGAAGTTACTCCTAAAATTACTATTTTTGATTCATAATTATAATCCACAAATTATTTCATTGTAAAGAAACTTAAAGTAAATTTCTTCCATACATAAAGACTAAATGGATATAGGAAGAATAATATAGGTAAGTATTCATTTTTAACTTCTTAATATGCCATTGCAAAATAAAGAAATACAGGAAATCCTATGCAATACATAAAAAAGAAAGAAAGATAATTAACCAATATATCAAAAGGTGCAATACCAGGATTACTCATTCTCTAAATTTTCATTTAATCTTCCTTTTTCTCTTTTAATTGTTTAGTCAATTTATTTACAAAATCATTAGCATCATGAGTTAATTTATCATTTCTTGAAGTTGCTACTTTAAGTAAATCTCTTTATCTATCTTCCACTTCATTCACAAACTTTTAATAATTTTATGATGCTATAGTGCTTTAATAGATATTGCCTTCAGATCCATGTTAAAATACTCCAAGTATTTAATTACAAAATTAAAATGAAAGTGGAACTTAAATATTTTCTTACATTCTTTAAATTCTGTCTACTCTCTCTTTAATAACTACTAATTATTTATTACTTACTGGAATAATAGCCTTATATTATATAAAATAATTACATAAAAGATAAAAATAATAAATATCATATTGCAAAAGGTAAGTATAGTTAAAAATACAAAAATTGATATGATTGAATCACTAATATTGTCATTCCATACTGAATAACCATAATATATTGTTAAACATAAATTCACAATTAATAATACTATTCTTATACCCCACATTATTTTAATAAATTTTGGTTCATTCCAAAAATCTAATTCAGTTTTAGAGAGTATGTAATTACATAAACCATTTTTATGAGTATATAATTATTAAATTAATGATAAAGTAAACAATCCAATTAAAAGCCAACAATTTACAAATGTAAATGTACCAGAATCAAATTCACTACTAATATATGCTAAAAGTATTCCAAATGGAAATGATAATCCCATTATAATCAAAAACATTGGACCAAATTCTAATTTATATCCAGGTAATTAAGGTAAATTTAATTATTATAAACTAACATTCCCATTTCTATGATATTTCTCATATGGTATTCTTTTAACTGGTGATTTTTAAATACATTATTCAGATCTTACACCTGTAAATTATATTTTCTTTGAAGATTATTAAAAAGGAGTGACAGCAGGATTAACTGGTTCATCTAATTTAGACTCTAATAAAGGTTTGTTATTTCTTAATAAAGGAGAAGCTGAAGGAGTCATTTTTTGAATTGGAACATCTGGACCACTATCTAATCTTTATTAATTAGAAGCAGGACCTAAAATTATTTGATAAAATATACTTTTTATTTAATCTGCTTAACCACTACTATTATTTTAAAGTTTCTTTTATTCTTCATCAACTTAAAGTGATTTAATCATTATATAATAATAATAATAATAATAATAATAATAATAATAATAATAATAATAATAATAATAATAATAATAATAAAATTCAAATAAAAGGTCTTCTTTCACCAGGTTTATTAATAAATTCCCTTTTCTTACTTGCTTTATCAAATGCAGAATTTGTCTCATATCTACCAGGTCCAGGTGCAAAACTAAAAGATTAAAATGGATTCTTTTTCTCCCCAATTCCAAGTGAAATTTTCTAAACCTATACATTAAAATTACAGAAAATCTATTTGGTACAGTTAAACAAATTTAAGGTTGATATGCTTCAGGTCCTGGTACTCCATTTTCTCTTTGATCATTAAACATTTTCCCTTTTCCTTTTAATTGAAATTAATATCTGTGTTAACCTAAATCTTAACGTACAGTATATTCTCCAGGTCCTTCAATTGAGATTCATAAATTACCTGGTAGATAACGTGCTACTTCTGGTGATAAATGTTTATTATAAGGTAAGTATGTTTTAGAATATGCATCCCAAGACAAACCAAAAGACTTTTTTAATTTATCACTTCCTGGTTCTTAACGAACTTAATATCTGTCTGGACTAGGTAGTTCTTTAGCATTGACCTTCTACCATTCATATTAAAATACTATTTTATTACCAAACCCTTATTATGTGAATCTAATGCAAAATATATATATTGATAACCTTTTTCCTAATTATGAAGGTAATTCTAATTTAGTAGGTAATTATAATTAAGATTGAGTATGGAATCGATTTGCCTTTGGAAATGATATTTGAGGTGATGTGTGTCTCAATGTACTTGATGAAATGTTTGTACTTAATCCAATATTATTTAAAAATAGAGTATTTGTACTATAAAATTACTATGAACTAGAATTCATCTCTCCAGGTTCTGTATTTCCTTAAATTATAACAACTATTAATACCTTTATGCTACTATTCCATTATTTGATAATATATTAATCTATTCACTATTATTACATAGTATTTTTGTTTATAAATAAATATTTATGAATCAGTTGAAATTTGTTAGATCAAAGAGTACAACAAGATCAAGTCCTTTAAAAAGGATTCATTCAAAATTAAGATAAGTTTAAAAACCTGGAAAACTGAATGTAAGTGTTGGTAAGAGTAGATAATCTTCTGAAAATAAAGAAGTAATACATATATCAACTCCAAAGGAAAAAGTCTAAAAATTACTTTAATAATTCTCAATTTATTAAAGAAATTCTAAAAAGTCATACTAAGAAACTCCTGAAAGAACTTAATCATTTATTCCTTTATCACATGAAAGAAATTTATTCAACGAATCTATTAAACTTTAAGATTCCAATTATAGAAGCTATAAAAACAACATATATCAAAAAAATAAATAAAATGATTAAGTCATTAATTTATAACCAAAAATGGAAGAAAATACAATAACAGAAAAATTAGATGCTTTTTAATTGAAATAATATAAATGGAATTCTTCTGATCAAACTACTTAAGATTAATAATCTCCATCAAATACTATTTATGCAAATGCAACTATTTCATAATTTTACTATAATAAAGAAATATTAAAATAAAGTTATTCAATCAATTAATTACAAAGTGCAGATAAAAAATAATTATATTAATAAAAACATCAATAAATTATATAAAAGAATACTACATAAAGTCAATCTCATTCTCGAAATAATTCTATTAAAAATTAATCAAAAGAGAATATAATTTCTTAAGAGTAAATAATCAAAAAGAAAAATAATTCTAAAAATGATTATGATGAAATTATTTTAGAAATCTATCCATAATTTTTGAAATAATGTTAATAAAATGCAATTACAAAAAAAACTATTGTAGAATAAACTGAAGAGGAAGAGCATTTTCCAACCAAATTAAGTACTAAATCTCCATAATAAGTTTAACTCTATAGTGAATTATAAACTGATAAATCTTTAGTTTTAATTTCACCTAAAGTAGTCAAAGATATGGAAATGTAAACTAGTTTTACTTAACCTATCAAAATATCTCAGGATTCTATTGATAAACCAATCATATCTACTTAATTTGATACTGTTAATGCATCTGTTTAAACTAAATAAAAAAAAAAGAATCTTGGATTATTCCAATATTAATTTTCATATATGTCACCTTAAAATAATAACAATCATTAAGATATTGATTTATTATCTTTAGGAGATTTCTAATCAGAAATCTTACATAGGACATAAAGTGAATTTGAGAGAGATTATAATATTCAAAGTAAACAAAAGTAGAAATAAGAAATGTAAAAGATTTAAGATTTTTATGTTAATCCAAAAATAATATAAACTAAACAATAAACTAATTAATAAAATGATAGTAGGTAAATATTTATAATTACTAATCAGATCATTTTTGTTGAGTTAAAAAAGCAATTTATTTTTTTCAAAAGAATAATTGTTAGATCCATAAGATGATAATCATCCTTATTATTTGTAAGCTGAACCAAAAGAAATAAATTCAAATTTCTATTTAAAATAAGTCAATTAAGACAATTTATCTTAAGATCATTCAAAATAAAAAAGAACTAATATATCAAACTATAAATTGGAAAAGGGATCATCATTTTCCAGTACTTAATGCTATAAAGATCATTTAAATATATTGTTAAGTCAATCATAATAGGCTAATACAAAAGAAACGTAACATTAACCTTATTTAAATTAAACAAATTCAATTAAAAAGAAATAAAATTACTCTTTAAGAACTACTTCATTTAGCAATTAAAAAACAAAAAAAAAATAGAGTACCTAAAAAAATAGAAAATGAATATATATATTTATAAACTTAAAGTAATATAATTATAACTTTTATGAATACTTAAATTCTATAAATTAATAATTGATATAATTAATTGTTTATTATTCAGATCAATTAGAATCTTATAAGCATATACCTTCATATTCTTTATATAATCTGATATATTTTTATTACTTAACCTTTAAGCAACTTTATTTAATTTAATTTCTATTGATCATTTTATCTAATTTATAATATTGTTCTTAAATTTCAGTTCTTCTTTCTAAATAACATTAATCAATGCTATTTATAATTTATCTAAAGAAGTATTTATCAGTAAAATAAAACGATATTTTAAGGTGCTATCTAACAATGATATTAATTTTTATGTAAATTTTTTACAAAATGAATTAATTTAAATACAATTTTTTTGTAAGCTTAAACTCTTTAAAATTGTTTAAATCTTTTATGTTGTAAAGTACAAATATGTTATCTAAGATGATTACTTAATTTCTAACCTTAAGAATCAAATTCACAATATTCAATTTTTTTGTTAATTTAACAAGTAGATATTATAAAAAATTCATTATCCCTATATTATCATATTTAGATATAATTCGATATTTTGTAATAAAAAATTCATCTTATTCTAAATTTTAATATATATTTTATATAAAAGTTTTTAGTAAAAGTTTTATATTTGATTATTGTAATAATTATTTTGTGAACAGATTTGTAAAATTTAAGAGTTATCAAAAATCATATGTAGAATTATGATAAATATATGTGTTTTATTCTGTATTTTATATTTACATAATACATAATATTTAATTATATAAATATTTATATTCTTAAATAATTTAGAATTCATTTAGAATAATTAGATTTTTTGTAATCTTAAAATTCACTTATAAAAACTCTTAAATATAAATGATTATACAAATATATGTTATAATAATATTATTTTATTATAGCAATAACAATTTAACAACTAATTTAATTGGAATCATAAATTATTTTTTCCACTCGAAATGAATTTTAGAGATTAATTTTTCAATATCAGTAATATAAATTGCTTAAATTTGTTGTTCTGTAATCTGTTTGAAATTCATATATACTTATTATATTTGTCGAATACTTATACTTAAATTATATTGTTTTTTTGTAAAAATAGCAGAAATTGCTTTGCTAAATACTTAAAGGAAGGTTTTGTTGAGATTCAAATAATATATGAATTTAAATATCAAGTATTCAGGGTTATGTATTGGCTGAATTTGATCTTTTGAAATGATGTTATTGGAGAGTTGAATTGACTTGATTTGGACAGTCAGTGGCTCGAAATTAAAGATAAAGTGCATAATTATCGAATGTGACTTTTTTCAAGGTTTTTCTTGTTTTTTCTTCTGAAGGCGAAGAGAGTAGATGGTTAAGTTAATCGCCAGTAAGACTACAGATTTGATTTAGTCTCATTTTTTTAGACATATTTAATAAATAAAAAAAAGAATGAATGTAAATCAGCTATAATTCTAAATAAATCTTAACTTATATTAAAATATATAAGATAGAAATTTTAAAGAGCAATAATAATAAATCAAAAGCATTATTAACAAAATTGAAAAATTTTTAAATTAATTCATCACTAATTTATCTTTAAAACAAAATGATAAAAATATTTTAGTTATAAAATCATTAAATTTTTTATAATAAAGTCACTTGATTTCTGCCTACACTAGATAGTAATGATACAATAGAAGAAAATGTCATTTATTATGTATTAAATGGATCCAGTATGCACATAAATTTAATTATTTCATCTTCACTTAAATTGAGATTTGTCAAATTCATTAATTATCTAAATTATACCTATAAGATTAAATTTATTATAATACATCTGTTAAATATCCTTTTTTCTCTATATCTACTTATCTAAATAACTTTAAAAACTTTTATAAATATTTCTCATGTGTAAACAATTAAAAATCTAAAATTGAAGTAACAAATTAACAATATTCTAATTTATTCCCTTATAATTTTATCTAATTCAATTTTTATAATAAAACTTAACTGTCCTCTTAATTGTACATATAATTAACAATCTCCTAACATTCATCAAAACTAAGATAATTTTAAATCTTTTAATTCCACATCTCTTTAATATCTGTCATATTTTTTAAAGGATTCTTTTATCTCAAAAACATACGTAATAATTCTGCAATTGTTTATTTTACTTAAATTTATACAAATCTAAATTCTTCATCACATTCATTTCTCAATATTTTACCAAATACACATATATCATTATCTTCTTAACTTAATCTTTTTACACTCTAAATTATTGTACTAGCTTATTCTATTATTATATTCTAATTCAATATTATTATTAAAATACTTTTAATCCATATTTTTAATTCAAATATGTATACATATGTTATTCCATTGTTTCCCTTGCTTATTTTGTTTCCTAACATTTCTAATCAAATTTAGCTTTTGAATCATAAATCTCCTAAATTTATTCTTTTAATTATTTTAAAGGTATTAATTTAGCAGTTGATAATAAGGATCCCTCATTTTATAAACTATTTTATAAGGATTTATCCTTTATTGCTGATGTATCTATTTTTTTATTAGTAGGCTTTAAGGCTTATTATTATTACTATTATTATAAATTTGGATATCCTTATTTTGAATCATAATTAGCTTTGCCATGTCTAATAATAAGATCTAAATATTTTTAATTCTCTTCTTGACACATTTATATTGTTTATTATTACTCTTATAAATCTGATTCTAATTATTTTATTAAGTATTCTTATTTTTCCAATTTCTCTATATACTAACTTACTGGATTAATTGTATCTTAACTTAATATAATATTAGTTAATTCTTTAAAAATATTAGCATGATCATCATGTACCATTTAAAATAAAGCACCAACTTTCTAATCCAAGTTTTGAGTATATTCAATTATCATATTAAAATTTAATTCCTAAAGAGCATATTTAGCTCTTAACACATGAGTTTTTGCTTTAAATGCTGGTAAATCTTTTGATAATCTTAATGAGAGATCTTTCATCACATTTTTGACATGTTCATCAAATAAATTTCTCAATCTGTCATCTTTTGTTATCTCTATTAATTTTTCAAATTGGATTGCATATTATTCTAATTCTTTTTATTTAAAAACAACAGGATTAATTTCACGATTATTGAGAAATCTTAATTATGGCAAATTTTCTTATATTATTTAAGCTTCTTCAGGTTTTATTGTAATATTCAATTTCGTTAGTTTTGATAATTGTTATAATTGCTTGATAACAATCTCAAAATCTAAAGGGTTTTATGATATATCCAATTCTTCAATATATAGAATTGCTAAGTTATTACTCAATTAAGTCAGGTTATTACCTTAGAGATTAATCTTAAATTAGTATATATCTAATACATATTTTAATCTTTAAAATCTAGCAAAATTCTCAACTAAATGATTGATGCTATCAAGTTACCTTATTATGAATTATATTTCATACCTAAACTCTAAATTGATGTTAGTAGTATTTGGATTGAGACCTTGTAAAATTTATTCAACGTTCATAAATATTAAAAATAAAACAATCAAATTATAATAAGTCTTTTAAAAAGGATAGTTTTTTTTACAGATTACTTAATCTCTAAAATAACATATTAACAATAACTAATTTCAATGACATAAATTCTTATATTATTTTAGTATATATATATTAATATTACTATATAATATTTAAATGGAAATGAGGTTTATATCTAAACTTTTTTATATACATTTTTGTAATGTACAAGTATATACAAATAAGTAAAAATAAGATTAATTCATAATCTCATTATATTTTATTATATTGGTATATGAAAAAATAAAATAGTGTTTTTTATGTGTTAATAATTGCAATTAATTTTTGTTCTCATTAATTATTAAAAGATAATTTAACTTATAGCAATTCAATATAAAAAAGTATATTGAATTGATTAATGTATTATTTTATGAATATTTTAATTTTTGTAAAGATTTTAAGTTTTATTTATTTATTTATTTAGATACCTTGATTATAGAAATTTCAGTTAAAGAAATTAGTTTAATTGTAAGAAATATTTAAAATAATTTTTATTAATAAGAATCACATAATATTTCTTTAATTCTTTTTTTTGAATCATATCTTTAAATGATTTCCTTCATTTCTATTGTACTTTTTTATATATATAGATCTTCAAAAATAAGGGTTTCAAAATTAAATGAATTATATTTTAAAATTCTTTGTTTATAGTTTATGTTTATGTTATATTCACAACAATTATATTTAATAGAATTGGAATTATGTAGTTCAGTTTTTGTGGACTTCTTATTCACAATATAAGTTGAATCTAAAAATAAATGAGATAATATTAATTATTTTATGAATCCATTTTAATAGTTTATCAATGCAGGATAACAATAGTATTATACTTAAATGCAACAATTATAACAGATCCAATACCTACAAGTATATATATTATATTAAGCTAGTATTTGCAACTGCTTAGCACTATTTAAAATAATTGTACAAATCAATAAAATGTTCAGATCCCTTCACTGAATCCTCTTTAATAATTTTCTCTTCTTTCTTAATCATCTCAAAGAACAATACCCTCAGCATAATAGCCTGATATTCGTACTAAGAAAAGTTAATCTGAAAGAGTGTTACCCAAATAGAAGAAAGAGAATGAAATTCTGAAATAATTTTCATAAGATCAAATTTTATAAGAACTCAAATAATTTTTAGAGTATTTGAGCAAAAATGAAATTAAGGAAATGGATGAAAATGAAAAAAATCAATATACAGTATGGAAATATTAATATAATGTTAGATATTGACAAAAATAGATGATTCATTAATAGACACACTTATTAATCGATATTAGAAATAAAAAAAAACTAAAGAAGAATAGATTAAGTTTATCATAAGAAAGTGCTTTAAATATCTCAAATAAAAAATGAATTTAAATGAATTGACAATGAGTGCATATGAAATTGAAAAGGTTTTTTATAAGGAGTACTTTATGACTGACGAGAATATAGAAGACTTAATACCATTTCGATAAGAATCATCAAATAAAACAATGAATAATTCATTCTTAAAGAAAATTTTCTCATCTGAAAAGTTTTATCAAGGATACCTTGAATATTTAGGTATTAAATCATTAAATATTTAGAAAACTTCGATGAAATATGGGATTAAGAAAATAATGAAAAGATTTAGAATATGACTAAATAAGTAATGAAATTTATTGCATCTGGATAAATCGACGTATAAAAAAATTTATAGTAATTAGAAAATATCTTCATACAAAAGAGTACCATGGATTTCGTCTATGAAATAAAGATGTTATGAATTAGCTGTTTCGTTTAAAGCATACCATGATCAAGAAGAAACAAATAAAAAAGTTAAATTAGAATGATAATATTTTATTTAATTTGCATACAATTCACAAAACCCCCATTTTATAATATTTAATAAACTGTTATTTCAAAACTATTTCTAAAAAGTATTATTTCTCAATAAATACAAATTATACAGCTAATTTTTATTATGAGACTAATTCTTTACTATTTATGATACTAATTATTATATATTTCTAATAATGATAGTATCAAAATTAAAAAATACAATATTATTCAATAATATTGATTTTAAATGTTTAGATGTTTAGATTTAAAAAAGGACTTTGATTGATTTGTAAAAGAATTGTAATTTTTTGAGATTATTATTTATATTAATATTATGATTATTTTAATTAAATAATCAGAAATTTATCATTAAATTATCTAATGAAAAATCAAAAAAAGGCAATAATTATATCAAGTGAAGAAAGTGATGAACCAAAATTAATATAATAACATCAAGGAAAAAAGAGATTGATCAGAAATGATTTTGAATAGATAAATTAAGATTTGAGAATAAATGAAATTAAATAAAGAAATAGAAAAGTTATTTTTGATGATGATGGAGAAACTAGTGAAAAAAATGAAAATGTAAAAGAAAACTTTGTTGAATAAAAGAAGAAATATAAATTAATTAAAAAATAAGAAATCATAGTATAAGCAGCCTAATAAGAAGCTACATCATGTCCTGTTTGTTATACTGATTTAGAAATAATTTAAGCTGCTATTTTATAATGTGGACATCTATTTTGCTAAAAATGTATATAAATATAATGTGAAAAATACTAAAATAATTGTCCTTTATGTAGAAAACAATATAAAAATGTATTATATTAAAAATATATTTTTAGTATACAATTTGTATAAGAGGAGATGATGGAGAGTATTTAAGAGGTTAATTAATTAAAATAAAAAAAAAAATAAAAAAACAAGAATATTTAGATGAAAATGATGATGAAGAAAATGAAGAAGAATATAGTTAGGCATAAAGTTCTATACATCAATCCAGTTTTGTTTAAGATAGTCAATGTATTTCTATTTCATTATTTAAGATGATGCTGGAGATAGTTTTATTGTAGCAGATGATGAATGTTGTGAAGAATGCTAAGGAAATGAAGATATGGAATCTATGTTATTTTGTAAGAAATGTGGATGTGTAGTTCGACATAGTTATTGTTAGGCATCTAATACTACAAATAAAATTTTATGTTATACATGTAGAACATATTAATAAAGATGATTTATACATTTCTTAATTTTTATATTAATAATATTCTTTAATCACTTAATAATATTATGAAGTTTTAAATCTTTTTAATTATTTCATAACAATTCCTTTATTTTGCATCATCAGCTTGTGTTGATGAAACTAGAACACCTATAACTATTGGCAAAATATAACCTTGTCCATTTTATGATAATAAACCAGTCTGTTGTAGATAAGATAATGTAGACTAAATGATATCCAATTATCGTTCTATTGATGCAACATTCGGTTAAGATGGAGGAGGATGTGATATGTAATATTATATTCAAGATTATTTATTAGATGCGGAGCTAATTTGAAACGATTTTGGTGTATTTATACTTGTGATCCAGATCAAACTAATTTCATGAAATATACAGGTCGAGCAAATGTTACAGATCCAGCAAATAAAAATAAATTAATTGAAGTCTAACTTGTATCCCTTACAACTAAACCTTAAGTTGCATGTGTAAAATTATAGAAATATATTATTTAGGAAGTGTATTCTTCATGTTCTCGTACATCATTTGTTAACCAAGTTTCTGCTATGCAATCTCCTGGAGGATTCTTCAATTTCTTAGGAGAACAAGCAATGTATTTCCATTCATTATATATTTAGTACATAAGGACAATAATTTATCACATTTGAGTTTTCAGATTATGATTCTATGATTATGGATGACACTTGGATGTGTAATCATAAATCTAATATTACAACAGTGGATGATAAAGGAGTAATACACTATTGGGATTAATATGGATATGAAATTAAATAATAATGTGGATGTAATACTTGTGAAGAGAGTTGTGATGCAAATTAAATTTTATACAAACCCACTGGAGTTTTATATGGATTTGAGACAAGTTATGTGCTATTTACTTGGTTATTTGTAATATTATTTGCACTTGGTATTACTATAATCAGAAAATATCAACAGAATAAAAAGGCTATTGAAAACTTAGATATTGGTTTAATTACAAGTTGAAATTTTTATGCATATATATTATCTGCTTTCAATTTGTTATATATATCTATCTTTAAGAAATATAAAAATACTAATTATTTTCAGTATGAAAAGATTCAATTAATATTTTAACAAATTTCTCTGACATTATATTTTTATTAAATTGATATTGCATGCAAATAAATATATACAATGTTTTATACTTTTTGCTATATCTAATATTATTTTAGATTTCAAAAAATATACATAAAGCTCTTATTTTATAATAGTTGATTATATTTTTATAAATTAAATTTCATTTCTTTGTATTCTTTAAATTTCCTTTTGATGATTAATTATTTAATTTAATAGGATCCTCTTTGCCTCTGTTAGAAGTTGTCTCATATTTTTATACTTCTTTGATTGCATTTTAATTTTTAGTTAAAAATAAAGCACTTTTTTCATCAATTGACTTTTATAAGTTTGATTAATACTATTCTAATGAACCTTGTCTTTCTGAATTATATTTTTATACTAATTCTTAAGCTTTCTTATTCATTAGAATGTCTTCACTAATTTATACTCTTTTTCTATAATTGGCTTTAACTTAAGGTAAAATTGGTTATAAAATAGAAACTTTATTAATTGTTTACAAAGAATTCTATTATACTTTTCTTTATAAGGTATAAAATTCTTGCATTTTTTTTTTCTCTTCTATTTTCTTTGTTTCTTCTTCAATTTATTATTCTTTAATTTATTATTCAAAATTTTTAAGATCATTTTCCATTTATTTTTTCAATTCTTCTCTTTACTTTTTCTCTCTTTCTTTTTTTTCTATTTCAATTTCTTACTTTGTTTTTTTATTAGGTTTTTTCTTTTTTTCTACAACTTATTCTTAATTTTCTTATTAACTTTAATCTTCTATGTAATTTTCATTTTTTTTAGATTAATTTTCTTCATCATTATTAATTGAATTTTTATCTTCCTATTGATTTGTAACTTCCTCATTCAATTAATTTTAATCTTAATCATCTTTAAATTCTGAGGTTTAATGATCTAATTATGATTCATTATCCTATTTTTCTTGAGAGTCAGGTTCATATTTTGGTTAGCTTTGATTGCTTTTATCAATAGTGTTATTTTCATTAATTTCATTTTAATCTTTATCTGATTCCTTAAGTGGAGTTTAGTGTTCATCTTATTATTATTAAACTTATTCCTAAACTTTATTTTATTCCTACACTTTATCTTTTTAATCACCTTAATTCACTTTTTCCATTTCATCATCATCATCATCAAAATACCCATTATTTTATTTTTTATTCTTTTTATTTAAATCTTATTAATCATCATCACTAAATTATTCATATTCATCATCTTTAATCTAATTTTATTAATTTTCTTATTGTTAACCTTGATTATCCTTTTCCTTCTCTTAGTTATTTGTCTATTCTTTTTGTTTATTTTCATTTTATTCATTATTTAATAGTCCATCATCATCTTAGATATCATCAAAATTAATCTCGGAATCATTGTCCATTGTATATTTTTAAATTATATAAATTAAAAAGTATTCAAAGTCAACATATATGATTTAGTGATGAATATCAATATAATATTTATATATATATTTTTGTAGATTGATATTCTAACAAATTATCGATTTAAAATATACTGTTATATCTAAATGATTTCTATAATTAATTCTATTTATCTTATATTAGATTTAATTTTTTATGAAATTGGAAATGTAAAAATACATCATTTAATCATCCCAATTAAATTAGTTATAACATTCATTTTAATAAATTATCTAATAATTCAATAGCTGCCATAATTTGTTATTTTGCATTTTTATATTGTTTAAAATCAAGTTCTGAAATAGCTGCCCTTATTTTTATTTTCGATTCCTTCTCTAAATTCTCATATTTTTCAAGCTATTATGTTTTTTTCCATTCAAACTTTCCAATTTTAGGAGGTTCAATACCTTATATTGATGGCTAACTATATATTTTCTCTGGAGGGATATCAAATAAATAACTATCAACAAATGCGCCTATGTTTATCTTCTAATTGTTGATGTAGATTCCACTCTTTTCCATTTTATTATATTATTCTATTGCTTTATATTAAGAATATTTCTCTATAATAGTATTAGATTCTACTTTTTTCATGAAAATCATCTCTATGAGGTTTAAAAAAGGCTAGGAGTGAAAATAGGTGTACTACAAATATAAAGGATGAACATAATTCTTCTTATCCTTGTCTTTCCATATCATCTATATGATTAAAGAGTCTCAATGCTGAATCCTCAACATTTCGCATATCTACTTCAAAGGATTAAAATCTTTATTCATTTTATTTCCTCAATAAATCTATCTCTTATCTAATTATAGTTATTTGTTTGTCTATAATCTATTGAATTGATAATAGGAAAGAATACAATAAAATTGGGTACTTTGAAATTACTATTGATATAGGTAAGAACCTTTTTAATTGCGAAATATTTAATGTAGTATGCCATAGGAGGATTGATTAATTTTATTTAATCTCCAAGAAGCAACATTGTATTTAAGTAATCAAAATTGATCATATATTTATATCTAATTAATCAGTTTTTTATGAGTTTTTCGAATCAAATTGGATGATAGAATCTTCATTTACATTATTGATCATATGATCTTCATATAAATTTTGGACATCTTTAACATTAAACAAAGATTTTATGGGTTTATGTTCTGTTAATTATACTCCTGATGTATTCCCTCTAAAATTATTAACAAATTCAATACCTATGAGTAGTGGGACAAGTTCTTCTATTAGTAGAATTACATTATAAATCTAATTGTCTACCACTACTTTTCTGACTTGATAATGGTAAAGGTTCCTTGGCATGAAAACTTTGAGCATCTTCAACATCTGCATCCTCCTGATCCCAATCTATTGGTTATTTGTTGTTTTAAGATTTCTAATTATTATTTAATGGATTAAGATTTGTCTATTACATATAGTTTCTTGAAAGGATATTTGTTTAAACATTTGTTAAATTGGAAGTATTCTCTTTCAATTTTTCATCTAGCTTCTCAGTAGATGGTTTTTCTGCTTTTTTTCTTTTCATTAATATATATTCATAAGTTGTTATTCCCTTAAATCGAAAATATATATGCATTGCTAATAAAAATGTGATAGGTATCAATAACAAAAATGTAAAACCAATTTCAATATAACTAAGTATTGATTTAATCATAATTGAGAGTATTAATACAGTAATTAGATACAATTCTAATAAAACTATTAAGATAAAAAAATATTTGTAATTTTGTGTTCCAATACAATTGTTTAACCAAATACAATGATGATCGAATTGATCAGTACATCGATTGCAAGATTTACAATGTTTTGAGGGGGCTTTTACAAAAGCTAAACAAATTTTACAATAGCAATTCAACTTAGTTTGATATTTTGCTCTATGTAAATTCTTAAATATAATACTTTTATGCCTTTAAACGATATTAATGATATATTTCTGGATCGGTTGGATCAATTTTTGTTGCAATAAACCAAAATAAAGTGATAAAAAATGTGAAAAGCGAAACTAACATCCAGATGCGATTCTGATAAAATTTTCAAAAATTTATTGCTTACATATTCTAATGTTTAAAATAAGATCACTGAATAGTGTCCTAAATAGATGAGTACAGCAGATATTTAGTATAAATTTATTCCTTTTTTACACTGAAATCCATGTCTAATAACTATATTTTAATTAGTTTAATTCATAATTAATAATTAATATCATTGTCTAATAAAATCATCATAGGTTGGCTCAATTCTGCTTTGTTTTATAATTTTAATTATTTTGAAAATGTCACTGGCCAATATTGAGAACTAGCCTTTTTCTGTGGTAACAATTAACAATATTTATATGCCTTTGCAATCAGTTCACTACAAAAATACCCTTTATTGATTAACCCATCACTTTATTATTGTAACAACTTCATTATATTTAATTGAAATTCCTGTCCGTAAACTTTCTTAATAATATTATATAATACATCAATAAATTCCTAAATTCTTTAATTTATATAACCTCTATCAATATTTAATAATTTTCTATAACAGATTTTTTTGAATTGAGTATTTTATTTAAGAAAAAAACTCCAAAATTCAAAGTCAACTCCCTAATTTTAATTAAATTATACTATATTATTTTTAACATCTACTATAATAATTTCTTTATGCTCTTATTTTCGAATTATCAATCCAACATGGTCAAAATTAGAACTTGTGAACACTCTCTGTAATTTAGCCAAATAATGATCAGTTCTGAAATATAAATAAGCTGTTATACTCAAAAAGCAAAATATCACCTGTTTCTGCCCAATCCAAGAATTCATTTTGAGTCACAAAATTTGTTCCAAAATACATATCTTTGATAACTAATTTTTGATAAAAATTCTTAAACTTATCCTCTATCATCTTCAAACATTAAAACCATAATTTCCCTTCAATTTCATCATTAAACCTCAAAAAAATTACCTTATTCATTTTGTAAAAATCAATTTTAATAAGTCTTAAAGAATTTTTGTTACACTTATTTTTAATATGAATAACTCATTACTTATATCAGATTAAATGCTAAGTATTTTAAATTAAAAACCATAAACCATTATTTATCCTCCAAAATTACTAATTTTTCTATTGTTAATTAGATGTTTGATTTCTTAAAACTTCCTGTATTTATTTTAATATAGATTAATCCCTATTTTATTATTGTGTTCCCCAAAGCAGAATTATTGTATTTTTCTAAAGGAGTATTACATATTTATGTTTAATTTGCAAAGCTAGCTTAAAATATGTATTGTTATTATTTGATTTGATTTTCAATCTAATTTGGAGATTGTTATACTAAATCTTCAATTTTAACTTAATTATTTAATGATTGAATTTCTGAAAAGGATTGACTTCTCTACATATAAATTAATTAAATTATCGTTAAAAAATTATGGATATTTAGCAATTTGAAAAAGAACTAGTAACCAAATTACAATTCAAAGCCTCATCAAGAGTAGGTGTAGAAACTGTCTTACTTAAAATATTTAAATTCTTTGATCTAACTAATTAAGGATTTCTAAAAAAATAAGACTTTCTTAAAGCTATAGCTAAATCTGGAGTAACTATAACAGAATAAGAAGTATCATTAATGTATTAATTTAGTTCGCTGAAAAATTGTGGTCTCACTATTCTGACGGTGTCTAACTTAATTACAAAGATTTCATCAATAGAGTTGTGATAAAAGACAGTTATTAGGAAGATTATTCAGAATCAAGGATCATAGCCTCCCCAATAGAATCCTTAAGAGCTAAGATCTAACTGAAAGGAGCTTTGGGCTTGTTAAACTTAGCCATAAGTTTGCCAAATTAATTTAACTGTCAACAATTACAGGACTATTTAAGAAGATAGGATATAGATATAGAAGGGTTACATTAATTATTTAATGGAGAATTCATGAGTCAAGCTAACTTGATTGGTTTAATAAAAGGATAACTATTGAACTAGTTTAGATAGGCATTGATCACAAATGTATTTTATTCATTTGAGGCACGTGAACTAACTCCTCAATTTTTGATAAATAGATATTAAGCTGATAAACATCCTGACATTAAATTTTTGAGAAGAGATTAGAATGAAATTAAAGAAGAATTTGTTACAGGATTAAGTCTATATTTATAAATCAGAGCAATAAAAGTATTGAATTTATAGGATTTGCTTGATTTTTATTCATATTTTGGATTTAACATTTAAAATGATGAGATCTTCAGAAATATAGTAGTGTAAGTATGGAATCTAGATAATTTGAACTAACAATAAGCTTCTCCATCTTAAAGCGTAAAACAAAAGTCTTATTAATAATAATTGTAATAATCTCCTGGATCTCAGAAGCAAATTAATTAATAATTGAACTTTTCTCCTGAAAATAAATCAACTAAATCATATTAATAATATTAATAGTCTCAAATACAAAGAACCCCTATATAATAACATCTTTAAGAACCTGAATAATAACGACCATCTGTACCTAGATCTGTTAAATCTCATTAATCATAAAAATCACATCAATCTTAATAATCATAATTGTCTGCAACTTCAAAGTAGGTTGAGTTGATAGTACAAAGAATTAGAAATAGATTGGTATCAAGAGGTGCTCGTGGATTTATTTCTTTATATAGAGTAGCAAAGATTTTGGATGCTGATTAAGATGGAATGCTCAATTTGTCAGAATTTAGAAGAGCTATTAGAGATCATAAAATAGAAGTTACAGATCCAGAAATAGATTTAGTATTTTAATATTTTGACAGAGATGTTTCAGGATTGATTGATATATGGGGATTCATGTTTGTGTTGAGAGGTGAGATGAGTGAATAGAGAATCTAATTAGTAGAGTCATTATTTGAAAAATATAAACAAGGAGATTATATAACTATTTCAAATTTAAGGAATAATTTTACTGTTAGAAATCATCCAGATTTAAAAAGTGGAAAAAAAAGTGATGATGAAATCATTTAGGATTTCTTTGAACCCTTATAATAATTACATAATATCAATGGAGGTTTTGGGAATGAAAATATTAGTAAAGATGAACTTATTGAATATTTTAGCAATTTTAGTGCTTCAGTTCCTGATGATAAATATTTTGAATAAATTCTTGTTACTGTATTTAAAATATAAGCAGAACAACAAAAAACACATCATGCTGGCAATAAATAAGTCTTTGAACCAGATCATAAACGTAGTTATCTACAAGATCATCATCGATATGTTGTTCAGGGTGGTAGTGTCTCTGCTAATGCTCCTTTTGGCACATTTACACAATAAGAATAAATTTAACAACAAAGACCTACTTCTGGGTTTGAATAACCAGCATCATTTAATATTTTTAAGCCACTTCAAGATAATGTTACTAAATCTAATGTATAATTAGGTCATTCTTAATTATCACAACAATCCTAGCAAAATTAATAATAATAATTTCATTATTAAATTGAGTAGACTCCTAAATAGTAAAAATAAAAAATTGATAGTTTTTAAATTTTGAAAAATAAAATTTTGTAGAGAGGAATAAGAGGATTGATTAATATTCAATAAAGATTTAGAGTTTTTGATAAATAAGGAGTGGGATCCTTATCATTAAATGATTGGTTAAATAGTTTTAGGTCTTGGAGATTAGATTTGAATGAATAGGTAATTTAAGATGTGTTTCATTAATAATAAGTAAATGGGATGATTATTTATGAAAATTTTATAAAATAACTTTAGGGAACTATGAGTCTAAGAAAATTCAACATCTTATAATAAGTATTTGAATCTTTACCTAAGCAAAATGTTGAAGTTATAAAAAGTATGGAATGAATTTATAATTAGGTTCATTTAATCCTAAAGAGCATCCAGATGTGAAATTGAATAGAAGAAGAGAAGATGATATTCTGTGTGAATTTATTGATACATTCGAATAACATCATTAAATATTTGTAATCAATATATTTATTTGTAGACCGGAATGGATTATTTGAAAAATCCAAATGTTTCATTTGAAGAATTTATCAACTATTATAATAATTTTAGTGTATTAATGGAAGATGATACATAATTTGAATAATTACTAGGAGCTGTATGGAATCTTAGAAAAAGATTATGAAACATCAATATATTTATATTATTATAAAATACTACTACAATATAATGAATAATAAAATTTGAATTTTAAAAAGTTCAGATAACCAACTAATGAAATTAAATGATTTAACTGAATCAAGGAAGATGTTAAAGCAGTTGAAAGAAAAAGATGTTCGACCCCCTAGATCATATAGTGATTTTTCAAAATCTCCAAAATAATTACAATTAGACACAATATAATTATATTCATGGGGTAAAGAAGTATAGTTTATTTTAGGGTTAAACACTTGTGGTCAATTATTAAAAACAAATAAAAATATAATCCCTCATTATTAAGGTGTATAATTATGTTCTGCAGGTGAAAATCATACGATTATTGTGAATAATAAGAATGAAGTTCTAGGGTTTGGTGATAATTAATTTGGTTAGTTGGGATATGAATCTAACACGCAACCTAAGTTAACTCCAATATTTAAAGATTAAAGAATAACAAGTGTAGTTTGTGGAGCAGAACACACATTTATGTTAACTGCTAAAGGAGAAGTATATTCTTGGGGTTTAAATTTGAAAGGCTAATTAGGATTGGGCAGTTTTGAAAACGCTTTATAACCTACTCTCGTTTATGGTCTTTTACCTTTTGGTACAAGCAATAGCAAGGCAAGAGAACAACAGGTTGGACATAAAAGAATGAAGAGCACAAATGAAGGAGATTCATCAACCTCTCCAGGCTTAAAAGAAAGATCTTCTTCTATTGATAATGTTATGGAGTAGATTGTTATGATGAAGGAAAAGATTAAATAAAAAAATCCTAATGAAATACAGTGCTAAATACTTTTGCAAAATGATGAAGCTGTTTAATAAATTTCTTGTGGAGCATTACACACATTAATTTTAACGAATAAAAACAGGGTCTTTTCGTGTGGGTTCGGAGAATCCTATGCTTTAGGACATCCTGAAAATTAAACCCTTAATGAATTCAAATAGATATCAAATTTACAACACTACAAAGTTGATAAGATTTGTTGTGGATTAGCACATTCAGGATGTATAGTTGAAGGAGGAAGAACCTTTATATGGGGAATCTGCAAATCAAACAAAGATCACATAAAGCTACCATAATAAATAAAAATTTTAGATGAATTAAATAGTTAATAATGTGTTCTAGATATGAAAATGGGAGAGATGTTTACGTTATTTCTTAATAGTAAAGGGGAAGTTTACTCTATGGGTGAGAATATCTAAGGATAACTAGGAATAGAATAGACTTATGCTGATGTTCCATATAAAGTATTGGGTTTACCCTTAATATCATAAATATCAAGCGGAAGAAATCATTGTGTTGCACTATCAGCTGATTATAAATAAGTATTCGGATGGGGATCTAATATTTATGGCTAATTAACTGGATAACCTAGTGTTAATTGTAAAGGAATAATATCTCCAAAATTGTTATTTACTGTACCTGAAACTTAGAAGATAGTTTGTGGTAATTTTCATACTTTGTTACTTTCATCATCCTTCTTAGAAATCATTTTAGATGAAAATTAAAATTCTCATAAGGACCCAGATAAATTAAGCGAGGAAGTTGAAAAATGTAAAAATGAGTAAGAAATATTGAAATAATAAAATATTTAATTGCAATAAAAATATGATAGAATGAAGAATGAAATTTTGTAGAAAAAGAAAGTTAAAGATCAAAAAGTTTAAACAAATGAATCATATATTTAAAGGCAAATAAAAAAATAATAATCTAAATTTGATATTTCTGCTTTAGAGATCTCACCTGAAAGACCGATCAAACATAGAATATTTTAATCAAGTTTGGATATTGATTTTAACGATATAATGCTTGAAAAATAGATAAGCGAAGGTGGATATGGAGTAATTTATCGAGCTAAATGGAGAGAAACCACAGTAGCTGTTAAAATGTTTAAAATTGATGGAATGAATGAAAATCACATAAGAGATTTTCTATCTGAATGTCATGCAATGGAAGCACTTAGACATCCAAATATAGTAATGTTTTTAGGTGCTTGTACAAAACCTCCTAATTTGGCTATTGTACTTGAATATTGTTAGAGAGGTTCTTTATGGTAAGTTATCTAAAATCATGACATTCACTTAACATGGGAAGATCGTAGAAAGATGTCTTTAGATGCAGCAAAAGGTGTATTGTATTTACATTCTTTCAATCCACCTATTTTACATCGAGATTTAAAAAGTCTAAATTTACTTTTAGATGAAGCTTTTAGAACAAAATTAGCAGACTTTGGATGGACTAGAACACTCTCTAATTATATGACCAGCAAAATTGGTACATATTAATGGATGGCACCTGAGGTAATTGCAGGGTAAATTTATACAGAAAAAGCTGATGTTTTTAGCTTCGGTATAATATTATGGGAAATAGCAGCAAGAGAGCCACCTTATAGAAGTAATATTTTATTAATAATTTAGATATTACTGGCTTGTAGGTTTCCTTAGATGTGTTGAATAATGATTTTAGACCCACCATACCAAAAAAAACTCCTGAAGTTTTTGCAAGGCTCACTAAAAGATGCTGGGATAGGGATCCTGAAAAGCGCCCATCATTTAAAGAAATAATTAAAGAATTGGAAATGATGAAATTCCCTCCTGGAATTTGATAATTAAATATGTAAAGTTTTAATATTATTTTTCATTATTAATTGTGATTATAAATAATGTTTGCTTTATCAAGAGGTATCTTTTTATTCACCATAATAAGCTTTTAAATTTTAGCAACCAATATTTACTTTCTCTCAATTTTAATTGCTCAAAGGAAAGTATGTTGTGCCACCAAAACCAAGAAAGTAGAGAAATACAGTAACATTTACATTTAATTTAAGGATTTGACAATTCATTAACAATAATTAAAAGAGTGGTAAGAAAATTATGAGGTACCAAAAAGACCAAGTATGATCTCCGAAAAGATTCAGTTTTATGGAAAAAAGTTTCCAAATTTGAAAACTAAGTGGGTTGAATTATTACAGCAAGTTAAGACTTTGCCTGCAGAAGAGTTAGCAAAGAATGAGGAAATAATAAAAAATTCGGCAGAATAGAAGAGACAAATCTTTGTAAAACGTATGGAAGAATATCAAAACAACCACTTAGTCAGATTAGGTAATGTGACAGCTTAAAGTAAATTTTTTTCAACTATTCCATCCACTGATCTTAAGTCAAATTGGGCAAAATTTAATGAATTATCAGAAGATGAAAAAAAAAAATATCAACAATTAGCTAATGAAGAAAACTAAAAAAAAAATGAAAAATTGCAAAAGCTTGCTTCAAAATTTGGAATGTCACTTGAAGAATTTAAAAAGGAAGTCCGTAGAATAGCTAAAGAAAGCAGAAAAAAGAAAGAAGAATCTTCTTCATCATCATCCTCTGACGATGAAAAGACAAAACAAAATAAGAAAGATTAACAGAAATGAAAATAAGATAATAAAATTACAAAATATAAATAATTATTTCAATTTATTTTTGTAAGTAGTTGATTATATTGCTACAGGTTTTTATTCTTTTCTAAAGAAAGTCAAATTTTGAAGTATAAAGGAGCCCTTGTTTTGAATTGTGAAAGGAGTATTTTCCTTGTAACAATTAATTCTTCTATATTGATATTAAATTAATCAATTAATTCAAATCAAATCGCCTGAACTTGTTAGGAATTTCTTGGCAGGAGTTTGAATGGAAAAATAATCAATTTTAATTAATGAATTTGTTTAAACGAATCAGCTATTAAACTGATTACATTTTAAAATTCTTTTCTGGTCTCAGTATATAAAAATAGAAACTACCTTATATATTCGCTAAAAAGGTTGAAAAAATTAATAAAATAATATTGGCTATTAAAAGAGAAACTAAATATTATTATAATTTCAAACTTTAAGTGCTAAAGTATTTTATAGTTCATTTTAACTCTTATTCTACACCGCTCATCACATGTAAAGGGTATACATGTTGCATCTAATTTGGATCATTTGGCCCTCTCATTCTACTAGAACCTCCAAAGTTTATCACTTTTGTAGATGCATATTCCTCGTAAGACTCCATATGAGTAACCTTTATAGAAGTTAAACAATTAGCAAGCACAGAAAGGAAAAGCATACAAATAATGATTATTACAAGTATAGATTCTTTTTATACTGATTCTGAATATATTATGCACATTCCATCAAGCATTTTATTATAATGACCCTATATATGAATTATTTATTTACTTTGATAAATGTACAATTAGTTGACTTAAGGATATTATTCATACTTGATAAAATCATTTATTCTTTTTCATTAAATTTCTAAATCTAATTTATATATTAGTTTAAATCCATGCTAAGTTATTAATTTAGTGATATGAATTAAGACTCCAATTATTAGGCTTCTATCCATCCTTAGGCTTAAGATTAAAAGTGTTATTTTAATTTCTAAAATTCATTTTATTGCTCTGGACAACTAGCCGAATATCTTGTTATTAAATATGATGGATGCCAGCAAAATTATGTTTAATTTTAAGAACCTTGCTTTTTTGGACTTGTACCATCTGAACAACTCTAAAAGGCTAACTCAGCACAATTATTGTTTTATTTAAGATCATTAAACGATTTCACTATTTTATTAAACTCCATCTATTGCTTCTCATCTAGATCAACAATTGTTCCATCTAAAATATAGGTTAAACTTTAGGTATTTTTAGATAATTTTTAGATAAATTATTCATAATTAGAATTGATTCTTTAAATTTAGTCTTCTACTCCTTTTTCACTGTTCATGTAAGTTCTAATATCTTTCAATTTTTAAACAAGATTTAATTACTCATAAATATTTCCATCTTCAAATAAACAATTTTTTAGTGTCTATTTTGTATTATCAAAATCAATTATGTTTTGACTTTTATATACTTCAATCTTATTGACAAATCCGTCAAAATATATGCATATATCATTCGATAATTCAGAATGAGAATGCAGAAATATATTAACAACTAAAAGGGCTATAAGTAATAAGTTGCAAATGAACCATAAAAAATCTACAATAGCTTTTATTTTGAACCGATTATTAAACCAGTAGCCACCCCAGACAAGGATTTAAATAAAACAGAGTATTATTAATGTTATTCCAATTCCAATTATAGAACTTGTATATTTTTTCATACTTTCATTCAAACTTTGATGAAAGCTCAAATATTTATCTGAATATACAAATAAATAATTGTTTATTATTGATAATTGTTATTCAGCCCTCATATATATTGATGTTAATCTTTAATCTCTAAGAGCAAAAGAGGCATTTTCAATTGATCCAAAATGCAAAAATATTTTATCATAAAAGCTAATAACTTAATTCACTTGATCTGTTAATTAAATTAATTCTTATTTTTATTGAATAAGATCATAATATTCTTAAAATGTCAAATAATCTTCATCTTTTTCATTTGATAGTATATAATCAAACTATAATATGATTTGTAATTTACTAATTTAGATTTTGAAAAATATGACTCTGTTTCTTCAATTACATTTGTTCCATTTGAAGATATCATTATCGGTAAAGGAGATCTTGGGAGGTTTCTCTTTAATCTAAATGAAATATAAATTTACTGATCATTAAATTCAATCAGCTCGGATAATTTTTTTGTCATTGTTATCGATTTTCTATCTTAAAATAAAGCCTTTAAATTTATTTGAAACTCTTAAACATGCTTTGATAATATTTCCAAATCAACCTAAAGGTTATTATATCCAACAAAGTTTTCATCGTTTTTATTTAATAAATCATCAAATGATTAACTTAGATAGCAACTTGAATAGGAGAGTCCTTCATTAATATCATTTATAAAAACCTAAATTTCAAATTTTTATATTACTAAAGCAATAATCGAACAAGTAATTATGGTAAAATTTAAGATAACTATTGAGATGATTCCGTATTTATGATACCTTTTCGTATTTTCAAGAAATTCCTCTTCTGTATGGTTTTTAATCCAAATTACTACAGAACTAAAATCATAAAATATTCTCACTTTGATTTGAAAACAATGAGTATATACATAATAGAGAGAAAAAAGGTTCCAATAGCTATTATAAGCCAAGGGATGGTGAAGCTTGACAATTATGAAAAATAAAAATTGTTTGAGATCTCATAACTGTTGTTAACAAGGAATTCAATGTTTTCTTATAATTCTAGACTTGATTTAGAGTAAATTTAACTCCAAACTTATTCTCTCTCAAGATCAGATATGTCAACTAATTTAAACTATAGTTTTACAAAATTTGATATTACTACATTCTTTAGTTCGAGTATTTGTCAAATCAACATAGGTTGATTAGTTAGCATTTTAAGTAAAGCTAGTTTAAATGAAAATGATAACTATTAATAAAATGACAAATGGATGTTGTTTTAAAGTCATTATACCAAATAAATTATTCTAAAAAATCTACTTATACTCATACATTTAAATATAGAAAGTCATTGAATTAGTTAATTTTTGAATCTAAGTTTCTTAAACCTAAGAATTGAATGTTTAAAAACTATAATAAGAATCAAAAATTCAATCTAAGAATTAATAACATCAGTATTTAACTATAAACATAACTTAAAATTGAAATAGATAAATTTATACAATTAATACATAATCATTGATCAAGAGGCTCGAAAAATCTTCTATTTCCTGTTTTTGTGGCAATCATTAATTTATCGTATTCATCCATATGTTCTTCTGTAGGTTAATACATCCACTTAGCTTCTATATCAACCTCCTATCTACTATCTTCTGTCAACAGGTGAATCATATATTATTTATAATAAACCATCAGCCATTCATCATCCTTTTATCCACTAATCTGAGGTTTACCATAAGTTCCTATACCCAAATGATGAAGTCTTTTTAAATTCATGATTCCTCGTTAATCAGGTTCTGCGTTCATGGCTTCATTACCTAATCTTAAATTCAAGTTCTTGATTTCTTCTTATTCTTTTTGATATTGGATCATAAACCCTTTTACTAATTCTTTACAAACTTTCCAACCATGATTGCTTGAAAACATCGTTCCTACAATTCCATATCTTTAAGGCAACTGTTTTCCATAATCTTCTAGATCATAATGTACAATATCTTTAATTTAATTGATCTTAATTACTATTAAAAAAGGTTACTTCTAAAAAAGAAATTAATTTATATATGTCCAACTATTCATTAGGGTCAAATAAAATATCTCTTTATTACACTAGCTCACCTTGTAATCCCCAAACAGTTCCTTTATCAGGCCTATCAACAACTTTTTCGTAATAAGGATCATCTCCATCAAACAAAACAGTCTCTTTAATTAAATTAATGTCAGGTTTTATAGCTTCTTTAAGGATAGTATTTTATTCTAATTTTATATCGTTGAGACTTCCAATCACATCTCATAATTATATTATTAATACCATCCTCATCGTTTTTATCTTCATAAGCCATTGAAAATTATTAGGAAACATCTTATGTTTTTTTTAATTTATTCACAATTCTGACATTTCTTGCCATTGAATATATTGATCTAAAATTTACATATTTAAACATAATATTATGAATTAAATAAATAATTTATATACACATAATATATGTTTTAAATTCATTAGAATTTTTGGCAAATAAATAAAAATCAATCCAAAACTTTTTTTAAAGTCTTTAATCTTTCAATAGTTTCATATAGCATTCGCATTCATGTTCTTGAAAATCGATCTAATTTCTGGAAATTATTCAAATACAAAAGTTTAAATTTAGAGAATAAATCTTAAATTTATCACAATTAATTTTTGCATTAGTCTATTACAATAAAGATTATAACCTTGAATTTGTAGAAACTTTAATTAGCATAAAACCTGCTAATACAAAAGGCTAAGTTCAATAAAAAATAAACTATAATGTTTTATTAGATGTCAATTATTTGCTTCTATTATCGAATTTATGAAGATTTGTTTTTATCTTAAATAAATATTAATTTAATGAATATTCTTTCATTTAAGCTAATTTTTAGCATTACAAGGAATATTTTTCAATTTAGTTGAAGCTTTCCACTTATTTTATTTTAATTTTTTTTATATTTGATAAAACTTTATGGGATAGAATAAAATGTAAATTTGAAAAATATGAGTAATAAAATAGTTAGTATTCAAAGAAGATCTTTCGTATCCTAATCTCTTTTGAGGAATAATTGAACCAAATGTAACAAATAGCCTTAATAAACTAATTGCTTTTCTACTTTCCTAACCCTCCTCCAAGTTCTTACAGAAAACTTTTAAAATGATTGAATTGTGGAATATATTTTTTAAGGTAACATTTAATTCCAATGGTTTTCTGCCTTCACAAATTCTGCAAAAACATCAATTTAAAAGAACCATTTGGATAAATAAAATTACATAAGTTACCATTAGTTTACATAACTCTAATAATATCATTTTGAGAGTATAAAATTGTTATGAAAAAAGATCTAACAATACAGAAATTTTAAAGAAACAAGTGGAGATAAGTATTTTTTTCAAGTAATTTACAATTATTATTAAATAAACTTTATTAATGAAGCCTTTTAATGAGAAAAATTTTATCAACTAAATCTGAATATGATGATGTTTAAACCCTTTTTAAGAGAAAAATATAATGATATAAATCACTTTTTCTTTTTAATGCTTTCTTTTCTTGAACTTTGATTAGAATATTTGCATCTTAATCCAAAATTTATGCCATTTTAATTCTAGCTTTATCGTTTTTCTTTTATTCAAATTGAGCAGACAAATCGTCTGTAAGATTACAAATGTATTCTACATGTTTTTCTCATATCTGCAAAATCATTTATTAAGATTTTCTGGTAGATGTTCTTGTAACTTGCTAAGCCATTCCGTATGAAACAAAGTGAAACTTTAATAGAAACTTAATCCAATATTAATAAATTTCTATTTTTTCCGATATTTTTGTACTTATTATATTCATTCATATTTTTAAAGTTCCATCTAATTTACTTAAGAAACTTGTAGGAAAGATTAACTGCACTTAAACACGTTTTAAAGGACCTTCTACAGATGAGTTCAAGATTAAATATTGAAATTCAAGAGATTTTGCAGAGAGTAATAATACAGGTATCACAAAATTAAAATGAAGTAGCAAGCATAATTTCCATTTGAGGAGCTTATATTTAAAAAATAAACGGCTTACAACTCACGCAGTTTTGAATTGTGGAAAATTAATCCTCTCTTCAAATACTTTAACATGAGGTAGGATTGTTCCTTTGTTGTCAAGCAGTACATTTCGATACTTATATTCTCCTACAATGGAAAATCCTTAATATTTTAATATATCAAGTTATATTTTGATAGGACAAAAATCCTGATTGTTATTGATTTATTTAATTTTATCGTTGCATCTAATTCATTTAGTAATCTTAACCCTAAGTCGACTTTTTTATGGTTATTAAAATTTCTTTAATGTTTAGTATTTTATTGATTCAAATTTAATTCATCTTATTTCTTGAAGGCTGATATTGTGCAATTATTGTTATGATATTATTAATATTTGTCCTCCCTTCCATTTAAGACATTCCAGGATAGGGCTACTAGATTCTAAATAATTTAGGAAGGATATTATTGAAAATTCTTACCTCGTTCAATATCGGACATATATAAATATCTTAATCTGATTATAATCTAAATTTTTTCTCTTGAGATTCGGTTGAAGTATATTAGGTTGATTCTTAGCTAATCTTGATTTAATTGAAGATGAACCCAAAATTTATTATTAATATAAAACAAAAAATATATATAATTCCCCTTAAAATTAATAATGAATTGTATTTATTGTTCTACAACTATTTTTAGAGACAGACCTTCACTATTCTAAACTTGTCAGCGTCAATAAGCAGTGAGACACACTGGAAAAACGTCAAAGATAATAGGCCTAACACAATGATATAAAGTCGTTTCGATGCCCTTCTAACTATTTCTATTTTTTTTGGTTCGGATATACCTAAATTCATTTGGACTTGATTTAACCAAGATGGTTTAGCTCATACTCTGAAAAGCCTTCACCACCCACTCGCCCAAAAAGATAATTAAATTACTAAAAGAGAGGATAAGGACCATTATAATTATTTGGTATCAAAAAAGTTCAATATTTTTTTAATTTAACACTAAAATATTTAATTCATTTTAATATCTCATTCCAAACATAATATCATTAATTATATTTTTTTTAATATTATAAATTGATTAAAATGCGATAAAATCACCTTAAAGAGAGTAACTTAACTAAATTTTATTATAAAATAAACATAAGGTGAAAGTTAATATATATATAAATATTATCAATTTAAATTAAATATAAAGGGAGTGTAAACTTAAGAATTTTATCATCCAGAAATATGAGGTATATCATCTTAATCTAATTTAGGTAAAAATTCTATTTCTTTTGAAAAATGAATCATTAAATATTTTTAAAGTTAAGATGTTTAAAATAAAAAACACACCAAATGATGAGTCAGATTTTTTTTCATATGAATTCAAAATACAAATTACCAGAATAAAAGTCATTTTTATCTCTGCTAATTTTTGTATTCTCATTTAGAAAAATAAATATAATTTCCCTACTGCTTACAGCAACAACTAAAAAAAGCTAAACCCACACTGAATTAAATTCCTTTATATAACTAAATTTATGAGTGTTATTAAATGATCAATATCATATGAAACACAATTAAATAAAAGTATAACATTTTTATAAAATTATCATTTAATTTTAATATATAGATATATATATTTACATATTTATAGATCAAAATATAAAGTCGTTTCCATATGAACCCAAAGCAATAAGCATTAAAATCTTAATGATAAAAATTCCAAAGATTTAAAATATTTCATATCAATTTCCTTTATTTTCAAACACTGAAACAATTGATAGATATGATCTGATAACCGAAAATGAAATTTACGAAAAAACTAACATAATATTTATTATTACTGGGAAATGATTTTTTATTGATCATGAATAATAAATTTTTATTTAAATTAAAATTTGTTAGGGTAAATTACATTTTCTAAATATTTTTATTAATTCATTCTAAAGATAAGTCTGGTTGTTATAAATTAAGCCTATTTACTTCAGTTCTTAAAATTTTTTTAACTATTTCGAATGCTTAATTATTTCTCTTACTAACAAAATTGGATAATGAATGATAAAATTTCTTAATTAAGTAAATTATTGTATCTTCTGCTCTAATACTTCCTCAAATATGTTATATTTTTAATATGATATTAGATCATTTGAAACTTAAATTTATTTTTAATTACATCTTGTGACTTTATTAATGCACCTCAGGTATGCATCATTGATGGCTGATTATTTTTATTGCACTGTAATAAAATTTCCAGAAATAAGAATAGTACTAAAACAATTAATTCCATCTTTCCGATCCATAGCACAAAAGATTCAGACTACATATCAATTAAGTGTGTGATCCTGATTAAACTATCTGGAAGTTTCTAGAACTCCAAAAGGTACTGACAAATCACCTACAACTGTTGGACATACTGAATCACTCAGACCACCTCTCAGTTTCATACCTCAAACATAAGTTTACAACTATAAACCTAGTTTTCAACTCACCCAAGTTTGAATTATTTTTTATGAAAATAATTTTTCATTATTATTTTAATAGACCAAAAATGATTCAAATCTCTAAACTATATTCTAGCTTAACAAAAATAAGGAATTTTTTTTGCCATAAACAAGAAAAATCCCTTATTGATTGACTTTAAGAATTTTTAATTTTATTGAAATACCTTATAGATATTTATATCAAGCCTCTTATTGGATAATAAGTAAAATTTATTTAAAAAACTCTATAAATTGATGATATTTTCACATTTTTTAAGGCTTATCAATGATTATACCACTCTAATCAATATTGTATTAAGTAATCTATACATTTATAAAAGTAATTTAATTATTAATTTATTGGATTTAATTTTAATTATCTTTTTAAAGTCAAGAAAGAATTTAAAGATCTAGAAAAGAGTAGAAAGGCTCATGGTTTTTTCTCTGCTTAGGAACTATAAAAGTTTGCATTCTTTTAGCAGAATATATAAATTTTTTAAAATAATAAAGAATTTTAAACAATGATTATCACAATAGGAGTGATTAAAAATTCTAGAATGCATAAATTAGAATAGTAAATAACAATCGAATGAATTTTGTCACCAAAAAATTTAATTTAGTATTTTAATTTATAAATAACTATATTAATTAATTAGCTATCATTCATTTAAGATATAACATAGGTAATTATAAACTATTTAAATTATTATTTATAATTTTTGTGTATATTCAAAAATATTAATCTGTTACTTTTTCTTAAATATATCAATTTTAGGTGTCAATTCATCAAAAGATAAAAATAACTTTAAAGATAAGTTATAATGGTTCAAATTATTCTATTAATAATTTTCTAGCTCGTTTTTATTCCCAAATATTATTAGTGAAAGTTCATAACTTTCTCTATTTTTTCATGTAATTTTAGAAAATTTAATAAGTGTCCAAATTAATTGACCCATGGCTGATTATATATTGAAAATTCATCATATTTTAAATCAATTACAATATAATTTTTCAATTCATATTGTCTAATCTGAATATTTTAAGAGAGGATATGGATTATTTTTATAATCCAAGCAGAATTCTGCACAAAGTGGCAACAAAAATAAATAAAAAATAGTGATTAGACATCAAAAATAGTGCTTAAGCCTCTGCCTTATTCAATTAATCTTCTTTTTCCACTCATTATTCTTTTCTTAATATCTAATTTGTACATTAAACACAGAGATGCAGCCTATAAACTTAGCAATATTTTTAATATCTAATCTTTGCTTATTCTTTTAGAGTTGCTTATTCGTAACCCATACTCCTATTAAAGATATATTTCCCAATTTAAAATTGATATTTTCATCACTTTTGTCACTCAACATATTTCTAATAATAGCTATAATAATCTTTATTCAAAATATAAATTAATTTACTCTCAGGAAGGTTAAGATATGATAAATTTTTAATTAGTAAATTATATTGGTTTTTTTCATTTAATATTAAATAATTACTAGAAGATATTACTTTTTCTTGGTTAATACTTTATATGAATAAAGAACCATCTTATTGGAATGGATTTTCTATCTGATTAAATTTGATTTATTCTTTTCCAAACTAAAATCATATTATATAATTAATATATTTCAAAGTTTACTTCAAAATCATCTAGCTTAGAAGAAAGCATCCCCTTTGAAGAAAAAGTTCCAAGTTCAAGTCTTCAGGGTGGTATTTTTTATTTTTACTTTATATATTAATTTAGAAATTTAAGTTATATTCTCTATACAAATTTATTTTTTTCTTTATAAGAGAATTCTTAAACTCAAGCCTATCTTGTATGAAATTAATAGCCCTAATTTATTACTATCTGTATTGGAATTAAGTTTGATATCAGATAGTCATTAATTTTTACAGCCATTCTTATTTAAACTATTCTATTTATTCTTAATTTATTTCATTTAATTTATTAAGCTAGAATATTGATAGTATATTTGATTGATTTTAACTAGAAATATGAAATTTAAACCATTGACAAATTACCCTAAAATAATGATAAGAAAATAATTAAATCTTTAATGAAATAGACATATTTTTATCTTTTAATAGATAAATGGTCTCCTAAAATTCTCTTTATGGAAAGTTAGAAATTGAAACTAATAGAACTTTTAATTGAAATATTTGATGTAATCTCTAGATTTAAGAGAAAAGTATTGATATCTTAAAATTTTTGTTTTATTCTACAATTTCAAATAGATAATTTATAAATCTCTAGGAGTTTTATTTTATTTATTTAAGAAAAAGGTTATAAATTAATTACATCTTAATAACTCAAAGAATTTGCTTGTTTATATATTTATAAGAAAATCAAATATTTAAACATAGTCATGTATATACATATATTCTCCTATGATATCGGTTAACTAACAGTAAGGGTATTTAACTACTATTATGTTTTCTTTCTTCTAATACTCTTATTAGCTTCAGCAAAATGCCGAATTATTTCAGTCTTAATTATCTAACAACTCAAATTTATCTATTCTTTATAATTTAATATCCATAAAAAAGCAGAAATATATAAGTAAGATTTTTCAGATTATAATTTTAAATGTTGATAAATAAACACATCCACTCTCATATTAAAGGAGTAAAAATATATGGAATTAAATGATAATAAATTTCTTAAGGAAACCATATAGATATATATATATGATTTGTTATTGTAAGAAGTGTAATATGGCAAAATAAATGTCCTAAAATACATATTTACGAAAAAATAAAATAAAAGCTCCAAAATCATATAAAAATATTTTTCTGACTTGAAGTGTTTAATAATTCAATCGCCTTTTACTTTTTATCTGAAACTTATTTCTCATGGTTTATCAAATTCTAACTATAAACTATTTTTTAAATAAAATAATTTTAAATAGATTAAATCATAGCCAAAAATTAAATAGTACAAAGAAGTTTTGTTGGATCTGATTCTTAATCATCATTTTAATAAGAGTGATTATTTAACTACTAGTAATGAGGTTATTTTGCTAAATATTTGAAATTTTATTTATAAAAAGATATTCTTGAAGTAGAATTTGGTATAGTTTGTGATAAATAGGCAAATAATATAAAAAAATTGTCAGGTTTCGATAAAATATAACCAAATTTTCTACTTTGTAAACTTAATTCTAAACGAAGTTAGCCAATTATCAAGAATAAATGATATCTTCTATTTTTTTATTAATTTCTTATTACCATTACACAAATAACGCAGCCCGTCAATTTTATTGTTGCATTCTTTATATATTATTAAGATATTAGCCTACAAAATGATTTTTGATTCGTTGATTTCATAAATAAAAATGATGCAATTCAATAAAAAAAGGAAAAAAAAATCTAATTAAAATATAAATTTTGGTTTTTCAGAAAATTTTTAGAGAAATTCCTCTATTATTAAAAAATTAAATAATGAATATGTTGAAATGAATTCTCAATAGCAAAATTTACCTCGATATTAAAATAAAATCCGAACCTTCATTTTACTAAATTACATAAGATACTTTTATCGAATTTGCAGTATATAAATTAAAGTTTGAAAAATAGTCATTTATTATTAAAAATAAAAAATAAAGATGTAAGGCTCTTTTTAATTGAAGGAAGCTCTAGCTGACATCTTTGGTTAAGTCAAAGATATAGATGAATAAATATTTGGTGTCTTATTAGAAAAATTAAGAAAGGAAAAAGTTTAAGATTGCTTTGAATATCTTTCTGATCAAATAAATTTAGGATCATAAATTTTATAACAATAAGGGAATACCAGCTAAACTAATTCAGAATAGAAATTGTATGTTATTGTAAATGAAATAAAATAAATTACAGATATACTAAGAAAATTAAAAGATCACAACTTCAATTCTTAAGACTTTTCCTCTGAAGAAAATGAAGAATTTAAATAAGGTCTCATCAATAGAATCCAGGATAATAGAATGATCATAAAATTTCTGTAATTTTTAGTTAACCTAACATCTATTGACAACACATTAATCTAATGTGTATCTAATTCTTTACATATGTTAGTTTAGATGAAGGTGGAACTCAAGAACCAATCTTTAGAAAATATAAGGATCTAGAATACATCTTTAATTGGAGGTAACTTTGTATGATGCAACTTAAATGGATTGGAATTTGTTAATGTAGACATCAGTGGAGTGAAATTGAATGGTGCATAACTATTCAATTGTAAATGGAGGAACATTAAAATCCATGAATTGAATAAATTATTAGATGATCATAGTAAGTGTATCAGATCAGTCTGTATTTCTCCGGATGGAATTACATTAGCTTCTGGTAGTTAGGATAACTCTATCCGTCTATGGGAAATCAAAAACAAGTATTGTTCAGATTATAGATTTAAAGAAATTTAGGTTAAAAATACAAGATATCCTTTTTTTAACACCCCTTTGAAGTAAAAGAATATTATTTAAAATTTAGATACATCTAATATTATGGTTTACCCAGACTTCAATTAAAATGGAAATTAATTTAACACATTTTAAAATATTATGAAATTGAACTTTTAGTTGCATGAATGCAATAATATCTTAAATCTTTGTATACTATTTTTTTGGTATTATTCTTATCATAACCAAGCATTTTCTCTCAATTTAAATTTAGAATGTGAATTGTACAAGATTTATAAAGTAGATTCTACAACTAAATCTTTCAGCATTTATCATTTCTAAGTTTTCTAATCTTTGTATTATTCTAATATTCACAAAATAATATTTTTCTCAACTCATATTTAATTAACAGTAATACTATTATTTTTTATTAAATTGATTTTATAACCTTTAAATTTTAACAATGTTATTGAAAAACTTTTATTAGTAAAATACTTATTTTGGAAATTTAAGAGAAAATACCCATTCATTTAAGTGTGACTAATATTAATGCTTTTTTATATATTTAAATAATTAATCGTTCAATTTATCTTAAGTGGTTGTTATAGAGAAGATAAATTTTATTAAGATTGTTCATTGTGTTTAACAAATACCAATAAATATTTCCTTTTTAATTCTACAATTTAGGTGCACTTTCTTAATTTAATTGTAAAATATAACCAGTTGATGAGTATTTAAAGACTTAAGGGATATTATTTTTGGTTTAGATATTAATTAATTTTGTAAAAAAATCATTTTGAAGGGACAACAGTGATTATACATTGAGTAATAACTGTTTATTATTTGATGTATGTAAAATTTCAAGTTGAGCTCAAGTTAATCAATAATTAAGATTCATATATAATACTGTTAGAGAAGATATAATTGTCTTCTTAAATCTTAATAATTACAAAAATATAATATTTTTTAATATGTTTTCAAAGTTTTTTAATATCTTATCAATTAACAGGCGATTGATACATTATCTTGAATTGAGAGTAATGTTAAAATTTA